TCTGCATTCATCGCTCACTGGAAATCGCCCAGTCGCCACATCTTTGAAATGATATGTCATTACTCTGGTGCATTTCCGTTAATATAGGCATTCTATTTGATTGAAAATCCTTCTATGAAAGACTGGATCCCAACACGGCCAGCAGCCGCAACTTATCTATGATGGAAAAGCATGATTATGGGCTGTCCATTGACTGGGCAGAGTCCGATAATTCTTCATCCTCGGGTCTGGAGTAAGTTATAGATCGGATATGAGACATACATTGTCGATCGAGATTGACACCTGGGCTTAGTCTAGTCATAGTCCACGGCCTGTATGGTAACCTGGGAGCAAGCCCCAACCCTCGAGTCAGCCCCGGCTCCGGGTCCAGCTCTTGGGTGGACGACTATGTGAAGGATCTGGATGTTGATGCAAGAATATTAATATTTAGATATGACGCTGGGAAGATCTTAGCTGGGCGTTATAGCCGAGGTGCGATTCAGCAGCAGGCAGTATCCTTACTGGAAGGTTTGACAGAGCTAAGAAGAACCGATTCTAAAGTCTGTGTGAGATTAGTGAATCTGCATACAAAGGCTAATCCATAATTTAGCGATCTATCATGTTCATTTCTCACGATATTGGTGGACTAATCGTGAAAGATGTGAGTGGGCTTCTCCCATCACTAAATCATCACTGAATATTAGTCTCCAGGCACTTCAAATTGCGGCGTTCGATAGTATCAAGTGGGGTGAAATCCCTGATTACGCTCGAATGCTGGTAGGCTTATTACCCTACTCGTACACAGACCCTTAATGGTATTACAGCCTTATGTCTTGCAGCCGAGAACAAAGATTTGCAAGCGGCCTCGATATTGCTACAAGTGCCCGGTATAGATATCAATTTATCGTCAAAGCCGTATGGGTCCCCATTACATCGTGCTTGTCTGTCATCCTGCATGGAGATGGGGAAGCTTTTGGTTAAACATCACGTCAACGTGAATAATGCTGTCATCGGTACTCCTGGCACGCCCCTATAGTCCGCCATCATGATGAATACTGGTGTTGAGAATGGATATTAACAGAATCATGGAGATTTCTCGGTATCTAATTGATAACGGGGCCGATCCCAATTTTATAGGAGGGATTTATGGCAGCGCCCTCAACGTAGCAGCGATGCGGAAGGGGCCAGAACTGATCAGGTTTCTCACGAGACAAGGGGCAAACATTAGAATGCCAGACACGAATGGACGTACGCCAATCCACTTTGCTGCGTATCATGGCATCGGCAATTTGACTATTCCACTTGAGCTCGGCGGTGAGGTATCATGCTATGATTATAGAGGCCGTTCGCCATTGCATTGGGCAGCTCAAGGTGGACGGGTACGAGCGGTTGAGTATCTTCTTAATGTCTTACACCCGACAGCTGTGAATCTGGGTGATATTGATGGGTGGACACCAATCTGCTATGCTGCACAATATACGGATAATGACGATACCCTCAGTGTTGCTGGCGAGTCGTCTGATATCTTGGGAGTAATCCACCTCCTTATCCGGTCAGGAGCAAGTTTGTCCGTACAAGCGTTGAGTGGCGATGAGGCCTGGTCGCCTTTGAGGATTGAATGCTACAGCGGAGCAACTATGGATGTGATCAAGTCACTTAAGCTACCATCTGAGCAACGGGTAGTTGACGACGAGGTGAATATTGGAGGCTGCGGTGACGGTCGATGGTGCAGCGATTGCTTCTGGGTACGTATCCAGCTTTGGCTTGATTAAAGTTCTTAAATTTACACATAGCTTATCAATAAGTAGACCATAGCGGGAACGTATTTTCGCTGTACAGAATGCTCAGGCTTTGATCTTTGTCACAAGTGCTATCCAAGACGAGATGTGGTATCTACGGCTCATGTCGGCCATGAATTCGAAGAATTCCAATATGACCCTCCCTCAGAGTCTGAATCAAGGTCACTACTCCAGCAATTAAATGGCACTACTTATCAGGACCCTGATTCATCTTCTGAGGGTGAATGGGGGACCTGGCGAAACCGACGCCGGATACGTCGTCGACCACCATATGGACATTCACTATTCTACCACTAGCCAAAGCTAACTTGACTATTGGTGTGCATAAGAGGTCCTTAAGTGATGCAAAATGCGGACATCACTTGTTTTAATCAACGAGTAAGTTTGATAGAGAGTACATTATGTCAGTGCAAAATCCCCTACACATTCTTGGTCTTTAAATGTCAATAGCACCGTTTTGTGGTTCTGGCGGGCTGTTGCAAAAAGTAATTTATGTTGATTCTCATCTTGTCTACATTACTCAGTTTCTCCACATTTCAACTTCAGCATGGTTTAGATATAGCCTGGTACTGGCTTGTATTCAGACCGGATTCAAGCCAAAAGGTCTTCTGCTAGTGGTCTTCTAGTCTTGTTGCCGTTTCGGTGCAAAGTGATGGGCGCACAACACGGTTTAGATACCCAGCCTGTCCGAAGGCTGCACAAGACCTCCTACCGGTAAAAGTGATCACTGCGGGTCTTTGGATAGGACAGAGTTCCGGAACTCTGCGGATCCTACCAAAGAGCTGCGACGGTCTAGATCTTGTATTGATCCGGAAACGGAAGTCAACGGCTCTGAACTTAGTTTAGACACAAAGTAGACAAAGGTCTTGGTCGACATGATTCAGGATGAGCTTCTCACAGGGACATTTGTGAAGCCCTAACATGTAGCAGCCCAAACTCAACACTCGACGAGCGCCTCTTTTAAATACCCAGTCATCAATGAAATTCCCCGACAAATCCCCGTAGAAGGCGACAAAAAAACTTGCATAAGCGAAGACCAGCAAGGCAGATCCAGAGATCCTCCGGTAGATCCACCAACGCCAAGCCCTGACGTCTTGCGTGCCACTGTCGATCAGCAGGCAATGGACCCAAACTCTCTTCATGTCACATCACCGCCATGTCCCCCGACACACGTAGAAATGAAAGTAGACAGCGCGGGAAATACACCACCAGAGCATGCGAGGAGTGTCGACGGCGACGAGCGAAGGTTAGTGAAGTGGCTACATGGTCAACAAGTGGGCGAAGCTCAATCGACACGGCGATTGTATTACTAACGAAACCACCAGTGCGATGGAAACAAACCATCCTGCGCCAGATGCTCCCAATGGCGGATCTCGTGCCAGTATTCTGTCACGGAGGATGGTCGGAGGCCAGCGTCCAAGACATATGTACTTCTCCTGCGACAGAGGATAGAATCGCTAGAAAGACTCCTGGAACGGCATGGGATTGATGCAAGGGAGTCGCAAGTACCCGCACAGCTGCCGTTAGATACGAAACCCGGCAGGAACGGCGACACGTCTTCGGAGATAGATAGCCTGGCCGAGAATTTCAAGGGCAGGCTGGCTCTGGACGAATCGCTGAATTTCGACCAGGACGGCGAGATGAGGTATTTCGGGCCGACTAGTGGCCGACTGCAGTTCCAGGGCTCGTCCAGTAATCGAGTCAGTATTGATGGCTCAGCGTTTTCGGTCTCCCCGCCTGATCAAGTGTCTGATAGCTATGGCTATATCGACCCCATTGACCCGATCACGGCTGGCATGGGGGTCCCGAAGGACGTTCAGGACCACCTAATCGATCTGTATTTCCGGTGGGAGCAGCCATGGTATGCTGTGGTCGATGAAGAGCTCTTCAGGGAAAGTATGAATAATGGTGGACGTTACTGGACGCCGCTGCTGCATAATTGCATTCTCGCTCTGGGGTCGCGGTATTCCGACCGTGTCGACGTGCGATCGGATCCCGATGATCCAAATACGGCGGGGAAAGCATTCCTCGAAGAAGCGAAAACCCAGCTGCACAGGGAGATGGAACGGCCCAGTCTTACCACTATCCAAGCATTAGGTCTGATTGGCATGGTGTATATTGTAAGATAGTATTGTTTGTGTCTGTCGGGTATAAGTATGGGCTAATGAGAACAGGCGATGGGGGCCGATGCTGCTGGCTGGCTGCACCACGGGATGGCGAACCGGCTGAGTCTCGATATGGGCCTGAACCTGGACCCGGCTGGATTTGAAGAGACGAATGCGATGACGCCACGGGAGATTCAGCTCAGAAGACAGATATACTGGACCCTGTACTGTCATGATAAGCTGTCCTCTAGCTACACGGGACGAATCTGCTCCATGCTTGTAGGTTGACTGGTGTGTAGATCACACAGTATACTGACAGATGTAGGACTCACAAGGAGCTGTTAAAATACCGGACGACGATTCAGTATTTAATCTAGAGATGAGTTCCGCTCAGAAAGCATTCGGACCGCTACAGCGAGCCATGATCAGCGTCTGTCGAATCCAAGAAAGGATCACGCTATCACTGTAATCAATTCCCAACCCTCGCCTCTATCGCTCAGCTAACGATTTTAGATGGGCACCCAAACCACTCCTCAAGGAGCACCAACGACCGGCCTTCCTCAAGTCCTGTCTCCTAGACCTGAGGTCCTGGTTCTACGACCTCCCCACAGAATTACGAATCGACCGCGCCAACGACATCCCCCAAGCTTACACACTCCACATGGTGTACCACACAGCCAGAATCCTGCTGGCCAAACCATTCATCATGAGGGAGATTCCGCCCTCGAAGCCCAAAAACGAAACCACGGACCTAGCCCACTCCATCTGCCGCGAATCCGCCCGTTCCATCTGTCTCGTCGCCCAGAAATACCGACACACGTTCGGAGGATACCATCTCAGCCCAATCACGGCAACACATTGCACATTATCGGCAGCGCTGGTCCTGCTCGACGAAACTGAAAATCTGAACGCCCCCTCCCATAAGAATAAACTGACCCTGTGTCTAACAGTGCTGGACGAGCTATCTAAGTCGTGGTATCCGGCAGGCCATATCGGACATAATCTGCGGAAGCTTTGCCGGTCTGTCGTCTCAGATGACACGTTCTCTCGAGATAAGGGGCTCTATCCGTTCGAAACGAACCCCAGTCCGCCACTCGACCTGGGCGTCGAGCTCCCAAACGTCATTGACGAGATTGAATCCAACCCAAGCGTCAACCCGGGCAACGCACTGGCTAACCAATTGGAACTGTCGGTCCCGATGGAATCACTCCCCGTCGACTACGGGTTCTTCGATATCCTAAACCAGATCAATTGGGAGCGGATGTGGTAATGCACTCACTACCTCTGAACCGGCTACCCACCATACATACATACACCTAGAGGGGCAATGACAACCGCCAAAGATCCACCATATAAAACCTTCCATAATACGTATAACACATGCAAAAAGAACAGAGAGATTGATTTGTCAGTCTGCATCTTGATCTCTCGATAAAGCTCCATTCCTCGGGCTATGACCTCATCAGCGGAAGATATATTCCGCACCGCAAAACCCTATATAAACCCCTCCCAAACCATCGGATGCAACATCCACAGTACCAAAAGCCACCAAACCAAAATGTCCCACCTAACCTACTACAACTACCCCGGCGTCGGTGAACGCAACCGCCAAACCTTCAAATACAGTCAAGCTGTGCGCATCAGCGACCGCATCGAATGTTCCGGCCAAGGTACTCCACTCCTTCCTATGTACAGCACAATCCCACTAACACGAGATGCGATAAAAAGGCGGCTGGGACCCCAACACGGGCGAATTCTACAAAGAAATCAACGCGCAGATCGACCAGGCATTCGCGAACGTGGATCTGGCGCTCAGGACGGCCGGCGGGAAGGGCTGGGCGCAGGTGTATCGCGTGAACTCGTATCATGTGCCAGTCAATAACGAGGCACTGGAGGCTATGGTGAGGAACTTTAGAAAGTGGATGCCAGATCATGAGCCGTTGTGGACTTGTGTGGGGGTTACGAGGCTGGGGGAGGATGATATGAGGGTTGAGATTGAGGTTGTTGCGCATGATCCTAAATAGAGGGGTAATTGGAGTGATGAATTTATGATTTGCTTGGTTTTCTTCAGGGCTGGTCTTTTAGTCTTTTGCGGGATCCTTTGTCATATAAGACTAGGTTTAGAATTCGGGAGTATTGCACGCCTTTATTGAGGGAATCTAATGGGGGTATGGTTAAACTTTTACAGTCATGACATTTTAAGATAGAGTGGGTGGACGGCTTCGTGTCTTCATAGCACACTGTAAACATAGATTGACAAAAGAAAAATATATATCATTCAAAGCCCATCTAGAATTCTATGCATACCATCCCAAATCCCTCAGCCAAACTAAACTAACGCCGTCTGTCTACACCACTCTAATATGAAGTGTGTAACCTGCATAGCCCAATCCCAACACACCGTGCCAGACTTCCCTATGGCCGTTCCGGTTCCAGACCCAGGATGCCCTCCACCCCCTTGACCATCTCCCCAATGCGTCTCCGATGACCCTCCCTATCCTTCATGCGCTCGGCAGCATAATACGGCTCCATCCAAGACGGACTCTCCCTGTACCGAGATATATTATCCCACTCGGCGTGGTTCCATGTAGTCTGATCTGAGGTGCTCGTGGACTGGGTGGTGGATGTCGATCCCGTAGCTACTGTTGTAGCGGCCGTGGGGTTTGATTTCGTTCTATTATACCCGAATGTTAGCTCCAGACTAAGATGGAGTGGAGAAAAGTATGAAAGCTAAGTTAATCACGCACGAAGATGTCGTCTTCGACATATCTCTTTCTTTCTTTCTCTCTTGTATTGAATAGGAACAAAATAGACCAAACTCTAAAACTTAATTCAAATGTTAATCTGACGTCAATGTCCTACAACAGAAACAATCAAGGTCTTAAATAACCCCTTTTATTTATATGCTTCAAACTGCACAAGACCTCAGCCTTGGAAAAAAGCAAACCTATAAAGGATTAAATCACAAACAACGATCATCGCTATCACATCCAATCCAACCACTTCCGGGTCACACCGTAGACAGAAAGAACACATCTCTACACATCATACAATGTCATCAACTAACAAAACCCCAGTCATAGTCTGGGTACCTGGGCACGACCAGACCAGGTGCCAACACGAGAACCACCGGCCGAAAGACGGCGATCTCCAGGATCGGGGTCAGCAAGAAGGAATCGATACATAAGTACATCCACCACGTAATAGGCCATGGACCTACAGTAAAGCAGAGCCCGATGAGTGAAAATCCCATCTTGCTATGGGCTGGGTGTCAATGTATGTAAGAACAGTCCGAATCACAATACATCATGTCATGATACCCACTCGACCCTGGGCGGCGAGCGAATGTATCATTTCCGAGGCGGGCGCCGGGCCGTTGTGAGCCAGCGAACGAGAAAAAAAAAAAAAAAAATATGATGATCGAACTTTTTTTAATCTTACTGTGTGAAAATAAAATGAGCGGGACTTTGCCAATAAAAAGGCGGAAGGAATCATTCAAACAAGGCGACGGACCCGCTGGGTCTAGACCGGGTGAATGGAGTTCGTTTTGGCTTAGCGGATGCCTTATGGATATTGTCGGAGATTTTTCTTGTGCCCTGGTCTAGAACTCCAAGGATTGTCTTCCCTGGTGGGAGATTGGCTTGGGTAGCAGGTCGATCGGTCCATCCTGGTACGGGACCAAGTTGCCCCTGGTTGTCTCGGGAGGTGGTGATGGCGGTGGGATGCAGTGGTGAGGCCGTTTTGTTAGGGCTCGGTGAGGCAGGGGATTAGGGTTCGGTGTGATGTGCAGGGATGTGGCTGCATCGTCGGAGAATTTCGCTGATCTCCATTACAACTGGCCGGTGGGGTCGTTTGAGTTGTGTGTTGTGGCTGGACACTAGAAGGAGGGGTAAGTCTAGTCGGACCTCTGATTTACTTGCTTATCCTCTACCAGATGCTGTCTACGCCATGGATCTCAAGTGTAGTCTCGAAAGTGGGGGAGAGTGTATTGTCTAACTGCTGACATAGGAGACAGAAAAATAGAAAAAATAAAAAATACTAAAAAAAAAAAAAGCAACTTTTGGGTATATCACGACCAGACACCTTTTCGCCAACCAACCCGATCAATCAACGAATGGAGAGTACTCGACTCATTAAAGTAGTGTATTGTACAAGAACATGACGGTCATCACCAGGGCGAGAAGATCACCAATTAAGCGCGAAAGGTCTCAGCCCCCTTGGTATGTCGCCACATCGCACTAGGCACCATGTTCTGCTTGAACATGGCCAGCTCCTTCTGGAGGGCCTTGTTCTCTTCCTGCAGCTCCTGCATGTAGGCAATCGCGTTGGTCAGGATCTCCGACTTTTTGAGCGAGGCCGATCCGCTCTTGCTCGACTTCTGGACTCCGCCACACATGGCCTTCTCCAGGGCCACGAACTTGGCGTTCATGTTGGTGCGATACCGCTTCTCGATGATGTTATGTGCGGCACGCTTCGCAGCGTTGCGTCCACTGGTGGTGGCCGTTGTGGTCTGGCCCGTGCTGGCATTGGAGTCCACCGAGGTGGTGCGGGTCATCTTGCGGTTGACGGGAGGCGATGTGGGAGTCGTCTGAGCGGCAGTGTGGGTGGGGTATTCTTGAGGTGTGAGTTCAGGACTGGAGGACCAGGTCGTCTCGCGTTTCACCACTGGGGTGGTCTTGCGGCGGGTGGATTGTCTCCCGGGGGCCGGAAGCATATCTGCGGGAGCAGCATAGGTGGGAGACCACGACTGATCATCACTTTCCAGATCCTGTTGTATTGTTAGTGGTGGCTCCCAGAGCAGACTAGATGAGGAGGAACATACCGAAGTGATCGAACCGGCATCTTCGCCCGAATGGTTGGAGATAGTGAATCCACTGATGTCCGGAGGGGGAGCGAAGAAATCCGCGGGGAAATCCTTGGGATCCACCCCCATGGGCTCATTAGGCACATCGAGAGCGAAGTTCTCGGGCATCATGGTGTTCAGCGAGAAGAGATCGATGGCACTGTCGTAGTTCCAGTTGGCCGACAAGGGATCGGGGCCCTTGGGGGCGGGGAAGGTATCGTAGGGGCGATGCATGGGGCTGTGGTGGCTCATGTACATGCGTTCGTCGTCACTCAAGGTGAACGAAGGATCAGTTCTAGTGTATGCCATTGATGGTAGTGGTAGTGGTAGTAATGGTAGTCGAAGGTCGACAGGATCAAGTGGTTGGTATGGTAGATAGAGATATAGATTGGAATCTGATATCGCCAGGGGGAGGGTTGGGATATAAATAAATATCACAGAGAAGTTGTTAATCTTGGAACCGTGGATCTGGTAGAGAAAATCAAATAACGGGCGTGTGAAGCTTCTTTATAAAGGAAGCGAGAGTTTTTTTTATTTTTTATTTTTATTTTTTATTTTTTTCAGACGGTGATGTAATTAAGGGCCGGCATCGTGAAAAAAGCACTTAATTTTCGACCCAAACGATTGTTAGTATGCAGCACAAGTGATTTGCCCGGTGAAGGACAACCGAGATCACCCCAGCCGGATCCTCAGCATCCAGACTCGGTCGGCTCCGATGACAGTCGTCATTGCCCTGTCCAGTCAGGAGTGCAAAACCGTCAAAGCAGAGAAAGGGACCAGTTGGGTGGAGACGGTGGGATCGATGCACGACCGTTGAAGGGAAGAAACGGAAGGCTCGCCTGCCAAGAGGGGCCCGGCCGAGACTCGGGGCCGATCATCCGGCCGTGTCATGGCCTTGCGTCGGACCTTTTGGCGGACCCAAATGCGGACCTCTCTCCCTTCTGGCGACGCTGTGTCGTGAAACCATGGCGGAATTGATTTTATCCCGACTTTGCCCGTCCTGTTGAGAGGTAGCCTGAGGCGAGATTCCTGCCTGTTTGAGCGACTCGGGGTACGTCCAGATTAATTCTCTCCTTAATTATTTACACTTTGGCGATGACACCGAACCCGTCCAGTTCAGTGACCTCTTTCCATTTTAGATTATTTTTTTTTTCCATATCTCTTTTAATTGTGTTTATTTTATTTTTATTTTTTTCTCCTTTTTTTCTATCTCGGTGTAAATCGATTCTGATCACTAGTAGAATAGTATTCCCTTCAGCCGAGTGGGATCCTTCCATAGTATATCAACCACTCATCTCCGTACGGTATGTAAGATGATGACGGATCATCTTCAGGCGAGTGATGTAACATCCTGTGCAGCGTGCCTTAGTCCAATGAGAGGGTCTTCGTCACGCCTTCAGCTCCCTTGCGATGTGACGAATTCTCCAATCAGAGCCCCGTTATTAGCAATGCCCCGACCTGGAGAGGCACTGGCGCAATTCTCGTCCCAACGACAGGCTCTCGTCCTGTACGCCGTAGTGTCATATACGAGACTGTGGAATACTGGACTATTTACACACGGACCAGGCCTGTCCAGTTCCAGGGGATGGGATCGGGCATCCGCTGTGGAGACCTTTAGGAGGGATGGGATTGACTCCCCGGCCAATCACCCCCTCGCTTTCACTCATCCGAGAAACGTGTCCAAGTTCTCTCAATTTTTTTCTTCTCTCTCTTGACACTTGCATCTGCTGCCGGAGAATTTTTCTCCTCCACGCTGCCACCATGACTCGTGACCCAACTGATGACTTCGGATCGTAGATGTACCGTCCACAGTCTGCACACGTGTTGCTCGTCTACTGTCCGCATCGCCCTTCCACAAGGGGAAGGGTACCCCTCATGTGCGATGAAGCGAAGGTCGCGACGGAAAATTAGGTTCTCTTGCGACGTCCATGGTTTCTCCGTGTTTCGCAGTCTTTGCTGCTCTAGGAAAGGTTCTACCAATAGTCTTCCGGTTCTTCTGTGCAGGGTTCTCTCTAAGAATAGCACCAAACCGCCGGGGCATACCACATCTCGTTCCTCACACTCGCACACAGTCCACCAGACGACAACTCAAGAAAAAACCACCAAAAAACACCCCGAGTACAGACTACTGCTCCTCGCATACCTCCCAATCCATCCATAGGGACCGCCACACTAACCCAATCCAGGCAAACGATGACAGGGTGGATCAACAAATGCTAATAATTAACCTTCCGTAGTAAAGTTAACCCGCAGATGGTAGTGTACTAAGTACGCCTCGGCTGCCCGTTCGGAAGCCGGCCTGAGAGGGTCCTCTTTTTTGTTTTTTTGGTTTTTATTTTATTTTTTCCCCCTCTGTCCCTCTTTCTTCTCCCCAACCCCAGTGGTGTGATCCGGCATCTCAGTGAGAAACTCCCGCCAAGTTGCGTCATTCGTCACCTTTGCAATCACCAACCGTTTTTGATACTGGTCATTTCGATCATGTCTCGAAAACTCCCGATGATATCGCCCGAGACGATGCATCGATTCGGGTGAGAATCAATCGAGGTTGTCACCTGCCCGTGAAAACTTTTCCATTCGGACGAGACCTGTCTCAGGGGTTAGTGAGGCGGAATTGAGAGGTCCACGGTCCGAGTCAACCTGGTGGTATCCGAGGTACAGTGTCGTTGCTGATAGAGGGGTTCAGCCTTATCCATTCCTGTTACCCCTCTTTTTTCATTATTTTTATTAGTATTTTAATTTGGTGATTTTTTTTGGGTGCGGTAGCGCTAACTTGGGAATTAGGGCTTGGCTGCAATGGGCATGTCATGGCTGAAGAAGCCTATCTGCCGTGATGGGTTACAGACCTTATCCGGCATGCCACCAGAGTACTCTGATCCTGCACTGGATCATGACATGCATTGATTAATTGTGGTGTGGTGACCTAAAACGCTGGGGAGATCCGAGTGGATCTCTGGCCAATCTGCCGCCCTGATCCTACGAGCCGCGGGGTAATCTTCAGCCTCCGGTCCCAGATCCCAATCCCGGACGCAGACGGTGAAGAACCCGCGAAACCACGCGAGATCTGAGAAACCGCGGTCGGGATGACGTTCAGCAAGGTCTGTACGACGGCCGACTGGTGATGACAGTCCTGATGCCGGTTCTGCGAGATCCAGGGACGCGAGGGGCTTTTTTGGCGAACTCAGATTGAGTTCCAGAAGCTCTGACCACCAGCGGGGGGAACTGCACCTTGCCCCGGATCCAAAGTTGAGGTCAGCCGTTGGCTAGGCTAGCTCGGGTGCGCTACTGCTAGATGCCGTGGTTCAGATGCGGCGGTCCCTGGCGGCCGGGTGAGATCCGGGGCCGACCAACCAGCGGTGTATCTACAACGCGACCAAGACCCCTCGAACATCGCCAGAAAAACTGCTACGGACGATGTGACGAGGGTCCTCCATCGCCGACTACCTTTATTTAGGGAATCTGATGCGTGGTGGTGGTGTTTGCGCTCATGGCGATCCGTAGCATTGATGGGGAGGTTCCAGGTGAGGGCAACCCCGCGGTGGTCACATGACCCGGTACTATCTATAACCATCACCCAACCCCCCTCTTAGTCAGTAACCCGGACTCCGTCAAATCAGCCCTAATTAACTTCCTGTGTCCTCACCTCCCGGGCCAAGGCCCGAATCGTGGTCTCGTAGTCCTCCGGCTCGCGTCCCAAGATCTCCCTCAACAGCGGTGTCACCACCGCTGTCTCCCCCCGTCGGATCGCATCCCACGCCGTCGCCCACTCCCTCGCCAGGTTAATCCCATGATAGGTGTGCTTCGTGCCATGCGTCGACAACGCCGCATACTCGTCTAGTGAGATCTCGCGAATGCGAACCGTCCGCCCGACGGCTCGACCGAGGATCTCGACGGTCTCCTGCAGCGAATATTCGCGCGGCCCCGAGAGCAACACCAGCCGATTGACATACGGGAAGGAGCGCGGATCCTGCACGTAGGAGGCGATCAAGTTGGCGGTGGCTTCACCGAGTTCGTCGCGTTTGGCCCACGTGACCCCCGGCGGGGTCCCAGCGTGCGGGATCGTAACCTCCTCCACGGGATGCGCCAGATCAAACCAGGCCGTGTAGATCGGGAACGACTCCGAGTAAAGCCCTTCCCGGATCGCCGTGTAGGTGATGTCGCTCTGCGCTTGGAGATCGGCCAAGTATTGCTCGGTTCGTAGATGGGCGCCCATCACGTGTGCCACGCTGGAGTCGGTGAGATCTCCCGCAAACGCGAGCGACGAGTAGAAGATATGTTTGACACCGCTGCGGCGCGCGCAGTCGATGGCATTGCGATGGGCCTAGTCGTAGTCAGTTGTTGCCTTCGTAGTCATCGCTCGCAAGTAGACTTAGGGAGAGGAATCACCTCCACGCGATACTGGATCTCAAACGACGCATACGAAATCAGCATCAACACGTCCACCCCATCGAACACGCGTTCCAGCGACGAGGGATCCTCATAGTCTGCGCGTCGCACGGTCGCACCGAGACGACTCAATTCCGCCAGAGAGTCGGGCTTGCGGGCGATGAGGACGAGTTGGTCGGCGGGGACGAGTTTGACGAGGTGGTTGATGACGCTGGTTCCCAAGCCGCCTGCCGCGGGGAAGATGCCGACCTTGGCCATGTTGGAGGTCGCGCTTTGCTGCTTCGCGTCTATTTGTTCTGTGGTCTTTACTGACGTGCGACAATCAAGGAACTGTATGTGTTTCAATGTGAATGGATCATTACACTGTCGGATTCTCTTCTTGATTCCATATACAACAAACAAAATATCACGGTTGATGCCATCTTGACTTGCTCTTTGGTCTTGGCGGTTGTGCTTACAAATGAAGTTATGTCCGCTGGCTATGTCCGTTGGATTACCAACCACGTCGTATTCATGAGATTTGGCTATTCGGAGTGATTCGATGTTATTCTATCTAATGGGCAGAGTAGGATGGAAAAGTTGTCGAGTTTGTTTGAACTTTTCATGGCTGTGTTGGTTTCAACGGTGGTTCAACCGTTGAACCGTTGAACCCTCGGCTAGAGAAACATTCATTGCCACCGGCCCAATGAATATTGTCGAGTACTACTTACATTCTTTGGTGGCAATTTACAATTGACTCGTGGGGTACATAGTTAGAATGTATAATTATGTATGAAAGCTTTCATTACTCTAATGCTTGTCCAAAGTTCAAATCCAATGTAGACCCCGGCCGGATATATATTTTGCAGCATATACACTATCAGCTCTAACATAGTTCACTCTAGGATCATACCATGCACACAATAGACCCCGTCTTCATAAGGTATGCTTGCTATTGCCTACAGCGATATTACGCGACATAAGTCGAAAAACCAGAAACACAACCTCTGCAGAAAAAAGTACATATGCACCTCGCATAACCCCCTACAAACCACCACAAGTTCTGTGTATGAATATTTACATATCCGTTTTCTAAGCCCTAATTCAATAAAACAATACTAATAGAAATAGGTACTCACCTCCCCCGCCATCGCATGTACTGTACTAAAACCCACAGAGTAGCCGATATAAAAACTGACCCCGTGGCCAGACTTCTGGAACGAGGTGGTCTGCGGCCGAGTGTCAGAAAGTCTCGGCAAAAATGTGGATGGAACGCTGAGTGGGGACGCTCGCTCTCTATGACGTCGCAGAATGCTGAGCTATTTATTATGGATAGCGGACGCGCACTAGCACCGCTGAACGGTGGAGTCTTTTTCTTCTTTTTATTATCAGGAACGAAGGGATCAGCGGGTGGGTTACTGTTCTGGTGAGGAATACTAGTAATTAAAAAGAGTTGAGGTGAAGCAAAAAAAAAAAATCAAATAAATTGGGAAAAAGCGAGAATAATAACAATAATACTAAGGAAAAGAATTCATTCTGAACCCAACCCTACCCCTTCGTTAACATCCCACTGCCGAACTCGACCGAACCCCCTATCCCTCCCTAACCCTAACGAACCCCCCCTACAGCGGAGCCCAACTCACCAAACCGACTGCACAGCATTGACAAGCCCCAGCAGCTGCATCCGCCTCGTATACGTATTTCGCAGATCCACCCGTTTCCGATCGTCGGCCGAGTTGTGCCCCGTCACCAACACGATCATGAAAAACGACTCGATCAAGCTGGGCGGCACATTACACAGCAACTGGCCCGTCAGCGTCCATCGCATGGCGCTAGCGCCCGCAACCAACCCCAGGATGGTCACCACCCCTAACACGACCGTGATTTCGTGCGCGCATACGCGCCCCATGGTGACCGACACGCGGTGTGTCAGCGAGTTGTCGGCGACGACCTCGTCGCTGGGCGCGGGAATGCCGGCGGTAGCGAAGAGGCTCGCGTCGTGGGCGGTGATGCGGGCGAATTCGGCGTCGACGTAGCAGCGCAGGCGGGCTTGCATGTTGCGCAGCACGAAGCCGTCGTTCATGCCGACCAGCCCTGCGTAGGTGCCGATGAGGAGCCACCAGTTGGAATCGAAGTGCAGCAGGGGCCCGATGGCGATCCAGATGATGATGACGGCGACCAGGATGGCGATGCCGACGAGGGTGCCGACGAAGTCGGCGTAGTAGAAGATCGCGCGTTGGATGGGGCTGACGCGCGGGGCGGGGATGATGACGGTGTCGTTGGGGAGGGTGTCGTGGGTTAGCTGGCGGAGCTTGGCTTCGAGGGACGCGTCGACGTGAAAGATGGCGTCGAGGCAGCTGCGGGTGTAGACTGCGTGGCGTTCGCGGATGTTGGCGAGGAAGGCGAAGACGAAGACCATCAGCGCGGACGACGCGGAGTTCATGTACAGTTGCCACTTGTCGCTGTAGTTGGAGAGATGCCCGAGGCCGATCCAGGTGAAGACGCCCGCCCAGAAGAGGATGATGGTGCCCAGGTGGCCGATGACATGCGAGACCCAGGTGATGGTCCGTCCGAACAGGGTTTCGGTGGGGAGCTCTGCGCCGAACTCGAGCTCGTTCTGGTGCTCCTTGACGAGGTTGATTAGGGGGGTGGTTTTCTCCTGGTCTTGGGCTTCGAGCTTTTGGCAGAGCTTCGCGAGCATCCGTTTGTGGCTGAGGATCCGGGACTCCAGCTCGGCGGCTACGACCATCTCCTCTTCGTATGCGTTCAGTTGCTGTCGCACGAGGAAGGAGTCGAATATGTAGCTGACGATGGCCTGGATGTCGGAGATCAGGACCTGCCAGCTATCGGTCGATCCGTACTTGATCCCGAGGAGAGCCCAGGTGAGGAGGCCCGCGAGGATCAGGAAGAAGACAGGCTCGGAGCCAGACACTCGCACAACGAAGTCCAGCCAGCGATCGAGCATCTTGGGCTTGCTTTTGGGTACATAGCCCTTGATATCTGGGTGATCAGCGTGCTCTTCCCCATCCACGTGTTGTGTCGGGGCGACGCCCTGGATCTCAGGCTTGGCGCCTGGTTTGCGCAAGATATCCATGAAGCGATCCATTGGGACTGATGTGAACTCTTTGTTTTCGTTTTCTTTTTCTTTATCCTTTTTTGTTCCTTTTCTTTCTCTTTTAATTTTGGCGACAGGATAGCACCGACGAAACGACGAACGAAGCAACCGGTGATCAATCTGTCAAACTAGAACATGATCAGCACTCGTAAGTATCCCAAACACATCCATCAACCTACAATAAACAATATATTCCATTACCCCATCACAGAGTAGTCTCCAGACATGTATAGTCCAAAGCCAGTCTTATGGAGGACGAGGCTCTTCCAAAAGTGCCAGCAAGCAACCACCCGGTCTGTGGTTACGGCATACCAGCGCAGGAAGAATCGGGCATAGAATTGCAGGGAGGTTATTCATCGATGTGGCGTGGATATTGGATGATAGCGATTGATACTGGAGCAGGAGGATGTGTTGTTCAGGGTTAATATGGAGCAGATAAGCAAAGGAGAGGGTCTTCGGTGGTTTTATGTTACTCGCGCGGCATATATAGAGAGGGTGCTGCCCACTCGAGAGCCACACGTGGCTGACATGCGCGATTTAAAATTTCCAATTAAGGTTAACTAGAAAGCTTGTCTAGGATAAAAATACTTTGATTTGATTTTGTCAGATATTCCGGTCTTGTGCTTTGTATGGCTACATGGTGTTACTCAATGCGGTCTTTGTTCTATCTGCACTACCTTTGAATAGCTGGACAGTGTTCATAAGCCTATGTACTATCTAATATCAAATTCAGTGCTACCGATTATACACAAAGAAACCCATCCAGAGCACACAGTCCCCCCGAAACCCACGACAAGCCCCATGAAAAATTCTGACTCTGACCCATCCACCGCGGAAAATGCCAGCCGGAACCGAGTTCGAAATCTGGTATGGCAGAACCAGACTGCCAAATCGGGTGCCACGCCAGCCCGTCCGTGCCCAGAGATAAGCTTTGCTGAAATACGGGTGCCTAAAGTGGATAGATGAGGTTAGACTGGATGCGGTTGTGATATGCAGAGTTTACCCTTACGGTGGTTTTCTGGAACGTCCTGGACCCTGAATTTCTTGGGTGCACACGAGCTGCTGTCGTGGGTTGGGTCTCACCGTAGTGATTAGGTTCGTTTGGGAAGCTTTGATCAGTGTTCAAAGTTCCGTCGCAGTAGATCTATCACGTTAGGATTTTCTGAGTTTATTGGCGATATGCTTTACGAGCGTTTCTTGGGTTATGTGAAGATGCTTGTCTTTTGGCGTTGGAGACTCAGATGGGCATCGATTGGGATTTCTTTTGTTAGGGCGATTTGAGAGAAGCGGTGCTCGTTGAGGGATTTAGGGTTAGGATGCTCGTGATGGCGGATGGGGCTTGACATACGGAGGATGGAGGGAATTCGCTTGACATTCTAGCCAATAGATAGTAATTCATGCTATTCACCGCTAGAGCTAAATCAAGAATACACAATGTTGATCATTGTTTTTGGTTCTCTAATTCTATCGCTGGTAGACGAAAGCGTGACACACCATGACCTAACGGTACATCTGTGGAAGAACCAGGGAGCCACAAAACCTTATCAAAAGATATCAAGAATAGCATCCGCCCCAAGCCAGCTGTAAGGAAATTGGCTATTAACTAGCTGCCACATAAGGTCGTCTGCCATTGGGTAGCATGCATCCCCCACTCCTTGCTCCGAGACATCTGCACTCATATACGTCGTGTAGGCAGTTGATGATAGCTGGGGACCCAAACCTTGCGTGAGCTCAGTTTCAAAGGCGGGGACACTTGTGTTGGTCGGCACATGGTTGGGCGGTGCTTGTGTCGATGAAGGGCCTTCTTCTGTCATATGTGATTGTCGATTCTGGTAATCCATGTTATGAAATAAGGGATCACAAAGCCGCAGCAGAGACGTTAATAGGCTTAGCAGACGTGCTAGATACGGAGTAGCTTTGAATTGTGATAGCCCCTTTATTATCTGCTGTACCAAGCGATAGTCGGTCTCATCCGAAGTGGCAATAATATTACAAAAGACAACGAAAAACGGGGCCGCTGGGTATAAAGCGATGGTCCTATCATACCAGTGTTAGCTTATACGACATACATTAAAACAAGGAAAGGCTGCAAACCATGTTAGAAAAGACGGTTCTGGGTCGTTGAATCCTGGCATATGATCGACATGTTCTTGGAGGTAATGGAATGCTCTGAGCGCTCGTCTCGAGTATACTAAGCAGTCGGAGTGAGTTGCTGGACTGCCATCGTAGCCTAGCCGTGTTCGAAGCATATCGACATAGATTGCATAATAGCTAAAATCAGCGGCTACCCAGTCATACAATGCTGGGCCAGAGATAGCACTTCGAGTCTAGGGTAATATCAGCTAGCTGTTAGATGATACCGGAATGCAAGCTTACTTCTTGCAAACTTGAATAAACTCTATCCATCCGCTCTTGAACGCCTTGAAAGATCTCGAAGATCCGAGACCTGGATTTGTCGCTGTCGTTGAGTGTTATATCCAACAATGTTCCTTGAACCTTTGCTAAATCTAGAAGCACGAGTAACAACTTATTATAGGGTGATGATATATTAGTGGTAATAAAGCCTGTCGGAGGCGCATTCAATTCTGTTAGCGAGGGATGTCGTATTAGGAGAGCACTCGTAGTTCGATCGAGATAGAAGCACCAGTAGACGGCACTCTGAATCTCATCGTTGCAGCCTGATTGAGAGGGCGGAGAACAAGGCTTATGATAGTTTAGAGATATGATCTGGCGAGCAGCATACGAGTTCAGTAGCCAGCACTGGCTAATATTGGTGGTGTGTTGCATCAGTAATGCCTAGAACTTTGGTTAGTAAGGTAGGTTATTTCCATCAGCGACATCACTTACAGCTGAAATGAGAGCCTGGATAAGTGACAAGCTCGGCGTCGATATAAGATTGATGTGCTTGAGTGCTTGAAGTGCAGCAGCCTCGTATGTTCGTTTCGACTTCTGAAGCTGCTTCTTTACCGCGGGGTTTGTCGATCTCCGCGCCAATTGATATAGATGAAACATCGCTTTCACATAGACACAAATACTATATTGATGGAAAAGCTGTCCCTTGCAGTCGCCATCGAGAAGACTAGTCATCATTCTTTCGAAAGCCTTGTTGGATATATGATCGGGCCATCTGATATGGTGGTGAGGCCCATCGCCCATACTTGGCTCTAGATACCATTAGTCCCCACCAAAGGGAATAAGAACATGTATGCCTACCTGGAAGAAGCATGTAGAGCAGCTCCGCTGGAGGAGACTGAGGAATCTCAATATCGAGTAGTTCGCGGGCAGATTCTCCTTGGTCAATGGGTTCGTGTAAATCCAAGTGCTCCCCCCTCGACATTCTATCAACGAGCTTCACAGCCGACTCAAAAATTCTTCGCCGCTCGTTGCTCAGATGTCTTCTGCCCAATTGCCTACCATCAACCTCAATCTGTATTACAAGCTTGGCCTGCTGTGCATGATGGGTTGAATTGTCTGGTGTAGCAGCCGGGTTACACGCAGTAGGAGTTTTTGCGTTGGCATGACTGTCCAGCTTTCTTCGCTTTGCAGCTGCGTTTTCTTCTTGTTCAGGGATGCTGTCCAATATATGGCTCTCGCTAGAATATGTAAGTCATAGCAGTACTACTGCCCTGGCAACGCGCGACATATCATACCTCTGTATATTTGATGTCGCTCGCTCTACTCGAAAGACACTCTCTTCCGGTAGCCTGGACGATCACCCATCACTAAAATATCCTATAGACAGAGCGGGGAAGAAAAGTAAAAATTAAAGAAACCAACTGTGACACGTCAAGTACCCATACCTTGGTGAGAATTTCGGTTTCGATGCCCGTCCGGGGCGAAGACGTTGGCATGCGACCCCAGCATCGACACAGTTAGCGCAATTGCGCTCTCTATTGCATTTAACTTTTCTCGAATAACAAAGATCACACTATCTCTCATCAGATTTGGGATCTCGGGTGATAAGAGAGAGCATTGTATAAGCTAAAGTAGAGATGGGGCTAATCTCACTGCAGGGAGAATATCCTCCGGCATGATGTCACTCTACCCGATGCAAGTTCTTTCGGGTTTGCTGGGGATTGCTAGCTTCGACCAGAAAGCCCACAATTGGTATATATTCTTAGATTCTCAATCCCGAGTTGTTCATCAGTGAAACAGCAGCGGTTTGTTAGGTACAGCAGAGCCATGTTCTGGTTGTACCCGCTCTGGAAAAGCCATGGCAAGGGCCGTGTCACCTGACCTTGCCTCTCATGATTGCTATCTTCCCTTTTTTTTTTTCCCTCTTACTTTTTACATGCTTTATGTGGTAAGTATATGCAGAGCTTTCATTACTACGTCTATGTCTCATGTAACATTTGAGCAATCATGTCCATATGGGGACCCTTAAGGCCTCATGGGACACGAAGATACCCTACCACCATTTGGTCCGTCTCACATCTAAGCTTCATACTTTATCCCCCATAGTACTTCCTACTAGCCCTCAGCACTGTTAATATGCACCGTATGAACCCGGAAACTATCTACTGCGACCATCTTCTCAACTATTACTAATAATTGACAAAAAATTGCTCCTTTTCCGAGCAACCGAGGCCAGCCAGGGACGCTAAGCCGTTTTCGCTCGGAAGCCCGGTCAGACAACCGAGCGCGAATACGGTAATAATACCTATACCAAACATACCAGACAATGCGCAATGCCCGGTGAAATATTACGGGCCCCAAGTATGACATACATTCTACTATGGCGGGCTTCATCGATATAACGCATCACGAACATGCTTAACTAGAGAATTTCAGAACTTGCGGATTCGAGGCTTCTGGAACGGTGTACAAAGTTCCTTCCCTGTCAATTCAGAGGATGCAGCACGATATCAGGCCAATAACTGATAGGTTCTCCTTTTCGGTATTATGCAAATTTCTAAATTGTCTGTCTGCTACGTGTTTAATAGAAACCCCGAAATTCATGCGGAGAAGCTTTCCATGTAACAATCCCAATGGCATCAGCTGAAAATCATTCACAGGTCCTCATATACCCTTTATACTCCATTCTGAATGGTCTCGTGGAACTCCTGCTGGGCTTCATCGTGGCCCGCAACCTTTATACCCGGCGCATCGATATGCTCCTCAGCCTTCCTATCCATGCACAGCCGATAAGCTTTCTCCATATCCCAATAAAATGGCCTCGAGGTCGAAAAAAGATAATCAATGGACTCCAAAGTCCGATTACGCGTCTCTGGGTAGAATAAGTAGATAACTGGAACCCACAGAAGATTCAATCCAGCGAGTAGGAAGTAACTGCGACTTCCGATACTTCCAAACATTATGGGATTGACCAATGTGGTCATCCCAACTCCAATGGCCCAGCCGGTAATACCAAAGCCATTGCCTTGAGCCCGGAGGTTGGAGGGAAATATCTCGGTCGGTATCAAGAAAGCGACGGTTCCCCAGGTCGCTGCATATCCCAGGTTGAATAGAAATAGCATCGCAACAGCAGCAGGGGCAAGCTGATCAGCTTTATCCGGCTGATGAAGGGATGCCTCGTAGACAGATCCTGCCTGAAGTGCATACATCTTAGAAATCCGAGCTATAAACAGCGTGGGCGGGCTTTGGCACTTACTACAAGCTCAACAGTGAATAAAATGACGGAGCCAAGAATCAAACATTTTCTCCTCCCGATCCGATCTACGATCTGCGCACTGATAATAGTGCCCAGAATACCGATCGTATTCAATCCCCCGGCAAGGCCATTTTGGGTCAGCTCGCTGTAGCCAGCTTGACTAAGCAGAACAGGAGAATATGCCGTAACGGCCTGTAAAAGGTGAGAATCTATGAGCGTCATCATCCATACAACCAATATGTTAAAAGACTTACCGTGATTCCTGTCCAAGATGCCATAATCTGGAGCCATACACACAGCCAGGCGCGTCGGCCCAGATTGGAGCCGGGCCTTTCGCCTTTGCCAATTAAGATTTTAGCAAATTGAATGGGCGAGCTCAATTTGCCTTCTTCCACTGTCGCAATAATATTTTTGTATTCGAGGTCAATCTCTGATTGGCTGGCTTGATGACAACGGATCTTGTTAAGGACCTCCTGAGCTTCGGCATAACGACCGACAGATGCAAGGAAACGCGGACTATCCGGCAGCATCTTAATGAATAACAGCAGGATAAGTGCTGGAACACATTGAAACGCTAACAGAAAGCGCCAGCGAACATCCGAATAGCCACCATTGATAAAAGCAAGACCAAACGACAGCCAGTATGCGACGGAGATTCCTAGATCTTCCAAGACAATCCTGTCAGTATATTCTGGGGGAGCTTTATACAATGTCTGGCACTCACAGTTTGCAATGAAGACGTATCCTAGGAAGGCTCCGCGATGATCAGCGGTCGACGTCTCTGATACCAGTACTGGTGCTATCCCAGTCAATGCTAGCCAGATCAGCTTCTCCCAGTAGGTTTAAGGGCGGAAGGCGGGCATACCACCAGTACCAACGCCTGTCACCACCCTGGCGACGAGCATGAAGTCTGAACTCTGAGCTGCAGCTTGCAAAGCGCCTCCCACGAGCGCAAACACGGCTCCGACCAAGAGGCCATTGATACGGCCTAACCGATCGGCCAGCCAGCCGCCTCCGAAGCAACCGAAAATGCATCCAAGGTAGTAGATGCTAACAATACCTCCCTGGTGGGTGGTATCGGTTACTGTGCCATCCGGTTCACCAATTCCAACCTCTGTAACGTATCTTGGAGCGCTGTTGACACCTCCCATGACACCTTGATCATATCCCTCGAAGAATATGCAAACGAGAGAAAACGCCTGAATCATAACATTGAGTTGGCGTGGGGATAACCGCCTCCAAAATGTGGTATACCCCATGGTCGTAAACACGCGGAAACACACCGAATGCAGTTATCAATTGATTATGCTTTCAATTTTGTTGAAATGCAAAATGTAGTTCGACCGGGGGTGGTTGGCCTATTTTATACCGCGGCCTATGATATGACCGGATTGTGAGATTCCATCCCTGGATTTTACAACCTGAGAAACAACATGCCGACGCCCATCGAGATCTAAGGTCTTGGGGATGACAAGAACTATTGGAGAAAGAACGTTCAGTGGCACCGAATGGAAGAACTGAGTATTCACGCGTCCAACAAGGGTTTGTGGGAGTGGCACCGATTTGCCGTTTAGACGCTTAGCCATTTAGCCGCTTAAACGTCTAGGCTTTTAGGCTTTCAACAACACAAGCAGAGTAATTGTTGCCTGAGGCAACCGCCGTTCCGGAAACCTACGTTTTAAGAATAAAGGGCAGTTTAACTACTGAGAAATAGCTCTGTATTACATGAATAGCATTATATTTGATATACTTGATTAGAAAATGTACTTTCTTTGTAATATATAGAGAAAAATCGGTATAATATCAAATTTCGAGCCTTTTGTGTAATAGGTGGTAAATGTATGGCTGCTATGGGCCTCCATGGCCGTGTAGCCGTCTAAGCGTCGCCTTTCAACACGAGGCATTCAGGCACCAAGGCGGACAAGGTGAGGACTGCGGCAGCGACTCATGTATTTATTCCCACAGCGTCCCCCTCCTCTTAGAAGGGATTCATAGTCAGTGTCTCCAAGATGTCTTTGCGTTGCGATAGTATGGATCCTAATCCTTCCGTGTCCCGCTCCCTGGACCTGACCGTCCTGGGATTGAATAGCGGTACTTCGATGGTAAGTAGATGAGATTGAGCAGCGAAGGATTAGGAAGTCATGAAAGCTTAGCTATGTAACTATAGGATGGAATCGATTGTGCTCTGTGCCATTTCCAACAAGAAACGCCAGATTCACCCATGAGGTTCGAGCTTCTCAAGGTATACTAATGTCGCATGCCGTCCAAATCCCGTTTAGGCTGACCCAAAGTCTTCTTTCCAACAGTATGGTGAAATCCCCCTAGAACAAACAATCAAGCAACGCGTCATGAATATGATCCTCCACAATAAAACCTCTCCCTCTGAGTTATCGGAGGTGAATGTCATCCTTGGTGAGACATTTGCAGCGGCCGTCAAGGAGTTCTGTGCACAATATAATGTTGATATCTCGTCGATCGACATCATTGGTTCCCACGGTCAGACCATCTGGCTTCTGTCTATGCCTGAAGAGGGAGAGGTCCGCAGTGCTCTTACCATGGCTGAGGGCTCCTTCATTGCCTCCCGCACGGGAATCACTACTGTGACCGACTTCCGGGTTAGTGACCAAGCAGCGGGTCGCCAGGGAGCACCGCTCATTGCTTTTTTCGATGCCTTGGTCCTGCACCATCCGACAAAGTTACGCGCTTGCCAGAATATTGGTGGAATTGCAAATGTTTGTTTTATTCCGCCTGATTCCCTAGGGGGTGTTGATGCCTGCTACGATTTCGATACCGGCCCGGGTAATGTATTTATTGACGCCGTTGTCCGACATTACACCAACGGCCAGCAGGAGTATGACAAGGACGGCGAGATGGGCGCTCGCGGCAGAGTGGATCAGGATCTGGTAGATGAATTTCTTCAAACTCACCCCTACTTCCGGCTTGACCCACCGAAAACCACTGGCCGCGAGGTATTCCGAGATACTCTAGCATTTGATCTCATTCGCAAGGCAGAATCCAAAGGTCTTGGCCCCGATGATGTCGTTGCGACTGTTACTCGCATTACCGCGCAGGCTATCGTTGACCATTACCGCCGCTATGCCCCCAAAAATATCCCTATCGATGAAATCTTTATGTGTGGAGGCGGCTCTTATAACCCAAATATTACCCAGTATATACAAGCACAGTACCCCGACACGAAGATTCTGATGCTGGACCAAGCAGGCATCCCCGCGTCCGCAAAGGAAGCTATCACTTTTGCCTGGCAGGGCATGGAAGCAATCGTGGGCCGTTCTATTCCCGTCCCCACCCGGGTTGAGACTCGACAGCCATATGTCTTGGGAAAGGTATCACCAGGTAAGAACTATCGCAGGGTGATGCGGCAAGGAATGCAGTTCGGAGGTGATACGGACGGGCTGTCTCCAGTAAAGGAGATGGTCAACTACGTGAACGGAAAGGAGTTCAATAACAAATGGTGATGCGTTAGTAATAAGGAAAGATCATAACAATCGGACTGTATAGCTCCTTCTGGACATAAAACGACATCCTTCGGAATTAGAGAGTGACTCATAGATGGATATTAGTCCATGCGGCTATTGTGTCCTGAAGGCGCAGAGCAGGGAGGGCAAGGCCACAACCATCCATATTTGTAGCCAATGGCGTTAGCCAAGATTAATAAACTTTAGCGTGCTATAACCCTTAATATTAAATCTTTCTATACGATAAGTTCTAAGAAACTTAGGAATTACATACATTTCTCTATAAACATGCGCCGTAAAAACAACAGTTATTGGGAGATAGCCCTATATTATATGTGTAATAGTTTATAATGGAAAATGTTTTGAAGATAGTGGCCCCTAAATCTAGGCAGTGCAGCCCTGGGAACCTTATATACTACTAGTAAAGCCCCTAAAATTAAGGTTAGTAAAAAGGCGGTGATGTTGCACATGACATAATCACATGGTGGCGTTCGGCAACAGAAGTTTGAATGTAGACCCTGGACCGCATCTTTGTTGGGCGATACCTTATGTGCAAGTGAACAAGATGCCACAGCGTCCCCGAAAATTTCAGCGCATCTCAAGGGCTTGTACGTTACACCCTCACTCCCCAATGGTCCCGCTCTAATAGCGCCCAGGTGACTTTTGCCATCGACGTAGCATAAAATGCACGAAGCCCCGAGGCCCACTCCACCCCTGTGGGAACTGTGTAGATTTTGATATACCTTGTACCTATGAGCGTCCGTCACGGAGAAGGGGTGGGAATAGAGGAGCCCGCCAAGAGAGACACGAGCCTGCAAGTCAACAGAATACGGAAGTCGGAGTTGCCACCACCCCCTCTCGACCAGTTCATTCGGATGATGCTTTTCACTCTGGCATGAATCCTCAATTATCCATGGCAGTCAATAACTCCTGGGCAACTGTGGATCAGGAGTATAGCTCCGATCCATCATTGAATCCCTGGAAGGCACTTGCAATCGCCTGTCAGTCTGTGGTGCAGGATCTCGCCCAGGTATACTTTGAGATTGTCTACCCGATGTAGTTCTCTCCTTTCGTGCCTTGAGAGGGTATGCGAGGTAATTGTATCCGAACTAACCGTATTGTACTGCACAGATTTCCTTTCTTTCATCGACCGTCATTCTTGAGAGTCCTCCATAATAAAAAGCATCTTGAGGACCAGGGTCTATTTGCCTCAACAATGGCAATGTGCTCCCTAGCCTCTGCACGCGCTAGGGATGGCGCTTTATATTCGAATCGGCGATCACCATCTCAGCTCTCCCATCCGCCACCGGAGGTTTTCTGGACAGCAGCTGCGGAGTCTATACCTCGCAACCTGGCTGCAGCAAGAGGCATCGAATATATGAGGGCATGTGCGATTCTCAGCATTACCGCTATTCAAAATGGTCAGATCCGGGAGATGCATAAATATCTAGGGCACTATCATACATTAAGTATTATGGAAGGGCTACATGATGAGAAGTCATGGCCTAAAGACTTGAGTACCATTGAGGTTGAGGTTCGACGGAGGCTGGTACGTCACTGGGCCCATGCGATACCTATGACCGGTGTCAAACTAATGCCCAAATTAGTTCTGGTCTATGTATACACTTGATGTTTATTCGGCGACCGTGTGGGGAGGCATGGTCCGCTTCAGAGAAATCCAGTCAAATGTACGCTACCCCAGAGAGGTAAATGACGACCTGCTGGATTTCGAAAACAAAGCACAAATATCGGCGGATTATACCACTCCGGCTTCTAATACTTATGAATACTCTGTATGGATGCGGGGGTGGAATTTCACTACTGATCTTTATAGAATATTGGAGCATGCTATTGATGGCCAGCGGCAAACGCTGCGCGGCGAGAATGAGAGCCCTTGGTCATTATTTCGTCCTAACCCTGTCCCAGGCCATTTAATTATAAAGCATGTACATTCTATGTTCTCAGCTTTACCGTCGCAGCTTCGATTAACCGGACCCGTCACTGGCGACCCTGAGAATGATATTGTGGGATTCCAATCAGCCAATATTCAAGCAACGCTCCAGCTTCTTAACATGGTCCTTTCTTCAAATGAGGACCAAGGAATAGAGGAGAAATGCGAAGTTGCTGGTAACGTGCTCAACGTGTTTACCAAAGTCCCGATTGAATATCTAAAAGCTATCAGTTCTCCACTGGTATGTTCTTTGCCCGCCATACTTTGTACCTCTCCGCTCCTACCACTTTAGATAGACACATACTAACTTTTTGAAGCTCTATCACTTGGGGGGAATTGGGTTTATTCTTGGATCTGTCATGGAAGGAAGCCTCTCTGAGGTGTCTTATCAAAGAATCCGCAAGCTTCTGTAAGCATCCAGTAGCATCATGTGACGGTCTATGCCAACGTTTGCTAATTGACAAGTAGATTAGAGATGGCAGCACTTCTGTATCAAATGGAATCGGGACTTACCTGCTCCACTGGCGCCAGTGAACGACTCAAAACACAAGTTATGCGTATAGATGAGTATATGGATAAGACTCGGCATGCCAGTATGCACGCTGGGCTGGCAGAAATCGGCCAATCGCAACACTTCGAAGGCTACGTACAACCTTCTGCAGTCCAGTCTGCAGACTTTGATGATCCGCTAACTTGCTTTGAACTGCCTTCAGACTTACTGGATGACTGGCCATGGTCGTCCGGTGCTGGCTCGTTAGGTGGGATGTTTCCGATGGCGTTAGCGAAGACAGATAACTAGATGGTTCGTTGACTTATTCAAATTTTCCAAACCTCCAATCTTCCTACCATGGCGGTGATGTATAATAGACATAGAACAGAGTAATGCGACTTCTAAGGAAGATGTCAAATTTACAAAGACTCAAGTTGACGTTTCATGTCAGATCTAGAAGTTAAACCATATAGACTCATCGTAGGAAGACTTTCGGAATTAAACTCGTATAGATACACGAGAAGAAAAATAGCCCAGGATAGCCCCCAATGTCAGAAGCCTTCAATCATCAGTCCACAAGTCTCTGGCTCCTTCTCACCACTGCTATCTTCAGCATCGTTGCAGCCAGTTTCTTTCTATGTTCAATCAATAACTGACCCCTGGGTAATTCTGCTCAAAAAACAAGTATATGACAGATACTCGTCGTGCCGAACCGTCGTTTATTTGGTAGTTTCGATGACATCCCCAAGCATGGCCATCACAAGCTTCGACTTGTCCAGGAACTTCTCTTCGTCGGCCGCAATCTGAGCAGCGGCATCAGGGGCGTACACCTTCGCACCGAAAGCTTGGAACGCAGCCTGATCGGCGAAGGTGAGCTCGGCATAAGCATCGAAGTCAAAGTCGGTCTGTTGTCCGAGAAGCACCGTGGCGGGGGTCAGGGGATTGCGGCCACTAGCATCCCCGACCGGGGTCTCGACAGTGTTGCGCGCGACATAACTGCGCCTGTGGGAGAGAGGGAAGTCCTCGCCGGAGAGATTTTTGACGAGGTCGACGTGAGCTTCGTAGTGTTTCTTGAACTCCTCGAGGGAGAGACCGGGTTTACGGTAGGCGTAGATGAGGACCTTGAGGGACATGTTAATAGGTGTGGGTAGAACAGAGAATTGGGGTTTGAGAAGGTAGATTGTCGCAAAGAAGTAGAGAGGTGGAAGAGCGCATAGTAGACAACGCAGCGATTAAATACTACCTCCTGTACCCTGCTTATAAACCAACGTGGGGGCCAAATGACTTCGTAGGGACGGTTTGCGGTTTACTAGTAGCCTCCAGAGATCCTGGATCCCACATGTTTCTACTAGGATATAGCATTGGAAGATCCTTCTTGACTTGATCTTTGCTCCAGAGACCTAGCTGCACATATTGATGCCTCAGGTATCTAGCTCCCAAAGAGACCTTACTAACAAATACTGGTTGATCGTAATTACTATGTATCATCTGCGTGAGCCCGTAGACGCTAAACCTTTTTGGCTCGGACATCCGACCCTTCGATAAGAATTCTCAACGATCTTCAAGTTTCAGAGACATTTTGGTAATTGAATCACTAGTGAATATACTAGCATCTCCTTCTCGGGATTTCTAACGGCAATCTCCGGTATAGTGGGGAGGATGGATAAAAATCGAGAATTGGCCCCATGACTAATTTCTGGATGAACTGCGTGTATATAAACTAGTCCGCATACTACAAGTAACTAAACATCTCTATCTCGAGAAATTATTTCACCCCATATCAACATGGCAACCTATATTGTGACCGGAAGCTCCCGCGGACTGGGACTCGCCATGATCCAAGAACTGGCATCTCGGGACCCCACGGATGTCAGCCTTGTGATCGCTGCGACTCGGAAATCCACCGCCGCGTTAGATGAGATCGTCGCCCGAGAATCCGGTCGTGTAGTTTTCATTCCGCTAGATGTGTCCAATGAGGCCAGTATCTCTAATTGCGTCGAAACGGCAGGATCAGTCGTGGGCCAGAAGGGAGTGGATGTCCTGATCAACTGCGCTGGTGTTCATTCGTGGGTTGAGGGGAAGACTGAGAATATGTGAGGGTTTTATTCTATTCAAAGATAGTATACTTCGTTCAAAGTCTAATCAGCATTGAAGGTCCGATCTCGACTACCAGCTTTCTGTGAACGTGGTTGGAACACATAATGTGACGCGCGCCTTTCTACCTCTCTTGAGAATGGGCAAGTCGAAGAAAGTGGCTAACATGTGAGTTATCTCCACCGATAATAGTATTCCTTCGACTGACAGTTATCTCCACTAAACTAGCTCGACGGCCTTTGCCTCCATGACACATGCGGAAATGTCTAGGGTTGCCAACTGCCCGGCCTACAAGATAAGCAAGGCTGCTCTCAACGCACTTACCGTTCAATACGCCATGTCCTACAAGGATGAGGGATTGATCTTCCTTGCAGTTAGTCCCGGGGTAAGTTATTCAAGTGGATTTAGTGGCCGTTTTATGCTTGCTAACTGATGCAGTGGCTGAAAACTGATATGGGTGGCGATGATGCTCACCTCACGGCGCAAGAGGGAGCACAGGCGGTTCTGAATGTAGTCGACAAAGCGGATATTAATTCGAGCGGGACTTTTAAGAATATCGATGCTCCTGGCTGGGATATGTATAATGGAAAAGATATTGCCTGGTAGAGGGAATAACTGACGTACATGAGCGTTCTTGACAGAGTGGGAAGGGAAACAAGATATAGATTTCTGAACATTATAGACAGACTTCTCATTAATCTTCCCTTCATGCAAATTAGCCATTAAGGTACCGTTAAGGTTACTAGGACAACCTTTAAGAGGGTGGACCCTGAGTTTCCTTCTGGTAGCAACCTTTCCACCACCGGGCAGAAACCTTTCGTAAACGTGCAGTCTTCTGTCTTGGGAGGGATATCTCTTGGACCGCCTTGGAAACCTTCAGCAAATATAGTATATTTCATTATCGCTCCATGCTTCTGTTTGTATACCCTAGAGTAGCACATCGACCAATTGGTGTGCTTACCTCCGCGCAAACAACCTTGTCATCCAAGGAGAATAATGATATAAGAAAATGTTCCTGCATGCAGCAGCAAAGGTACAGTCTGTCGTGTCTAAGTTCTTGGCAAGTGCAATCCAAGTTATCATGAGAATGTCATAAGACTTCTAAGAATCTCCATGACCTTGCTCATTCGGCCTCGCTTGTCTGCCCCCACGCAGGAATCCTAGCGCGCCAATGCAAGAAACTCCAGTGAGGATTCCAACAGTAAGGATTAACGGGAGCCATTGGCCGGAACCATAGTTCCCTTTATGGAGACCCCGATTTGCGCCCGCAGTGGAGACCGCTGTAGCTACAAAGCCGGATGCGATTGTGGCCCCTCCCCTGAAGAACATGATCAGACCTGATACAATCAGCTCTTCATTTGGGCGATCACTGTTTCCAACGATAGCTGTTGCAAAGCGGTTCCGTAGAACAACGTAACCCCCAGAAAGCCCGCCAAATAAGATGCATACAAGTGCGAGAAGGCCGTAGTTCGTTGCAAAGCCCCAGATACACAGAACAGCAATGGATGGGATCAAAGTGCTGAGCAGCAGCGGATATAGAATATTTTGTTTATCACTATTCTAGAATCAGTAAAGTAACTGAAAATCATTCTGTGAAGGATTAAGTTACGCAAGTAGTCCCAACAGGGGCTGACAAATGGCGGACGCGATGTTGTAAATGGCGAGTAGAGCCGATGCACTTGCAGAAGAAGTACCAATGACGGCAGTTGCATAAGATGGTATGTAGACGGATGGCAAATATTGGGACAGTGCTTGTAAGACATTGGATAACAGAATTAGCCAGAACAGAGGCCTGCGCAGAAATCTATATGAAAACTGCCCAGAGAGAGGATTTTCTTTTTCGTTCCCAGCGGACCTAGATGACGGCAGGCGTGGCCGCACGGCTATCAGGGCTATACTCAGTACAACAGCAACAAATATACCCCATCCAATCAATGTCGCTTTAGCTGAGTACTTTGCGAGAAGTATCCGCATAACTGGAGGTAGGATGGCAGCAGAGATACTTGAGCATGCAAAGTAGATGCCATAGGCAAGGCTACGCCGCCTGATGAACCATTCATCGATCAGGCTCATGTTGGGAGCAAAGACCAGGCCACTACCTAAACCGTAGAGGACCCCTTGGGTCATGATGAGTTGGATAGGTGTGTGGGAGAATCCCGCCCCAATCGATGCGGCCACCACAATGGCTGACCCGATGCATAGGAGCGGTTTACGCAGCCAAGCTCTTCCGCCCAGGATGTGCACTAGAAAGGGGCAGAGGAGTTGGATCACGCCCTATGAAGCTTTAGTATGGGAACTTGGCACCTTCGTGTTTGCTTGTTGTGTCATCAGGAAAACATACCGTACTAACAACTCCAATGATAGCGATCACCTGATTACCAGAGAAGGCTGACTCATAGAAGTAATATTCACGAAAAGCACCAAATGAGATCGTGAATCCTGGCAGGGATATCTGTTAGTTACCCTGCAATGAGTAAGTCAAGGTGTGATCAAATCTGCGCATACCCCACGTCAGCTGGAGCATAACAGAGACCGAGGCGAGGAAGATCCAAGCTGACCTCCCCCCATCTGGTCGGTGAGAAGTAGTAGTTGATTCATCGGACGAATCTGCTGTTGACTGCATCATGGTGCATTTCTCTTCAGCAGACGGTCAGCAAGAAGAAGAGAATAACATGTCAGTTCTGATTATGAAGTCAAGCTTGGGTATTTCGTGCAAAGGCGCTGTGGATGCCAGGAGAACAAAGAGATATCCTTTAATAGTTATACCTCCTGGTTGGTATGTATTCTTTCTTTAATGACTCATGGCTAATCTTTCTCTTGCGACTGCCAATCAATCATGAATGCAACTGTACTTTGGTGTCCTTCCATTTGTCGCTGTGACAGGGTCCCTGGGATCCGCCAGTTCAGCCTTTCCTTTCCAAGGCAATAATGCGTATTTGTACCGCATAAGGTGCATATGATGAATCAGAGAGCCCGATGGTGTGATTTCGGAATGTGCACGGAGGAACTTTACCGTAATGTAACTATCATTCTTGTAAGATATCATATTCCAAGCACTTTGCTCAATGGCTTGGTATAAAAGGTGTTTCTAAACCTCTAAGAGGTGCAAATATTTGCATCGAGAAACCGAGACGAAATACCTCTACGACCGTGTTAGTTGCTATATTCAATGTGTCGCAAGAAGCACAGTCTCGCATGTCCAAGTTGCAGACGACTGACTTTCTCGAGCTTACAAATTGGGATGCGGAGGAAATTTCTCGTATGGTGCAACTTGCAACCGACGATGGATTCTTCTACTTGGATCTCAGGGGCAGGAAGGATGGTCAGCCTATCGGATCATTGAACGTGTGTGCATGGTATCGTGGATGGATGGTTCAAGAAGGCCAATGAAGAGAAAGCACAGACGGTGGCTCCTTCTGAGCTCATGGGTACAGGCCTGTCGGGCAGAAATATGGAGTCAGAGACGACCAGAGGGATCAGTACGAGTCCCTCCACGTAGGAACATCTGTGATCCAGTTGATTCATACACCTATTGACATATTCTTATATCTCTAGCTCTCGTGATGTGCCCAGCCCTTTCGAAAATTGCTGCTAGAAGTGGCCAAAAGGCTTCAAACAGTCGGCGACTTTCACTTCGGTTTACATTTGTGTCGAAGAGAATTCTCTGTGCTCTCAAACACAGCCCCAATGATGACAAGACACAAAACCTCCTCCAGACCCATCCCGATGACAAGTAAATGTGATCGGCTCTGTACTTCTTGCACCATCCACCGAAGCTTGAGGATCCTAGGGCCTGGGTTATAATTTTTGTACAGACGCAGATATACTGATTCTTCTGTTCACAGAACAGCCGGGCTGCAGGTACTGACACCAATAACAGGTAAGTAGGAATTGGTACATACACGCGAAGGCCACTGCGTTGCCAATATTGAGGGCATTTTACAGTCCCTGTCAGGAGAGCGATTTCGGTTATCATTGCAGTGTGTTTTGTCCCTTACTAATGAAGATGGCGCCCAGTCATATGATTGGTACTCGAGAGTGAACTATTCACAAGCCGGAAAAGATACTTTATTTGTGGGAAATGACGGAAATAAAACAACAGCCGATGAATGGTTCCTGCACAAATTTTAGTTTTATGTAGGGTAGGTCAGTACAGTGAGCGGTTGGACTCGGTGGCCTTTGGGGGTATGGAGAAATCTTTGGGCGTGAAGGTATGATGAGCTTTTGAAAAGAGATAGGAGGGCTAGCAGAGTATCATATAATTGTACATATGACTCTCATACACTAGATAGGCATTTTGTTCTAGTATTAAGTGTCCCCTCCGGATCAAAGATCTCTATAGTGTACGCCCCCAAATCAGGCCACTATTCCGGAATTATAGCATTATCACAGACTTTATCCAGCCCGGTTTATATCATATTTAGACCGTTTAAAATTCAATTTCGGTACGCAAAGCTTTCCTCTCCGCTCTATAACTAATAGTATTCTCTCCAGACACGATTTTTTAATAGGTCAGCATCGCTTAGTTCATTGATTCACCCGATTCACAAACAGTATCCGTACTGCGAATTACACTTCCCGGGTAATAAGGCTTGGGTCCCAACCAATGACTCAATATTCAATGAATACCTGCGATACAGGGGAAGCAACTACAGAACCTATTCCTCCTATACCTGCAACAGCCAACTATAGCAATTTCATAATTTCTCACAGCACCCTAGGAAGCACGGAAAGTACCGGAATACGAATATACTCCGAGGATCAGTGGCAATAAAACCGATGGAGCAATCTAACTAGATACAAAACGGAGCGTGGGCCAGCCCGTGCAGAACTTGACGTTAAATATCCACTGTGGAGTTCATCATGGCCGGCTTTATTCTTATCTCCGTGATACCACTCTTGCCATCTTCTAAACTCCGCTTGGGGACCGGACATGAATGAACCCTAACGATAGCACTTAAGGATCCACCTGGAGCTTAATCGTGAGCCTTTAACAACGATACATACCTTGCCCATACCATTGAAAAGGGTAAATCTATGACTAGGATCCAACCCAGAAATGAGGGGGTACCCGACCCACCCCTAGTAGAACCACTCTTGAGACTCGTAGCCCTCAGTGGGTAATCGATAGCGATGCATAGTCGAGGACATGAAGTAACTCCCGGCTTTATACAAACCCGATCCACCCCTAAATCCGTCCATACTACGGAATTAGCATCGGGTAAAGACAAACCTGTACCTATATCCTATATATCTCATGATATTCAGTCTCGAACCCCCCTCTCCTCCAGAATGCCATACTCTCCATCCCACAAACCGCCCGAACCATTTCAAAATGGGCATCCTCAACTACGACTTCCTGTACTCCCAACTATTCATCACACCCTCTTATCCCACTGCATCATTCACCAACCAAACGATCATAGTCACCGGCTCGAACGTCGGCCTCGGCCTTGAAGCAGCCCGACACTTCACGCGCCTTGGCGCCGCGAAAATCATCCTCGCCGTGCGCAACCACACCGCTGGCGAAGAAGCCCTGCAATCCATCGAGAAATCCACCGGCACTACCGGCATCTGCGAAGTATGGGATCTAGACCTGGCGTCGCACGAATCCGTCCTCGCATTCGCGAAGAAAGTAGCCCAGCTACCACGTCTGGATGTGTTTGTCGCCAACGCCTCGATAGCAACCGGCACTTTCCAACTTGCAGAGGGCCACGAGCGGACTATAACTGTGAACGTGATTAATACCATGCTATTGGAATTGCTGGTGTTGCCGACGCTGCGGAAGAGCGCGAGGTTGCATCCCGGTACGAAACCCCGGTTGACGACGGTGGTTAGCGAGGTGCATGCGTGGCCGAAATTTGCAGAGCGGGGTGCCGAAAATGTGTTTAAGGCCTTGGATGATAAAGAGCAAGCGAATATGCCAGAGAGGTATGAGACGTCAAAGCTATTGCAGGTGCTCTTGCTGCGCGAGATGGTGGCGCAGGGAGCTGGGGACTCGGTTGTCATTAATATGGTCAATCCGGGATTCTGTCATTCGCGACTAGGGCGGGAGATGGGACTGCTATTTGCGCTTTTGCAGATGGTGCTTGCCAGATCGACGGAGGTGGGGAGTAGGACGCTCGTGGCTGGGGCAGCGAGTGGGGAGGAGAGCCATGGGGCGTATATGACAAATGGGACGGTGGATAATGGTGCCTTGTCTCTATTTGTTCGCAGTGAGGAAGGAAAGAAAACACAGGTGAAGCTCTGGGGAGAGCTTGTGGAGATCTTAGAAGCTATCGAGCCAGGCTGTACGCGGGTTGTGTAAATTTGCTTAGTATATCATGACCCTGCACATTGCTTTACCTATATTTATCTGTATATGGAAAGAATTAATAAAATGCTGTTCGTGACTATTCTGTTTCTAAATCCTTTGCACAATATTTGTACAGCTAGGATTAATCAATCAATTGATTGATCATTGTCCAACAAAACGAGGGCTTATATGACTTTTGTCTTCCGGCAATTATTAAAGGCAAAATAGAGGCGCCAAAATCAATAATTCTACTAGTCGTGATATGATAATAGCAGCGATGCAGCAACACTAGCCTATGCACTATGCGTGCTACGGCAGTTACACGAGGCGAGGTCCAGTAAAAGTGACTACGGTATCAGTTAGCCACCATCCGCACAGGACACAAATACCAGATCAGAAACACAGGAATTCTCACGTGGCCATGCTTCTCACGCATCGTCTCATACATATATAGTGCAACCAGCTAGTTCGAACCACCAATAGCCACTAGGTCAATTCCGCCTCGATCAAACTCCCCGCAACGCCGGGATAGTTGTAGATATTGACCACCTTCAACCTGGCTTTCGCTAAAATACTCCTCCACTCGCTCTCCGTCCTTTCCCTGACTGCAAAGTGCGCCAACATCATCATATCCATACTTGTTGCTTCTAGCGTGGGCTTCTCTTCGCTAACAATAATCTCGTTCAACAAAACACGCGAATAGCCGCTTTCCAGTGCTGGAACCAAACTCTCCAGGATCCTGACAGCATCGTCATCACTCCAGTCGTGCAGAATGGAGCAAAGAATGTAGGCTCGTGCACCCTTGATAGGCTGTGGCGTGAAGAAGTTGTGGGCGTTCGCCTCGAAGGGTAGCTCTGCGCCATTAGCTACTACGCTCGCGATAACAGGCTCGCGGTCCTGAAGAACGATTCTGCCTGGATGAGAAGTATAGTGCCCGGCAAAGCTTGCGGCATCGTAACCCCTCCCGCCACCGACATCCACCAGGAGAACGTCGCTCACGGAGGAGTCAAAGCCCGCTATCATTCGCTCTGTCACCGGGTAGAAATCGTGCCAATCTGCCTTTCCGGCTCGATACACACTCATGAAAGAATCGAAGTGCTGGAGGTGTGGTGGATTTGCAACAAGCCATTCGAAGAACGGAAGCTGCATCTTGTGGGCTTCCTGGAAGGGACCGTCGGTTCCACCCGGAGTTGGGGATCTATATTCAGTTTTCTTGAAATACTGCGGGAATGCATTGAATGAAGGGTGGGCTGCATCGTAGCAGAAGCAGATGCCGTGTTGAAAGTTCTCCGCTGCGAGACCGTTACTTAGCCTCGTCGCCTGGAATGCGCCGTTGTAGAAAGCAAGAAGGTTCATGGACACTAGATGTCTCGCTAGACGCGATAACAAAACGACATCGACCCCGGTACTGTGGGCTAGAGCGTCAGGTGTCAGGCCTACATCGCCCGCTTCCTGCAAACGTTGGAAAAGTTGAACGTCGACGGCAAGACGGATGATGGCTGATTGAGCTGGCTATCGTCCAACGCAGGTCAATATTGCAATTCAGCTTATGCGCCAGTACCATGGCAGCACACCATGAGAGGATCACATGAAAGTGCAATGACTACTCACCTCTGCGCAGAATGTGCGCTGTATAAACTCACTGGGAATCTCCAAGGCCGCAATCAACGCTCGGCTGTGCTCAATCAGGTCTTCTCTTGAACCAGGCTCATTCTTGTCAAAGGCTATGCTGGAAGATGCAATCCCGTCTAGAATTGCAGACACAGATGAACCAGCCATGGTAGAAGGGTTGATTCAACGTCCAGGAGGATCTTAAGGTAAAATTGGGAGAGTAAGCACTCCGATGGCATGAGATGGCCTTTTAAGAAACGTCCGGCATTGGAAGGCCCACACGCTGTCATGTCCATGCAAGGGGCTCCAAAGTCCAAGTTCCCAGTTCTAAGTTTTAACAAGCCTTTTCCACTGCCCACGACCAGGCTGTTCTATAAAGTTTCACCTTGGCTTGAGTCGGACCATAGGTATAAGCGACCGACGCTATGCTAGATTGGTAGATGGCTGAACCACTGACGCGACGCCATCAAGCAACTTAGGCTTAGATTACGCATGGCCATGGAGTTAGACCGTTAACGAACTTGCATATAGAGGTGGGGGGCGCATGAGTCGTGCCGTGGTGAGCATGGGTCATCGGTTCAAAATCTATCTAGAACTTGCACCTTTGTAGGCCGTACCGCTCAGTGTAAAACCATTAATGCCAGTCTGCACTAGACACAGTCCTTCGGTCCGGCGCGGCATTTTCCAGGTTGAGGTCTTCCAGTCGCTGAGGCTGTCGATATTTGACTGCAGCTTTAAACCTATGCCCTGATTGGCAGCGAGTGCTTTTGATGGCTGTTTGCAAGCTCTTCTATCGAACCATCGTGCTATATACTGCTTTCGGGTATTATAACGGAGTACTGGGAGTTGTTCGGCTACCCCAGTGTGGTCATCCATTGCAAGTGAATAGTAGATGCAATCGGGTTCTAAAAGGGCTATTCTAGACGCTGTAGTGGGACTTGGGTCAAGCAAGGGATGGTGCATTGACCTAGGAACTAGGCTATGCAGGACAATTTGGTTTTAAACCCTACTGATCCGTCGCGGGGCAAATTGCTCCACTAAAGCGATGTTTGAAACGGTTTATATAAGTGCATTCTCAATTTTCTACGCTTCGCTTTCGCTGCAAGGATGAGAAACCTAACAAAGGAAGTTTGTATCGCCATTAAGGATGGCAACACTCATACTGTGATTAGGCTGCTAAAAGAAGGGGCACCGATGATTACCGAGCACTTTGTTCTTGCAACACAGATGAAGCGTTATGATGTCCTTGAACTGTATCTTGATCGTGGATGGGATATAAATACTGATGTCAGCACATTAATACCATCAGCGGTTGTGTAAGTGTCTGGCTTTTGACATGTCCAATGGTTGACGTATCCTAGGTACACATTTGATGACATGGAACACCTCGAATGGTTTTTGAAGCATGGCGCTGATTTAAACAAACGTTGTCACATCCGTGATTTTACCCCATTGTCCCATGCTGTTCTAGAGGGTACATTAGAAACTATCGAGATACTCTTCCGAAACGGAGGCTCGGCTGCCCATGGCCAGTTATTACACTACGCAGCAATGCGCGAAGGTACAGACAGCTTGACAGTTCTGGAATATATCTATAACCAGGACCCAGAGGCAAATGCTTTAAATGTGAATAAGCTGCTGGACCAGGATTCTCCTACGGATTTCGCGATGAACTATAGAGCAGGGCTCGGTACTCCACTTCATTACGCTGCACTTGCCGGGCCATTGGATTCCGTGAAGTTTCTAGTGGAGAAAGGGGGAGACCCTTGGATCTTGGATCCCTACCGTCGAACGGCGTTAAGCTTGGCGATCTATAATAACCAAGAGCATGTGGCTCAATTTCTCAGAGGTCTCATGAACTCTATGCCATCCAACTCAGGAAAGAAAGAATCCAATAGCGCCAGTGCAACGGAGTAAGCTCTGAAATGCCTTTTGTACAGCCACTTGTATGTTGCCTCCACTTGTTATTGCGGCGATAGTTTGGGATGAAACTTCAGAATTCTGGCTTCGCTTGTATCTAACTTCACCACCCATCCGATATATACATAGGTGGCATCGGCTGACGTTCAGCTTGGTAATCAGTTTAACAACCAGCTTGATCTAGATTATCCTGAGGGATTAGAGCGGACGGCTGCTGGTAATGTAGTTATAGTGACTCTAGAGGTCTTGTAAAAGCGTTGTAATCTACTTCCCTAATTCCTATGCTTAAAACTGCATACTAGTAAGTATTCTGCCGAACGCCCACGCGCGGGGTGATTCTATCACAGTCCTGGTCATACTGAAATGCACGACCCAGTCATCCGTGGAAGTTTTCATCTGCAGGATTAGGGGTATAACTTCCTCCACATCGTGCCCTTTGATCCGCGCTGTCCAAATCCCATCCCCTCACCCGCGATAATCTGAATGGGCCACTGGAATAGTTCACTGTACTTATCGATATAGATTGTATTTGACTCAATGAATGGTACAATAACTGGCAAAAGGACACCGAACTGACTGCTCAATGAAAACTGCTTAGAGTAATCAAGATACCGACGAATTTTTCTGAGGTGCGATTGACGATCGGAACATAATGGTAATAATAAAATGAAAATGAAAGTCTGGAGGTCCCTCACACAAAAGACGATCTGCTACCTTTTGTTGGTAACTTGACCTTTTAAGCGGGTGGGTATTGATTGAAGAAATCTTTTGCTTCGTGTCGTTGATCAAGTCGGCGTTTCTGGCTGGAGCCCCGAAAATCGGTAGGTCAGTACAACACGGACTGCACAGTCGTCGATCTGATTCTGTCCCAGGGTATACAGCTTTACATCGTCTCTTATGAGCATAGTGGTTGTTGCATGAGCCCTAATTGGAATAGAAATGGGCCAACATGCAGGCCGGATAAAGGTCGCCTTTCACAACTCCCTGCCACTGGGAATTTATAACTGTAATACTTATCGCAACTACAATCGTTTAGATTGGCTGTTCCTTCTCGGCACTGAGCGCCCATGGGAAGCGACATTCCAAGGGATCTGCTGCGATATGTTGGGCCCCATCGCAAAATCATCTCCCAAGCCACGGTATCTGATAGACTTGGTCAGGAAGCTGACAGTCCAGCCTCCTTTTCAAAATGGAACTATACTGGGAACTGCCGGTTGTTCCTCTTTTGTACAAAGGCGAGAATACAGAAGCAGAAACACATGGAGCGCCGCAGTGGCATCAGCTTCTGCTGTTTCCCTTTGGTACCATTGCAATAGATGGATCGATATAGCTCTCGCTGTCGTCTTCGACTTTGATAGCCCAAGGGTTGCAGCGAATACCTGAAGAGAATACATTTCCGATTCTTTCCAAAGTTGCTTGGTTATATCGTAGGATGGTCAACTGTCGTATCGGGGTCGCGTTTGCACGGCTCACATAAGCTGTGCTACCAATGGTTACAATAATATCATGTTTCCATGGTGCAGTAACTGTAATGTCCTGTGTAATCAATGCGGTAATTTGTTGTGTCCGACAATAAAGGATATCACGAATTGGCAGTTGCAGAAAGCAATATCATATATCGTGCACAAACTCATGGAATCTCAAGGATATAGATCTTCCTTACCACAGATATTACCACTATCCTTGGCGTCGCATTCGTTGTCTGGCTTTGCGTTGAATGTTGCGAGCTCTCACCCACATGTCGGTGGCTGATCACAGGCACCCTGAGGTATAAGAGCGACGCTGGAAGCTATCCAAGTCAACACAGGCTCCTGAGAAGAGGGCAGAAACTACTTGTACCACTGGCGCACGAACTACCAAAGTCATTTCGACTCTCGTGCGGCCACGGGCAACCACACGAGGGGAAGGATATAGCATATTCGCTTAGGCAATCGTGCTGCATGAGCAAAGGTGGATTGTTGAGCACTTATGCCGCTCTTCAATTTCCATTTTGCTTAGAAATAATTGGAGACTTTGCCAACATTTTCTCCAATTGTTCCGGAGCATTGTGGTGGCGATGAAGAGGGAGAAGTAGTAATGGCACTAGTACGCCTAGCCAGGTAGCACTGGCACTGTCTGGATTCAGTCGCACTTTACTCATCCTGCTCCTCCTGCTGCTCAACCTCCTGCTGGTGCTGCTGGTGATCCCCTTGCTCCTCTTGCTCCTCCTATTGCTCTCCATTTCCCCCGGCACAGTGACCACCTCCTAGGGGCCATCACAGCCTCTCTACAATATTAAGAGGCAAGTTCTGATGCATAGACCAGTTACAAGTCGTCCAAAAAACCAAGTCCCGTGTCTTAGCGGCGAAGATGTACCATGTCATTATGGTGCTCATGACGCCGGTAGGACTATATGGGAGAGGGACGCCTCGGACATGCTCGAGATCATACGTAAACCACGAAAGGTGGCTCAGTTTGCGTATGGGCACTGGCCGAATGGTTGCAGAAAGGGTTAACAGGCACATTCTGCACGTTATGCCTGTTTTAGGTTCGCTCTATTGTAAGCCCCATCTCATAGGGCATAGTGGCTGTTAGGAACCTTTTCTATCTCCATGGTCAATTTGATGCGACTAGTGAAATCTCTTCTTCGGAGAGCCACGGATGCGGAAGCCACTTTAAATTGAGGAGAGTCCTTCGAAGTCTCCAATATTTGTACTCTCATCTGAGCTTTCCTTGGTCTTTAGATCTATGTCGGTATTAGTATACAGACCCATTCTTCATGCCCTAGGGATTGCCTACCTGTGGACCCATTCTCCCAGTAGAGCCTGGACTGTAAGAACGTAATATGACAACGTGTTGTGGCTTCTTATAGTGATTGGCTTGAGACTGTTAGATGAAGACTTGTTGTCCATGGCAGCAGCATTTCTCCTGCTACTAGGTGCCTTGCCATTGAAATCTTCGTCCGAGATCTGATTATCTGCCGAATCACTCTCACTCTGAGCATCTTTTTGCTTTTTCTTTGCGAAGTATTGCTGATACATTACATGGCGTACAGCACTATCCGCCCTATAGCCTCGTCAATGGCGTCCAGTGCAATTGCGACCGGCTAGAATGAGTCCGACTCGCCGAATATGCGTCTAGAGTTCTTCTTATAGCGCATGGCTTGCGACAAACCATGCTCTATTGCCCATCGAGCTTTCAGTCTTCCAACCAATAGCCGGCTACCTGTGCTATGACTTGCTGCCGCTATATGAGGATTTTGTGAAAGACCTGGTGGCGCAGACGTCTCCCAGGTACTGGTTAACAAGCTATGGATTATGTCTGGCACCGTCGCCCATCAGTACATAATACCATTTACAAACACCGTACCATTTGGTTCCATTCAGTTCTATAACCACAGGCCGACCGATGGACGTACGGTTCATTTTGGCATATTCATACTGCGCTCGGCCCGTAGATATGCAGAGCGTATGCAGCATGTATCAATGTGTCAAGGCGTGCGCAAACGAATGATCCCTTTTAGCTTGAGTTATTCAGGGTGCAGGTAGATACGCCAGCTTGACACCGGGACTTGTAACTTAGATCGACGACATCTTGGTCGAATTAAATACCAAATTGGGTAGCAGAACAATATCGCGTTCTATAGGATAGACGGAAGCTCTTAGATATTCGGGATAGAGGTGGACATCTCGATCTATACTGGAATAGGAAACCCGACGAGATGAGCATGAACTTGAATCATGGAGGAACATCGGCATGTGGAGTACGGTATATAAATATCCGCTACTGGAAGTTAATACAGAATCGTGCCGGGAACCCGTGAATATTCTATATAGGAATTCTCCTCTGTCACACAATGAGTCACATGGATTGAATACGAGATAAGTGGAATATGAGCCACCCTAGGGAATGGCTGCCGGAGAAGTTAAGGAACACATTGCTCGCATTGAATGATAAACCCTGGTGGTTTTTAAAGCATATAGTATATTCTTATCAATCGAAAGATACAGGCGGTCATTATCAAGGGCAAGACTCCATCCCACAGCTTCTAGACTCTCTCTGATTCGTAATGTAGGATCTGAATCCCCGACCCCAGGTGCAGCAGAGTAACCCAATTCAAAATCTTCCTTGCGCCCTAGGTCCATCCAGTCAGGATCGATGATTCTGCGTTCCAGTGGATCTGGTGGATCCACTCCGTCAAACTTCCTCAAATGGAACTCATGTTTGGCGCCTTATCTGCAGTGCAACAGTATTAATAACCTCGGATTCCCAGGAATAAATTCTCAGTTCTTAATACGGGATAAATGGGCTTTATAGCATCTTACGGAAATCAAGAGGTGGTGGATATGTTAGCAATTTAGATATCTTCCATTCCTTCCCACCAAACAAGCAATTCGCTACACTATCCAACAACCCTCGAAACCAAGACAACCCTGGGAAAATGCTCCGAGACATTCTGCAAGGTCTTCAGGGCGTACTGAAGACCTCCACAGTCACCTATGGCGTCATAAATGTCATACTCCTGCTGAGCCTGGTCTTCATCCTCGCCGTCCAAAATGGAAACACATGTACAACGCGGAAGAAGCTCAGACATTTGCGAAGAATCGGCCTATCGACCAGCAACATGGCAGATCAGTATGAATCCAAATACGACGCACCAGAAGGAACCACGCCCGAGGGACCGATACGCATCAAGGCGATCTGCGTTCACCCCATCAAGTCATGCGGCCGGATCGAACTGAGCCGAGCTTTACTGACCAAGACCGGATTCATGTACGACAGATGCTTCGCGTTGGCCACGGAGCTGGGCAAGAACAATCCCGCCATGGAATCGAAATGGCGATTTATCTGCCAGCGCACAAAGCCGACCATGTCTCAGATCAAGACGGAACTATGGCTGCCGCACGAGGAGAGCAACCAACATGACCCGCTTGTCCAAGCCGGTGGATGTGTCGTGGTGTCATTCCCTGACCCCGATGGGCCTGGCCGGTTCGATTCTCTGAAGAAGCTCTTTCATACAGGGAAGCGCTTCGCAAAGCCGGAAGTGCAGTTTATCGTACCTCTCCAACCCACGCCCGCCATGATAAGCGAATACAAAATCCAATTCAAAACATTCGGCATTCACTCCCGTGACGCAAAAGGTTTAGATATGGGAACAATTCCGTCCGTCGCAGAAGCATTACCGAAATTGAAAAAATACTTGCGCATCGCAAACAATCAGAATCTTACCCTGCTAAGATGTACATCCGATACCCTTGTCCGTACAGATAAAAACCTGGCACCACTCGAACACATCGGCACACCCTCTGTCCACGGCTATACGGACCAGCAGCCAATCAATATAAACAGCCTGTCCTCCGTCCACGCTGTGTCCGCACTGCTTCCAACGGAAAACCAACCCCTCAATGCCTTTCGCTTCCGCGCGAATATCTGGATCACGGGTGCCCCAGCCTTCGACGAGGAGACCTGGAAGCGGTACCGCATTTTGCCGAAGGGCAGTGACGCAGAGCCACGGGCTGATGTCGCACCGACGGTGTCGGTTGTTTGTCGGACGTCGCGGTGTACGATGCCTAATGTGAATCCGGAGACTGGGGTGCCCAGCGCGGAAAACCCGCCTGCAGAGAAGAAAAGGGGGAAACCGCAGCCGAGTGCCACATTGATTAAGTACCGTACGGTCGAGGATGGTAATAAGTCGGCTCTTGGGTATATAGGTATGCACTGTGTGCCTGAGGACCGGGCCTTGCAGATGGCTCAGGAGCAAGAGAAGGGGTTATACGTCGCTGTTGGTGATGAGATTGAGGTCCTTGAGCGTGGGGAACATCTCTATGGCTCGACGGCTAATGACTACTAGACTTATGATGCTAGATGGATAGACGATTATATATAGATTTCATGACCGGTTATTTTCGGAGTTGCGTTCATCTTAATCTCTATAGTAATGGTCTTATTCAGTGAATTAGAATAGAATGGACGGCTATAGGGTGTTGGTGTGTTCCGTTGACAACTACACCGACGACGAGGCTCTTGGACAGCTCCCACGGATTCCGAATGTTATGTATTATGAATGAAATGGTCTTAATACATTGTAGTGACTTGAATATACGCCCGTACCGCAGATCAGACATACAGAGGGTATGATTATCGCATATAATGTCTATGACTGACGGAGAAAAAAACATGTATAATATAAGAGTCGAAATGAAGTGTACAAAAGCCAAGTCTCGCTGTAGGAACTCTAACTGTAAGGGATATAAAAATTAAACAAGTACTCCAACTCTAAGCCGACTTTTCCTGCTGTCTTGCTTCATCCCCCGACGCGGAGTCTGTTGCACTCGCCGGCGCATCGATAGTCATCTTCGGGCCGGTGTACCATTTCCTCGCGAACAGAACGTAGTAAGTCATCGCGGCGATCCACACAAAGCCATTGATGACGATTGTGTAGTTCATATCCTGGGCTAAATATATCCCGTCAGCATTGACGAAGAAGACACAAAATATGGACAAGGGGAGAAAGAGAGAAACACACCGGTGGGATTCGGCCCCATGCTAGGGAACATGGACAGGATCAAGCCAAACAGCAGCCACACGACGGCAATCGTTGCCAGTGGACGACTCAGGATTCCAGTGTAAAATTCGCCCGGTCGGAAGCGCGTCTGGCCCCAGATCAAGCGGCAGAGGATGGGCGTGCCCCATGCGACGTAATTGGAGGCAACGAACAGGGAAAACAGCGCATTCGCGGCGACGGAGTTGATCAGGCACAGCAGGCCGAAGATGATGCAGACGATGACCAAGCCGCAGATAGCACGGACAGGTTGGTAGCGGACGCGCTTGCTCACATGGCGGAAGTAGCCAGAGAAGGGCAGAGCGCCGTCACGGGAGAAGGCCCAGACTTGACGAGACGCGGCGACGATCTGTGTTTACCTATTAGTTCCATGATCGATGTAGACGTTGGGTATTGAGGGGGCATACCAGACTGAGGCCGATCAGGAATTGGATGACGATCAACACACCCATGAAGCCGAGCGCTCCTCGCTTGCCCAGCGCATCGAAGTAGACCTGTTGGTCGCGTTTAGCACATGGTTACCGGGTGTCAGATGGGGATCATAGGAAGAAGTCCTACCTGCGCCATAGGTTGGCCATACACCGAGTTCAGAGTCGCGCTCACGTCTGGGTTCATGCAGGCGGCGATGATCGACAGGACGAGGAAACCCAACACACATGCACATCCAGCCGACCAAATGATTCCCAGCGGCACGGCCTTCGCAGCGTGGAGCGCCTCCTCGCTCATATGCACGCAAGAATCGAAGAAGCCAATGGACCAGATCGGAGCCAAAAAGGCCAGGACAAAGGCCCACCCGGTCGGCCAGGTGGTAAGGTTATCGACGTGCCCATAGACAAATGAACCCGAATTGAGCTTTTCGCCACGAGTGACCTTTCCAACAGGGAGAGCGATAACGGTCGCGACGATAATGGCGACGTTGATAAAGATACAGAAGGTTTGGATCTTGGGCATGATTTTCCCCGTATAGATACCGCAGAGGGCATGGATGATGATGAGTCCGACATAGACGCCGTAGATCGTGCCGTTCGAGGCCGACCAGTTTCCGTCGCGAGTGATAGAGACACAAGCCAGCAGCATCAGAGAGAGCGTGTCTGTTCATTAGCAGGCGCCTTGTACAACCGTGGGAAATAGTCCCCTTACAATCCACCGAGCACATTCCTCCAATCAGCCCCATTGTATTGCTGTATCCAACCAAGAAGCTCAACACCTTCTTGTACTTATCACCGGCGAAGTAGTGCGTCCACCAATAGAGACCTCCAGCAGTGGGCATCGCGGACGCCATATCGGCCTGCGACCGTTAGTTTCTGTCGCGATGGGAGTGTCGCATCCGGGGTAGCGATTACCATGGCAAGACCGACGGTGAAAATGAAAATACTCGCGATAAACCAACCCTACACGATTAGTATCTGACCAGCATGCGACAATAATGCAAATCAAAGAAATACACACCCAAACCATACCAGCCGGCCCGGCGGGCAACGAAAACGCGAGGGTCGAGGCGATTGACGGCACCAAACCCATGATACTAAACGCGACGGCGAAGATCTGCACGGTCGAATACTGTCGGCGCAGCTCCTGCTTGTAACCCATTTTCGCTGCGCACGTTAACGATACCGGGCCATTTTTGACGCCGCTCACCCATCAGGTTGCAGCCGAGAGGGACGAACCTACCCAGTAACTCCATATCACCAGGATCCGCCAGGCCGGCCTCATCGGCGCGGGGATGAGCCTGGACGGCTGCTTGCGATTCCATCTTGGCCATGCTCCCTTGACCGTGTGTGTCGTGTCCAACAGGGAGGGTTCTGGATACTGATATCGCCGTGGGCGTGTTGAATGAGTCGAACACCCACCTGCGGAGGGCGTGGAGTCTTAAGGAATAGGCTTGAGGGAACCAAGGAAACGGATCGTAGACTATCGGAGTGGATTCGTGGATAGCCCAAAGTTTAAGATGCACCAGTCCTGGGAACTATTCCCCTATCGGCGCCGGAATGTTGCAACACAGTGGAGAAAGCGACGGATATCCCCAATGGGGTAGGGATGAACACCTCTGGGACATCCTGTTGGCTTGGGAAACACGCCCCTGATTCAACGCTGTGATGGCCATGGAACTCAAATTGTCTCGATTTTTTTCCATGACGGACAGGCAGCCAAACCTTGCAGCAAAAGAACATATGGCGTTGTGACGGGTGGCCAATGAGTTCGGTGATGCTCCACCTGGCACTCAGACGTGGGTCTGTCGATCCCATGAGTCTCGATTCAGCGTAGGCAGACTCAGGAATATTTAAGACGATGACCTTAATTCCTCCAGCGCCGGCGTTCATCCATTATAGCTATCTGTATTTGAGGAAAATGTCATGCATTGATAGTGCAGACGTCCCCTGAAGAAAACTCATGTTGCGATCCTTCGCAATGGCAGAGGGGAGTTAGGGCTCCAGTTTTCCCCTTTTAGTCCACAGCTGAGTTCAGCCACTACTGCACCTGTAATTAACCTAACACCATTGATCATTCTGATCGCAATTTCGCACTGATCCTACCCACAATGCCTTTGTGACGCGACTAAACACTCCTTACGTCGACTGTTTAACGAACAAGGATACCTGCATGGTTTCGGTCCAGAGGGACTCGGGTTAAGCGAATACAAGGGCATAGACACATACATTATTATCTTCGTGTCATGCCATGTTGAGTAATAAAATCTCTCGTGCTGTCAACGTCAACTACCACTTAAGAGAGAAGTCGCTATGGGGAATTCAGCCAGGGCTGAAATCAAACACTGGAATTGATTTCCTTTGAAGCTGCGAGAACGGAGTTGATCTGATTTGGGCCTAACGCAACACACTATCGACCAAAAGGGTTAAGCCACCAACGTGATGCGCACATGCCTTCCCAACCACCAAGTACTAGTAACTAATATGTAACCTTCCACCCAAGACTCCCCCCACCACCAAGTGTTAATCCTTGCTGGCGATGTAACTACATTTATTAACAATTATAATTGACTACAGGTTCATATGTCGTCCTTACTGTCCCGAATTGGACACAGCTAGGTCGACTATCGAGAATTATCAGCATTAAAAGTGTCCAACAGTCCAATGACAGGATCCGTGGCGTGTCTGATTCCAGCGAGGCCGGTAGACAGCGTATTAAACCTGCTCTGCACCGTTGACGGGTTGCGGTTGCACGCCCTGGCCATTTGTCGGCGAATTCCCGTGGTTTAGGGTGGACGTGTCGGAGAACTGGACCGACGGTCGGTTCGTCGCCATGTCCAAGGATCCGGGGCCGTTCTTCGCTTCCCACTCGTTATAATCCTGTCCTGGGTTGGCGGTCTGGTATTCCATCATCTTCAAGAGACCGAAGAAACCGCATGCCAGTAAGGAACCCAGCAATGGACCGACCCAGTAGATCCAATGGTAACCTGGGAAGCTGCGGTTGATGACATCCGGGCCGAGGGAACGCGCGGGATTGAGGGAGCCGCCAGTATAGTAGTCGCCTACATTGATGGGTGTGAGACAAACGGTACATGACAGCTGCAAAGGACAGGCTCACCAATCATCTCCGTGACGAAGAAGACTAGACCAATTCCGACCGGTGCCAGAAAGGTTGACTTGTGTTTCACCACCGCCAGCATGATGATCACAAAGACCAGTTGCGCGGTGAGGAACATCTCAATAAACAGCCCCTGCGAGATAGAGGCGCCTCCTCCTAGACGGGTTGAAACATTCAAAGGCCCTGGAAACAGGGCGCTGACCACACCGGCCGACGCAATGCCACCCACAATCTGAGCCGCGAAGACTAGGACCCCACGGATAGGCGACAAGCCGCCCACGAGGCATAGGGCCAGGGTGACCTGTTGTGGTTAGCCTTGATACTGTAGACGTCACACGGGCAACATTACCGCTGGATTGAAGAGACCGCCGGTCACCCGGTAAAAGGCCCAGACGTTAACCATCAAGGAAAATCCGAACGACAGGGAAGAATAGAGCAAGTTCGAGGTATTCGGCGGAGCACCGGGCACTGGTGCGGGCGTGTTGGCCACCTGAGTGCCAGCGAATGAAAAGAACAAGAACAGGAAGGTTCCCACAAATTCTCCCACGACGGCAATGACATTGTTGCGCACGGTATCTTTCAGATGCAACATGGGGAGTTGCTTCTGAGTGGAGCGGTACACTGGGGCTGAGCTAGGGTGCCCGTCACTATCAGCGCGATCAGCGCGAGCTCCCCGTTTCAGAAACTTCATCTTGCTATGTGGATGGTCTCGAATTTACTACTTGGAGACGGAAGACAGCACGATTCTTGCGATTGACCAGCTCCCTCCAAAACCCTTCGTAAATTCTTTCTTGACGCTTCACCCACCGCTTCTGCTAAGATCGCTAGCTTTTATACTCATATCGGATTACGAGGTCGAACGTCATGACTTCAGTTGATTCTTTGCTGCAGTTGAACTCTGTCCGTCCAAAAACGACCGCATCTGGCCAGGTTCCTCAGTGGTGGAATCATGGAAGTGATGAAAGACCGGCCGCAACAGACATTTCCATGGTTATAGTCCAGAGATCCTGCCTCATCAAGAGTTTGGTGGCAGAAAGTCCTTCCTGCGCCCACTGACCAAGGGCTCTGGCCGGAGTGGCCGAAGTCTAGACCTCTCGGCGGTGAGGGCGTAGTGAAGAGATGGAGCTTCGAATGCAGACCAAGCAGATGAAGTTGCTATCAATGATTAATGCTTCACTAGATACAAGAGAGAACTCTCAGTATTTTTCACCTTAGTTCAAGTTTTCCCATATAGATCAAAGCGTAGTTCTATGATCAAGAACTAGGAGTAGATCAATGCCATGCCAAGCCGTCGTTGTGAAGGGTCCCCACTAGAGAACATCCAAAAAAAAAAAATGGGGGCTTGCGCACCCGAAGCCCTATGATCTCATGACTTCCACTTGTTCTCCTCGTCTCCGATGTCTACGCTGAGTATGGTCGTACTGTGATACATAGGATAAGCATGATCCATTTGTCTTACTCTCCTTCCTTTTTGCTCCGGCTCAGCCACTGCTTGCCCCGTCGTAGCTGGATGGTGCCACTGTCGACAAGTCTTCCCACACTCGCAAACCCCGAGAATTTAGCGAACACGGACGAGTTTCCCGAGAATTTCCGACGAATGGGCTGATAGCATTACGAAAATCTTGGCCGCAGTTCGCGTACACACCGCAAGAGAGTCAGTAGTTCCAACAGAAATCAGTGCGGAGAACAAGGAAGACCACGTACGGGGTATGCTGCAGATTGTTCAACCTGCAGCATCTTCCCTGCTGGTCATGAGGGTTGAGAAACTTGATACTGGGAGAACGCATCGACCAATCAGGCTTAGTCGCTTATCATTATCTTGGCTCTGATTGCCCTCAAGCAAACAATTCTTCTGGCATTTCTTCCAGACTCGTTGCAGTCTTCCATACCCCGCGGAGATGTGATGGACCGCGGAGATAGAGCCCAATTATCGGCCTCCCAGAGAAAATTTTACCAAATATCCACAGTCCCGGTGTTCATCTTCGGCCGGTGACCAGGAACCAAAAGAGTTAACCTAAAAAGAAGAACGAAAAATGGCAACACGTTGTCCAGGGGCATGCGCTCATCTGTGGTATAAATACCATGGCCGAGACTAACGTTCGCAGGAGGGGTAGCCCTAAGTTACTGAACGTCACATCTCACCCCTCATCTGTTTAATCAGTCCTGCAGACCAATCCCTTCACCATGCCGCTCTCCCCCGAACAAATCCAGCTCATCAAGGCCACCGTGCCCGTCCTCCAGCAACATGGCGCCAACATTACTACCGTGTTCTACGACAACATGCTAACGGCTCACCCCGAGTTGAACGCCGTCTTCAACAATGCCAACAAGACGAACGGTCATCAGCCCCGTGCCCTGGCCGGAGCCCTCTTTGCCTACGCGTCACATATCGATGACCTAGGGGCCCTGGGTCCCGCCGTCGAATTGATCTGCAACAAGCACGCATCGCTGTATATCCAACCCGACCAATACCAAATCGTGGGCAAGTTCCTGTTGGAGGCCATGGGCCAGGTCCTCGGCGATGCGCTGACCCCCGAGATCCTCGATGCCTGGGCCGCCGCATACTGGCAACTCGCCGACCTGATGATCGGTCGCGAGGCCGAATTGTACAAGCAGGCCGACGGCTGGACCGAATTCCGCGACTTCCGTATCGCCAAGAAGGTCCCCGAGTCCTCAGAGATCACCTCGTTCTACCTCGAGCCCGTCGATGGCAAGCCCCTCCCCAAGTTCCGCCCCGGCCAGTATATCTCCGTGCAGGTTTTCGTGGACTCGCTCAAGTTCCCCCAATGCCGTCAATACTCCCTGAGTGACGCTCCACGGGAGGACTACTACCGGATCAGTGTCAAGAGGGAGGCAGGCCTCAACACCGCCGACGCCAACGCTCCGTCTCACCCCGGATACGTGTCCAACATCCTCCATGCCAAGATCAACGAAGGCGATGTCGTCAAGGTCTCCCACCCCTTCGGTGACTTCTATCTTTCGGACGCCGAGAGCCCCAACCCCATTGTTCTCATCGCCGCCGGCGTGGGTCTCACCCCGCTCACCTCCATCCTGAAGACCCTCACCTCGAACCCCCCAGATGCCCCCCAGCGCAAGATTCACTTCATCCACGGTGCTCGTTCGGCCGCTGCTCGTGCCTTTAAGAAAGATATTGACTCCCTGGCGGAGAAGTACCAGGACCTGCACGCTACATTCTTCGAAACTCACCCCGGTGCTGAGGAGAAGCAGGGCGAGGACTACGACCACCAGGGCCGTGTTGACCTTTCCAAGCTGGACAAGTCCAAGGATCTATTCCTCGACGATCCCAAGACGGAATACTATGTCTGCGGTCCGGACCGTTTCATGACCTCCACGCGTGCTGCGTTGGCCGCTGCGGGTGTCAGCGAGGATCGCATCAAGCTGGAGCTCTTTGGTACCGGCGGTGTGCCTGTTTAGTTTGATTTCTTTTTCTGTTTTTCTAGATATAGACCATACCTAGACTACCTGTCTATAGTTTAGATTCTCCTCTCTTGCCGTTATGAGTTACGATATAGCATAATCCAATTTCATATCGATTCCACATCTATCTTTACTGTTTCTATAAACTAAGGGGTACTGTCACAATAGTCATGAGGTGGTCCGAATTACCATACATACTATCAAGATATACAATTTGTAACCAGATGCGAAAATGCTCCGACACTCTCTCATGGCATCTGCTGGGTCGATAATCCTCAATAAAGTGGAGCTTGCAGAGGCTGTACCGTGGAAAGCTGGGTGTTCGCCGATCCGCACGGGTAGGGCACTTGGGAACTCCATCATCTGGACCTCAGGATTGACAGGAACTCTTTCTACATTCTATTAAAGTCTTATGTTTGCGGGTAACTGTGATGCCTTTTTTCAGAAATTTCGGTCCACTTAATTGCTGCGGATTTCAGTGACTTGGATTCCGTCCAAAGCTTTTTTTTTTTTTTTTACTCTGTTTCCTCCACTCTCCGTCCTGTTGTTTAGATATATATATATCTGTGCAACGAAGGACAATAACAACAAATGTTGCAGTTACGAAAATCATCGCACAACTGAGAGTGTACAAGACTGTCTTCAATTATTGATACTTTTTTTTCCAAGGTGGAAAAAACATCTCTAGAGTGAAAATCCCAAATGACTCTATTTTGAATACTTTTAACTTGCGCAGCTTTTAGTAAATTTTTCAAGTTTTAGAAACGCCTCGGAGAATAAAGCATAAATTCTGGAGATAACTACACTGTCTACTTTACAAAGAGAGCCAAGTCTTAATAATTGTAATCCTTCCGAACCTCTATGTTCAGTTGTAGCCACTAATTCAAGATTTCAAATCAGAAAAAACGTACAAAGAATTGGTTGAATTCCGGTTAATATTCAGCCACCTGTGAGGGCGTGCGACCCACTAGGCCAGAAGGTCAGATAATTCTGAATATACGGTTCACAATACCCTGGATCGCACCGATATAGTATACCGCCGTTACACCACTTCATCGAAGATTTGAAATTCCAACAAAGAAAGCAACATGAATGAAGGACAATTCTGCTAGAAAAGCAACATTTCTTTATTTCCTTCTTTTGGCATTAGCTCTAATCTGTTTGATAATTTTCACCAATCGCTTCTCCTATTCAGTGTTTCAGATGTCATATCCAACTACGACTACGGCAAGTTACGATAGCGACAAAGAAAAAACTTCACTAGTGAGGTTCATTACTAGGAATATAACCATATCATAACAGTATATATATGTCAGAACTCAAAATGTATATCCATGTACATGAAGACGCAGTCAAAACGCCATGGTTCCCATTAACTTGTCGTAACCGAAGGATATTATTTCCCGCTTAAATCATGGTATAGTGTCACATAGTATTTCGTACCGAAAGCAGCGATGGTTATGAGCTTTTTCGTTGTTCGTTTACAGAGCAGCCATGACACCCAGGACACCGGCGACACCGGCAATACCGGCACCGAAGCTGAAAGGAGTGGGCATGGCACCGGCGCCATCGCTGCTGGTGGAGGAGGCACTGCCGGCCGAGGAGGAAGAGGAAGAGGAAGAGGAAGAAGAAGTACCAGTGGTGGAGGAGCCTGTAGAGGTGGTGGTCTCGCTTCCGCTGGCGGAGGTGGTAGAGACGGTCGCGGTGGAAGTGGGCTGTCCGTTGGTGCCGGTCAGGGTGGTCAGTTCGCTCAGCCTGGAGCTGGCCTCGGACGCGATAGAGGAACCCCTGCTCTCGGCATCGGAGGCGATGGAGGAACCCCAGCTTTCCGCGCTGGAGGCAGCGGCGCCCGCGGCCGAGGTGATGGAAGAGGCGGCGCCGGGGACACCGGTCTCAACGGCGGAAGCGATGGAGGTTGCGGCACTGGCGATGTCAGAGGCGATGCTCTGGCCGCCGTTCACGGCGGTCTGGGCGGCTCCAGCAACATCGGAGATGATGTTTTCGATCTGGGGAGCAGCCAGGGCGGAGGTGGCAGCGAGCAGGGTGGTGAGAAGAGTCAACTGCATTTTGAAGGATGTGTATGTGGGTTTGTGTATAGAGATGTGGATAGTTTTAGTGGAAGAAGCAGTATGGGAGTGATAATCCACAGATTAGATTGTTGATTGTGGGTTGATGATCGAGATAAATTTCCCGTAGATCTGGAGAGTACCGGGCTCCTTAAATATTCGCTTCTCTGCCCTGTGTTGATGATAGAAATAGATCGGCATAGCAGTCGCAAGTATGGCTCCAGTGGCAATGCATTGTGATGGAGACCACAGCCACGAATCACCGTGGGCTTCGTCGCCCGACTTACGTTTCATGGTAAAGTGTGCTTGGGTCCACGGCTCCACACCCGTTTTCCGGAGGCTTCCATGTGGAATGGAAAGAGGCATCGTTCCCTCCATCTGGTGATGTTCCGGTCAGAAGGTGTAGTGTCTCTTGACCTTCACTCTCGCCAGATTGTACTATGAGGTCATGACAGACGTCACCTTAGACTACTATCCAGGACGACGAGCTCTCTAGGACGCTCTAGCACACTTTAGCACGGCGAGTACCCTGTCCTTCGTCGAGCCCGAGGGCCGCGAGTTGCGTTGCCAAGGCCACAAATCCCCTGTCCTGACCCACAGCACACTTTGTCATATTTCTATGAATAGCCCCTATTTTTGCTCAAAAACCAGTCTCGCCCCAGGACCATTGCTCCAGGCTGCCACCGAATGAAAGGAAGATCGTCCGCCAGTCCCGGTTTTTGTAGACTTGGCATTCGTCCAGTCTGCGTGGTGGGTAATGCGATCCAGTCCTGATTGCTGTAAAGGATGACGTTGGTGGTCTTGGCTCCGTTGGTCTCATCTCGCCTAACGAGCTAATTGGGTTATTTTGACGGGAATCCTGCGCCTGGGAAGGTTTGTTGGGATGAGCCGTGTCGGGACTTTTGGTCTTGGGAGTTTTTCCCTCGGTTATGGTGGCGGAGTGGCGGTGCCCTTGACCATTGTGCAGCAATGGCGGTGCAGATTATGTCAGATTTTATCGGCTTTATCCGCTTCGACCAATGCATAAAATTACCAAAAATATGACCACTGCCTCAGTGGCTTTTGCCTTTCGGTGGAATTCCGCTGGTTCTCCAACAACCTGCTCTACAAGGATTCGCCGAGCCTAGAAAGCTAGAACATTCGGAAAGCCAATGACGTGCGTGTCTTGTTTGACATGAACCGTAGAACTGCTTCTTGGAACTGCCACTCCGCGCGGCCGCATTGTGGGTGGCCTCAGTGGTTCAGTTACACAGCAGAGCATCGGATAGATTGGGTTTCAACGTGATCCAAGAACTCTCGCCGCAACAACCGCATCAGAACAAACTTTAGGCTCCAGTTTGCTACTCCCATGGGTTGCATTTCTGTATTTAGTGCCCTACAGCATGTAGGTTTGTCTCCAGGATCGCGGCTTAGGCATCCGGATGTTGTGGAATGTGTATTTGTAGAGCAATCCTCGGTGCCCATGTCTGTGTTGCTCTCAGGGCGGATATGCAACCATGCGCTGCGATATACCCGGTCGGTACAACTTTAAGCTGCTAGTCTCTGTAGGTCCACGCAAGGTGGCTACCGTATTACCTGATGCCAAGTCACCAGCGTGTTGCTTGTCCTATGCATCCAACAATCTTGGCAGAGCAATCCAACGACGCTGTGAGACATTAGTATGACACTCCCATCGCTCGTGTTTCTCTCGGGACAACATAACTGGCTCATGTGATCTTGACCGTGTCGCTCGAAGATAGCACCTGAGACAACTGTCTGGAATACACCGTACAAAAATATCGCATATCCGCAGTGATCGCTCTACATAGATCCGTTGGACCAATAACCGCTCAACGCTGTTGCATGAGGGTATGGGATTCAGGGAGACGGGAGAGCTGCAACTCTAGCTGTTTGAGGAATGGGGCAGTGGGCCAGGGACGTACACGACCTTGGGTGGTAACGGTCTAACCTGACTGGTGCGATGGTTTGCGGTCAGTGTAGCTGATGTTTTATGTCCCTGTGTATCCATTACCTTTTAGCGATATTGGGGCTAGACCATCCCGTGATCCGATCTTACCCTACGTCCTGAAGAATTTGGAAGCTGATACATATCTGTGCGACAAGCCAACAATGAGTTTTCCAGGGGAAATGTATCTGGATGGTTGTCAAAGGCCTCGTAGCGACTGGATTTATCTGTTTTGTACAGCTCAAATCGTCCTGGACATAGCTTTCTTGCCTCCTGGAGAGGTTAAAGATTGAGAAATAGAATCACGAGCTCACACTGTGACATACTCTTAACTCCGACCCTGTACTCATAAGTACCTTTTGTATCGATCTTATGGTTTATTTATAGCCTTCTGCTTCCGGAGATAATCCGGCTGTCTGACAAATTGCGTATCCTTTCAGGACACCTCGCTTCTTTGATGCCTTGCAATCTCGTGATCCTTTACACGGAGTTCTGGGGGAAACTACGCAGTTCAACATGTCAGTTTCGGTCAGTCCGATACTGAAGATGCATAACCTCGAGCCACAATATGGCAGTGTGGACGACTACCTCAAGGATAAACGTATGCTAACCAGGGTTGAGATACGATTGCTTTGACGGTGCAGGCAAACAAACAGTCGACCATAAAGGTGGCTACCTCCTTATCCCACCCTGTCTGAAGAAGAGTCTGATCTTATTATTGTCAATAAATGAAAGCCCATCGCCGACGCGCACCTCACACAGATGACCTTTGAGAGCTACAACCTGGACCGTTTGAATGAGTGCCAATACCAAGGTAGTCAACCCCTAGCAGAGCAAGAAAGGCACCCTTTTCACGTGCAAAGTTTTCCACTGAATGAATTCGACATTTCATGACACCTATCGACTGTTCTAGATGCCGAAAATAGCAAAGCTGCCTCCTGTACTTGTGGTGAAAACGTTCGACCTGACATACACCGGTAAAGATGACGCGCGGCTCTCAGGACTTGATCTTTGAGAGGTACCCATACATAATGAACAGAGTGCTCCGATCTCAAACTGCGATGTCCTTGGCCAGGAGGAACCCTCTTCTGTTGAATGGCGAATTGGTATCAGGTCTGTCACTGCACAAAGGATATCGATTATCAGACAGAACTGTACATCGACAGGGCCGTCTCATCATGCAATGAGCTATACCAGGAGTGTTTGGAGTCCGCCTCCTGATGACCATACTCAAAGGTCTTTCTCAGAATGCATCAAATATCAATGAAAACTTCGGTGCTGAGGATGATGACAAGGACGGAGGCGCACGTAACTGCGCTTGCCAGATACCGCCAGGAAGGTCTATATACCATGGGTAAGTTGCTCTCTGAGCTCTACAACACCCGATCATCATCTAAACTCACCCTTCACTTCTCAACATTCCACGTCCTTGCAATCATGGCAGAGCCATCTAGTCCTAAGGCACCAGACGGATACAAATTCCTGGAAATTATTATTCCAGTTTTTACAGAAACTAACAAGGGCCTCGAGTACCTCACCAGGATACAAGAACATCTCAGGACGTGGAAAGCCCGTATTCAGCGAACTTCTCCTGACAATCCTGGTAGCTATGATTTTATCTTTATGGCTTGTGAGGTCGAAGGGGCTCAAGTGGACGAAGACGAGCGTGCGAAGGGCAAATACGAGTCCCTCAAACAGATAGAGGAGATGCGCGAGAAAGGAAAACCGCAGTTCATGTTTGCGAATCTTAGGATATGTGTCAAGAAAGACGTTCGGTCTGACTGGGACAAAGAGACACCACTTTATACGTCATCATATCCTCATCACGGAGATAACGAACATACGCAACGCGGAGAGCTTTGGTATAATCAACACTTTGTGGATTGTTATAACGCTGTGATGTCTATGGTAGTTGGAATGATTGCGGATGAGGAGCATCAGGTGAAGGGTACAGATTCTGAAAAACGCCGTCCCCCTCCTACGAAGAACTATTTTTTTGATGAATGAAAACAAGTCACAATGAAGGTGACTAGAACTATGTCCATAGTATGTGATAGTCTGGTACTATCGGAGTTTGGGTCAATGAGTTGTTGGGTTGATTGCTTCTTCGGGCTCTACATGAGAACCACGAAATTCGAGTTGAATGTCTCTTTAATTTTCTAGACAAAACAGAAAAGAGCCAAAAAAATTGAAAATGACAGAGCCTATTTTTCAAAAATAGGCAAACTGATAAATTACGTGCACTGTAAGGTCTGTAGATCTTTATGTTGTTTATGTTAGAGCGATGACGTAGTGGATTTATACCTGGGTTCAGCTTTGCCCTATATTCACAGCAGACAGAAAACAAATTCGAATACCGCGCACCACTGTACTTGGCCAGTCCAAGAGAAGCACTATTACTTTATGAATACTGAGATGGAAGGCCTGAAAAGTCGATGGATTTTTGGATTTCCGAAAGTGGGTGACACGATGGATTGCGCTTATTCTCTCTCGCCCCACCTTAGATACAACCCTGGCGCTGGATATGACAGGCTGTATCCTTTCGTATAGAATATTCAGGTACGTTAGAATTACCAAGGTGCCCATATGGTAATGCCGCATAACGATTTCACTCAAGAAAAATGCCTAAGCTCAGCTTGTGGGTCAGCTCCTCTTTGAAAGGCCGATTGATCGTGCAGTTGAGGTCAGGATAAGTTAAGATTGTCGCGTCCCCGCCGTGAGTGGGTTTGGCTGACACCGGCTTTACTCAACCAGGATTGACCATGTCAGAACTTGGTGTCCCTACCAAGCAAGAGCGGGTCCAGAGTAGCATCATCCTGTGAAGGAGGGTAGTATGCAACAGCAGTATTGGAGGGCAGCTTTGAACTAACTTCTTAGCATTCACACTATAACTCAGAAATTATAAGGCGCCCTGAGACATGAATACGCCAGGGACCTCAGCCATGAGGAATTTTTTCCCTCAACATAAACCCAGGAGTATCTTATCATATTTTGCCCGTGCGAGGCCTCCGTTGTGCTATAATTAACGATTTGCCTCGTGGGCTTATGTTCTGCGTCCGAACGAACCCTGACGTATCCGCTGAAATACGGTTACCTTGCAGGGTCGCTGAGACATTTTATTCCGTTTGTGTAGAGACGTTACTTTGAGCTTTCACAATGTCCTCTGCCACGGAGCATGGCGAATATCGACTAGGAGCGGACGTAGGAGGCACATTTACTGATATATGCGCATTTACGCCCGACGGACAGATCGCAAGAGCCAAGGTACCAACGACGGTTGAGGACCAAAGCATCGGGATCAAGAATGGCATCCAGAAAGTTCGACAGCAACTCAAAGACCGCTACTCCTGGGACGGGAAATTCCAATTCATCCACCATGGCACAACCACCGCCACAAACGCTGTTCTAGAAGGCAAAGGCGCACGGACCGGCCTGATCGTCACTGCAGGTCATAAAGATATCTTGGCTGTTCGTCGCTCCCAAATTCCCGGAGGTCTCGGTGCCTGGTTACATTACACTCCGCCGGAGCCGATCGTGCCCCTCGAGCGTGTGATTCAATGTCAAGAGCGCATGTCTGTGAATGGCGAATCAGTTCTTGCCGTGAATAAGGCCGCGCTGCGTGCGGAGTTGAGGACATGGAGGGAAGACCGACCAGAGGCTGTGGCGATTTCGCTACTCAACTCTCATGGTAACAATGCGCATGAATTATTGGTAGCGGACATCGTCCGTGAAGAGCTCGGTTCTGATATTACGATTATCTGCTCTGGCGATGTCCTTCGGGAGGTCGGGGAGTATGAGCGGACGGTGACAACTTGTACCAATGCTCTCGTCAAGCCGGTTGTACAAAGCTACCTCGGCAACCTGCGGGATCTGCTGGCAGAGGATGGGGACACGATCCGTATCCTTAAGTCGGATGGTGGTCTGACCAGTCTGGACTTGGCCGGCGAGCTTCCTGTCAATATCCTGATGTCTGGCCCAGCAGGAGGTGTTCAGGGTGTCGCAGACGTTGTAACTCGCAATACGCCGTACAAAAATCTTATCACGTTCGATATGGGTGGAACGTCAACGGACTGCGCTTTGATATATCAGGGAAAGCCTCGCCTCCGTCGGGAGACAGTGGTGGGAGACTTGACTGTTCGCTCGCCTGCTGTAGATATTCGGACGGTCGGGGCTGGAGGAGGTTCTATGGCCAAGTATATGAACATCACGGAAACGATGAGAGTCGGGCCAGAGAGTGCAGGTGCAAGTCCAGGACCGGCCTGTTATCGCAAAGGAGGAGTCGAAGCCACTGTTACAGACGCGAATTTAGTCTTGGGATACCTGCCGGAGAAGCTGCTGGGAGGTGAATTCACGCTCGATGCTGAGGCTGCAGTCGCCGCTGTTGAGACCATTGCTTCTCAAATGAAGCTCACCGTCACCCAGACGGCTGAAGATATTATAAACCTCGTTAACGAAACCATGTACGGGGCATTGCGCTTGGTGTCTGTTGAGCAGGGTTATGACCCCAAGGACTTTGCCCTCGTTGCATTTGGTGGTGCCGGGCCACTGCATGCCAACGCAGTAGGAAAGCTTCTTGGAGCGTGGCCAGTCATCGTCCCTCCGTCGCCGGGCACCCTATGTGCGCTTGGGGATGCTACCACCCGGCTGAGCCATTCCCAGTCATCGTCATACATCCGTTTGCTCTCCGTGACACTGCCCTGGGAGGTGAAGGCCCGGTTTGATGAGCTAGAAACAGCATGTAGGGCAACTATGGAAAGCTCTAACGGGGGCCACTCTATGGAGCTTAACATCAGCTACCACGTCGACCTCAGGTATAAGGGCCAGGCTTTGAACTTGACCGTGGACTTACAGCGCGACGACCTATCCCTTGATGATGAGCCTTGGAAAGAACTATTACAGGAAAAGTTCGACCAGCTGCATGAGCAGCAATTCAAGTACTGTCTTCCAAATTTTGAACTGGAACTTATGCGGCTTGAGGTGGTCGCTGTTGACGCCTCCCCAAGCATTGAACTTCCTCGGTCTAACAGCGCTACAAGTAATACGCCACCGGCTGACGCCATGATGGCCAAGAAAGACATCGTTATTGAGGGCAAGACTCTGCAGGCTACACTCTGGGATCGTGAAAAGATTAGCTACCAGGGCGTACGTGTCCAGGGCCCTTGCATCATCACCGAAATGGACAGCAATACTCTGATCCTGCCCGGGTGCTACGGAGAGATAGATGCTATAGGCAACATTCTGATACGCCCAGATGGAGAATTCCAGCAAGAGCGGCTAAAGGATCAAACGGTCGAGGAGGCCGAGGAAACAGTTCGATCTACTCCGTTGATCCCAACGCTTGTGGCATCTGCCTTGGCCTCCATCCGAAGTGAGATGGACACACTAATGCTCCGTTGTAGCATGTCACCAGCAATCCGTGAGCAACAGGATGAGTTCAACGTAATAACCACGGCAGATGGCAAGATGCTTGTCGGCCAGTTCGGCAGCTTTATCACCCAATTCCTCCAGGCTTGGAAAGGACCCATACATGAAGGCGATGTTTTCATCACTAATGACACTTACATGATTGAAGGAGCAGTGACGCACTTGAACGATGTTATTGTTCTTTTGCCCATATTCTTCGAGGGTAGCTTGATTGGATGGGCGTCGCAGTTCGGGCATCTGACTGATGTAGGGGGTATGGTCCCAGGCAGCATGTCTATCAACGCCACATCCATCTTCGACGACGGAGTCCAGATACCCATCGTCAAACTCTACGCCAAGGGGGTTATGAACACCGACCTGGTTGACCTACTCTGTCGTAACTCACGTCAACCAGACTGGTACCGGTCAGACCTGATGGCAATCATTGCCGCCTGTCGTACTGCCGCCAGTCGGGTTTGTGAGCTAGCTATGCGATTTGGATCTCAAATCTACCTGGCTGCATGCTCAGAGCTACTTCTTCGTAATCGCACAGGAATGGCTAAAATCATTGAAACGGACTTTGATGATAAGCCATGCACGTTTACCGACTTCGTGGACGATGACGGCCATGGGGTTGGCCCCTGGGCTCTTACCTGCACGATGAAGAAGATCGAAGGGAATCGGCTGCTGTTCGACTGGAGCGGAACATCGCCTCAGAGTGAGCACAGCATAAACTTCTACTTGTCAGAGACCATGTTCAAGATGTTCATCGGGTACTACATGATTGCGGCAGCAGCACCTGGTACCGTGATTAACGATGGCTTCCATGACCTCATTGACATCTATATCCCCGAGGGCACCGTGTTGAAGCCCGTTAGACCAGCAGCTATTTCTTGCCGAACACACCTTCTGGGCAGGACCATGGATGTGATGCAGGCACTCATCGGAAAGAAGAATCAACTTTACGCGGCGGCGGCTGGCTTCAGTGACTCACCGCATTTCTTCTACTCTGGATACAAGCCTGACGGGGAGTGGTATCAGCTATATCAAATTGGGTTCGGTGGGGTGCCAGCTCGGAATGCAGGCGATGGGCTTGACTGTCATTGTCTCTTCCCGGCTATCAAGTCGATCCCTACAGAAAGTATTGAACTAAACTACCCATTGCGCATTGAAGCGAACGAGAGTGTCCCAGATAGCGGAGGCCCCGGCTACTACCGTGGTGGCAACGCGCAACGCACACTCTATCGGTTCCTGTGTCGCGGAGAGTTCAGTCTGCACGATGACCGCTGGTTTACAAAGCCATGGGGAATTCGAGGTGGTAAACCGGGCTCCCGCTCGCGGAAGGTCTTGTACCGATTCTCGAAGTCTCGAGAAAATCCGCCCGTTGAGATACTTCCATCAAAATGCGACCATGTTCGCGTGGATCCCGATGATCTGCTTGAATGGGTGACGTGGGGTGGTGGCGGACTGGGAGATCCACTGACTCGACCTGCAGAGAAAGTCGTGTTAGAGATTCGCCGGAGACTGGTGACTATCGACGGAGCCCGGAATAACTATGGAGTCGTGGTCAACCCTCAGGACTTTACTGTATGTGAAGAGGAAACTGAGGCTTTGAGGAAGAATATGAAGGATGCTCGGGATGCGCTAGGACCTGTCCCAGAATACGACCGAGGCGGCTCCATGCAGGAACTGAGGGAATCGTGCCTGAGAGAGACAGGACTCCCTGCCCCAAGCCCACAGTGGGAGTTGGATCCATACGGGCCCCACGTTGGACTCCCTTATGTTAGGGATTGGTTTACACGGATGAAGGAGGTGAAAGGATGGGAGTTGAACTGATCGAGCTGTGGGCCTCTACTCAAATATTTGATATACCAAGGTGCCGCGATGTTTGTTGAAGGCACAAGCCTTCTCATGTTCCATCAAAATGTGAAGGTTCACTTGTAGAAGCCAAATAGACAAAGGCAAATATGGCAGGAATAAATAGCCGCTTCGTGTCCGTTCTCATACTCTACTCCCCATGGCGAATCCCATCTTCCCCTCCCAAGGCTGATCCGAAATTCCCGAGAAAGATTTTAATATCCGCTTGGCCAGCGAGAGTGCCTTCAAGTACATTGTGCTACTTCCAAATGTCGGTGCTTCATGTTTTGCCCTCCAGCTTGCAATCGCATGGACAGGCTCAGGGTGACGGCTCTCAATATTCTTCGCAACCCTGTAGGACGAAAATCGTATTGTAGGATTTGTCTATGGCTAGACAAGCTTTACTAACAAGAACTTGTTAAACGTGTACCATAGTTTCCTAGTGCCCCATGCCCACGCGTGTTGCTGATGACTAGGGATGGTAGACTACCAACCGCACTGACCTGACACGGGTTCAGGAAACACCTTTTTCTCCAAACAGCAAGCCACTTACGAAGTCCTCGTTGGAAATGCTTATTGGCAAACCAGAGAGAACGTTCGGGTGATCTTGGACCGAATTATGCGGGGGGAATGCTTGGCAGGAGAGAGTGATGCTTAGTTCCCCTTGCAAGCACTGCCCGCCGGGCATCCTGAAGCTGTCACTAGACCGCAGGGAAATAATGCAATTTCACGACGGAAAATTAAACCACATAACGGCCACCAATGATGTTACTTTACACGTCGTGGTATGAACTCTTGTTCGCTCGCTTCCTTCGAGCGTATCTCGCTATTTCTTTTGACCTGAAACTAGTCCGAGCTTGCTGGTTATTGTCCATGTCATGTTTTAACTTGTTAATGCATGGTTGCAACGCTCCTCTCATTGCGCTACCGAGATGCAAAATTGTACTAGGTTCTTGGCCTCTTTCTAGCTCCGCATTGGAGCTCCATGCCGGGTATATAAGATGATGAATTCTACCCGGTGCTTCAGATAACCGACTACGAGTCGAACCCTTCTCGGTGTTGGTGGTGTACTCTCGATATCGTTTCAACTTTCCACAATGCGACGGCCATCTCTCTGGCTCGCTCTCGGAGCGCTAGCCAGTGAAGCACTCTCACGACCCTCGGAAAGTAGGTCAGCCGATACCGTCAAGGTTCACTGGGTCGGCGATGCTCCGGAGTACCATGCTGGGACAACGTTTGGCCTCCCGTGGCCCCAGGGCAAGTACCGATCCAACGACACGCAATTTAGTCTTTCCGGGCAATCGAATGAGCAAATTCCGCTTCAATCGTGGGTAACGGGCTACTGGCGTGATGGCTCAATCAAGTGGACTGGGCACGCTATTCCTCCGCTTGACACCATTGACAGCGAATATCGCGTCAGCGCCTCGGCATCTCCGCGACACCCGGCTTCGAACCATTCCAGCGCATCATCGGGAGTGAAGGTGACCAATAAACCCGACGGGATCACGGTTGATACGGGTAAATTGACGGTTTCTTTCCCGAAACAAGGAAATGTCATTGTGGGCTCTATCACGACATCCAGTGGCAAGGTAGTTGGCGAAAATGGAAAGCTCGTGCTCCACACCCAGTCCGGAGTAGCGGAGGATGTTTCAGCACGGGCTAACGCCTCTATCAACTATTTCAACTTCCAAAGCAATATCGAGAACGTGACTGTCAGCAAGGACAACACCGTTCGTACTTTGGTCACAGTGAAGGGAAAACACCAAACATCTGGTAGTGGCGGTCACGATGACTGGCTCCCATTCTCTTTACGCTTTTATTTCTATACCAATTCGGACTCTATAAGAGTGGTTCACAGTATTGTCTTCGATGGAAAGCCAGAAGAAGACTTTATCACTGGCCTCGGAATCCAATTTGAGGTTCCCCTGGAAGGCGAGGAGCTGTATAACCGCCACATCCGACTACCCGGTGTGGATGGCGGTTATCTGAATGAGGCCGTTCAAGGAATCACTGGCTTGCGTCGTGACCCCGGTGAGGAAGTCCGTTCGGCGCAATATGAAGGAAAAGTAACCCCCAACATCAGCACGTGGGATGAAAGAGTCTCGTCTCGCATGCAGTGGATTCCGGTCTGGAACGATTACAAGCTGAGCCAGTTGTCACCGGATGGGTTCACCCTCAAGAAGAGAACCAAGCCTGGCCAGGCCTGGATCAACATCCCGGGCGGCACGCGATCTTCCGGACTTGCTTATCTTGGTGGTGCCACGCAAGGTGGACTTGCGATTGGCCTGCGTGATTTCTGGAAGAGGTATCCTGCAGGCTTGGATATCACGAATGCTGGTGCTAACAAGGGTCAGATCACTTTGTGGCTCTATAGCCCCGAAGCAGCACCATTAGATCTGAGACCATTCCATGATGGACTGGGACAGGATACCTATGAAAAGCAAACCGATGCGCTCGAAATCACTTACGAAGACTATGAGCCCGGATTCAACACACCTTATGGGATTGCCCGAACCAGTGAAATATTCCTGCACGCATTTGACGCCACTCCAGAGAGCGACAACTTGGCGCTTTTAGGCCACTATATCAATGAGCCTCCAGTTCTAGTACCGAAGCCTGAGTATATCAAGGAAACCAAGGCAGCTGGGTCCTACTGGGCACTGCCAGACACATCAAATGACAAGGCTTCGACGATCGAAAACCACTTAGATTTCCTTGCGAAGTTCTACCAGGGCCAGATTGAGGACCGTCGTTGGTATGGCTTCTTAGACTATGGTGATATCATGCACACCTACGATGAAGACAGGCATACTTGGCGCTATGACGTTGGCGGATATGCCTGGGACAACTCAGAGCTATCCCCTGACTTGTTCTTCTGGCAGTACTTCCTGCGGACTGGTCGAGCAGATATTTACCGTTTTGCGGAGGCATTGACTCGCCATACTGGTGAGGTAGATGTGTATCACATCGGCGACTGGAAAGGTCTCGGCACTAGACATGGCGTTCAGCACTTCGCCGATAGCGCCAAGCAAGTGCGTATCGCCCAGCCTCAGTACAGGAAGTACTTTTATTACTTGTCTGGTGGCGATGAGCGAGTGGGTGAGCTGTTGGAAGAAGCAATCGACGCCGACAAGACGTACGGAATATTGGACCCGCAGAGGAAGGTTAGGACGGATGGTTGGACACCAGAGCCAGGCAAGCCTGTCGCCTTCTCTCTCGGGACAGATTGGGCTGGTCTCGCTGCTGGCTGGCTGATCGAATGGGAGCGACGCGGGCCTCGCTGGCAAGAGGCCAAGAAAAAGCTGACGGGCACGGCGAAAGGAATCGCCAGTTTCAAGAACGGCTTCGTCACGGGAGAGGGCCTGTACGCCATCAGCAACGGCACACTACTCCCACCCCCGACCGATCCGAACAATGAGGGTGTTGTGTCCATTTCCCACTTGAACGCTGTGTTCGGTATGCCGGAGGTTGTTTCGGAGTTGCTCGAGTATTGGGGCGATGAGGCACCGGAAGGTCTGGAGAGTGCCTGGCTTGATTACTGCTACTACTATGGCGCAACGAAGGCGGAGCAGCAGGCGCGCTATGGCGAATCGTTCAGCGGTATCAGTCTGATCCAGGGCCACTCGCGTTTGACGGCGTACTATGCGAAGCACAGCAACAATGTGACTGTGGCTGAGCGAGTTTGGAAGGAGTTCTACAACAATACGGATGGTTTTACTGCTGATGAGCCCTGGGTTTCAGAGCGTGTCAATGGAAGCGCTGTGCTCATTCCAGTGGATGAAGCTACATGGATATCGACAAACGCTGTCGCCCAGTATGGGTTGGCTGCTATCCAGGACCTGGCACTCGTTGGAGACGCCGTGACACAATCCCCTTATGGCGCTTAGTAGATTGAGATATTGCCTCATATAGAAGTACCTTTTATTCTCTCATGTGCCCAAGCTGTAATCTATTTGTTTGCAATCCACGCGTTATGTGCTCTACGTATCCTCTACATTGTGATAACCCCAAGGAAGCTGCTAGAATAGTTATCCGCCACGGTTGAATATATTGTGCTCTGATAACAATGTAAAATTCTGGTTTTTGTATTCAAATAGGGCTGCCAATATCCCCTATTCGATCTATCTTGCAGTCAAAGAAGACAATCCAATATTCAGACTCCAAATACGCTAGCCTGAGTTAACCCCAGTTTCTCCATAACATAGTTATAGTTACCCTCCGCAGCTCGGGTTTTCGGATGATCTGGCCCCAGAGACTTTCGATTAATATCATAAGCTTCCTTCAGCAGGGGGTAAGCGTCGTCTAGTCTGTCCGCTCTGACATACGCCACAGCGAGATTGTTCATGCTGCCCACCGTCTCCGGACTTTCTTCACCAAGGGCCCTGCGGGATGACTCCAGAGCCCGCTCCAGCAAGGTTAATGCCTTCTGCTGTCCATCGGCCGTCCCGAATTTCTGGTACGTTGATGCTAGGTTCATCGAACAGCGAATCGTGGTCTCATTTGCTTCCCCCAGACTGTTTGTTGCAAGCTCGAGCGCTTCCTCCTGGTACCTCGCAGCTTTCTGCACCTGACCCAGCTCTCGACAGTCAACACCAAGCAGATCCATAGCCATGATTGTTTCAAAGTGGTCTCGACCCAGTGTCTTCATGCGAAGCTCCAGTGTCTTCTCATGCAACCTGGCGGCGTCGTCAAAACGCCCCTGCTGGTGATAGCTATTCGCCAAGTTATTCATGCTCGTCTGCGTCGCTCGGGAATTCTCCCCTTCCACTTTCATAAATATGTCCAACGCTTGCTCCTCAAGATCAAACGCCTCATCGAACCTAGCAAGGCCCTTAAGATCCAGCGCAATATTATTTAATGCTTTAGCCGTCTCAGCATGGTCCTGTCCACAGACCCTCACACGAGCAGCATGCACTTCGCGATCTATCGTCTCGGCCTCCTGACACCCACCGTGCCTTCGGAGGTGGTAGGCAAGAATCGCCTTTGTGTCTAGCGTGTCCTCATGGTCGGGCCCCAGCTGCTGCGCTGATAGCTGGATGGCCTGGTCCAGTTTCTCTCGCGCTTCGGCCCATCTGTTCTCTTCTACTAGTTCGTCGCATTCCGCTAATAGGCTCTGCAGTATCGACCTGGTATTCTCCATTTCACTTGGGGGAGACATGGTGTCTGACACTTTACTTGGTTTTGATCTTCTGCACCAACAAGTCATTATGCGACCTTGAGATGGGAATTGGAAGTGATGGTCTCGTTGGACAGAGACCAGGGAGCGCTACCTTGGGTAACAAGAATGAGAATGCAATTGCGTTAGTACGAAGCTAAACTGTCCGACTTGCTATGCTGATATTTTTCCAGGCAGTACAGAGATGCTTTCTGGCAAAGTCGATATATGCTGCGATTGTGCGAATTTAGCAAAGACTAAAAGAAAGAGGACAGAAAAGAGAGAAAAAGACAGAAAGAGGAACGGATAACACTTAAAGAAGCGTGTCTTAAGTAGCAAGAAACAGGGACCACATGAATGCATCGAGACTTTCCGCAACGGCGATCACCTCGTACAGATCAGTGCGCCACCAATAGAACACGTCGATCTGAATCTCCCATTATGGGAGTTCCGCGGATGTTAGGAGAGGAATTACGTGGAATACGAGCCCTAGTACCCGTTCCCTGGACCCATCACACGAACATCAAATGACAAGATAAAGTTGCAGATCTTCTTTCTGCATTGGACTTTTGTTCACAAGGCAAGAAGAATTCCATAACAGAAGCTCAAGCTGGCTATTGCAGTTGGCAGAGCAACGCTTCATTCAGTGATCCAACTACCTTTGTGTTGTATAATTAAGCTATTTATTCCGTGGTTGCTGAGTGTCTCAGTCGAACCCGGAATCAGCAATTAGGTTTGTATTTCGAGTGATCCAGACCCTAACTAAGTTTTGATTGTATTCTAAAATAACATATGTAGTACGACTCCACTCTGTTATATGTTACAGCTACATTCGAAAAAGCTAATACTTGTGTTGAATAAAACCAGGGACACATAGGGAATCCGATCAACAATCACTGGGGGCAAAGCTGTTGAAAAATAGAAAGCTGGTACAGAATCAAATTAACGGAGGATTTTCAAGTGGTTAACGGACATGGCTTCAAAACCTTTCATCGTCTTGGGTATTCTCAGCTTAGTTACTCTTGATTGTCAAGGTCGGCAGGCAAACCTCAGGAACATAGATCAGCCCTCTATCGCCAATTTATCTACATGTGAAAGAAATTATACATCATTATTACGTTCAAGAAGAGGACAAGAAAACACGATATAGTAGACTAAGTTTTGCAGTGCCTTGAGGCTAGAAAAGGTGGTGCGATCGAACAACAGTCGTTTGTGAGATGGTGGCTGTGGAGTTAATCACTAGAGAATGGAGAATCTCAACTAGTGAGAGAACTGGGCTACTATTTAGGATAATGGCCTTACTGTACTTCATATTTAACACCTAGACTACTATTGGCCTGGATCCAAAGCAAACCACCCCGATTATGCAGCTTCGTCGTCAAGACTGACTGTTAAACTATGATACCTATTCTTGGACTCACCTGCTCCTCGACCGAAGCTTGATTGTACAGTAAATAGACTGCTTCACTGGGAGATTACTCCAGCTAGCTCGATGTAAGCACTGCCGTAGAGAACAAGTTATATGATATATCGAACCCTCATCATTCTTCTAAGTAAGGACAGCAGGAAGTAACATCGTTCTAAACAACAAATCATCCCAAACATAACAACCTCCGTCTCGCATCACGGTGTACCCAACCCTCCTCCCCTCAAGTCGCTCCACCCTCCATCGCATCAGACCTTAACACAGCTGTCTCCGTTCTTTCCACAGATAACCTAGACCCACGTCAGCAATGTACAACTCAGGTCCTTTATACCACTCTAGACACTTACATCATAGCCCTCCTGCTCGCAGTGGTACTTGGTGCAGTCTCCCCACATGCAATCGAGTGGGCAATTGGCAGCACCCAAGGCAACATAGTTGCTGCACATGGGGCTACCGCAGACACGGGTCTCCAGGCGTTCTGGGAGCGCAGTGGCCGTGGCGGTCACGGCGGCAAGGAGGACGGTGTAGATGAACTTCATCTTGAGGGAAGAATTGGTAGTATATAGATATGTTCAAAGAAGGTTGGGTGGTTGGCTGGTTGGGAGCTGTGCTTTGCTGATGTTGCTATAGATGAGATGAATGTCGTGCTCAGGGGAGAAGACCTCCCTTATATAGATTTGGGGAGACGTGAATGTCTCATAACAGATGTATATTATTAGTACAGCTTGAACAGACTTACAGAGAGGATGTTGATCGACTGTCGTATTTGATCAAATGGTGTGCCTGATAGACAGTATAGCCCCGACCTGTTGTATGTACATACAATGCCCAGCTCGCGGCATGACGATCATATCTGAGAAAAGGTGATATTTAGCGCTGTGTGAGAAATCTAATGCATCCTATACGTATGTGCAGTAAAGTGAGCACACCGTGCTGTCTTGGCAAGTAGCATGATTGCCAGATGCTATAGTATGTAACAATAGGATCAACCGCTTGCATGCCTTTCAATTTGGCCACAAAATCGTGAGCGCTCAGCGATAACTAGGACAATAGACAACCTCCAGCTTAGGAACAGGTATAGCTCCTGGTGCATATTCGCGTTTCCGTACCCAATGGCAGTGATCCGATTAGTTCGGAATAGATCAATTGCACTACGCGCGTCGCGGCTCTCAGCCATGGCGATCACTTCGTGTGGATTGCGCTTGACAATTAGGCGCCCGATCAAAGCCAAGGACAGGAACTCTCATGTCATCGATATGATGCCAAGACTCCACTCCGCCATTTTGCATCAGGCAAACTGGTTGCAGATCAATTTGGTTTGAGCTATGGTTGGTTCGGTCGGAAGAAGTCAATGCCCAATCGTTGCCGGCCAAAGTGGCCATGCACCTGCATAGCCATTGTCGGATAATCGTGGAAAAAGCCCTTAGGCCATGACTCGCTCGAGGCTCGTCTCAGGATGCAGGGACAGTTGTGCGAGTCATTTGCATGAAGAGAAACGTATCGGGTTGTCTCTTCCTGGAACGGTAATGATATTCGAAAACAGTTGGCAGCGACGGACTTGGCATGAGGCTGTGAGGGAGGACTCGGAGGAGAAGCCAATCATCCTACAAAGAATAATTTCTCCAGGCAAGAGGATGACGAAGACAGCCGGCAGTTGCTCAATGCCGTGTATATACAACTTGACCTGAATGATAGAAGGGCTGACAGTGCCCTCGTCGCAACACGTAACCGTTTCTGATCCCTGACCTTCTACCAATATCCAATGGCCTTAGGCTAGGCTGTTGGAAACTGCTGGATAACCAAATTCATATTGTCGATGTGTAAGGTGGGTTTGGTAAACATCCAAGGATAGGCTTTACGTCCTAGAAGAGGTCCTCTCGTTCTTGTGTATGGTTCTGTACGTTCCTTGCCACGAGAACAATTAAATTAGTTCATGATCCGAATTATCAAACGGTGATAACCACGTTAGTTCCCCTGTCTCCTTGAATCATGTTCTGTTAACGGAATATGTTACTCAGCTGACCAGATATAACAATTCACTGGTAAGTTTGCTAGAGCCCGAATTGGGACAACAGAGTCTTATTGTCTGAAATGAATGCTTACACTGAGCCTAATTCCACGATTAACTAGTTTCCAGATCATAGGTTCTCACAGAATATGCCAGAAAGAAAACATCCCTGCCATGCTCCTCCTCCCTAACACCTAATTATAAGCAGCAAGCGCCTTCTCAAAAGCAGCAGCGATCTGATCATTCAGTATTGGCGCAACCGAAGCATACGGCTCCGCCAACTTGGCAACAACAGCCTTGCCCAACTCCGCCGACAAGTCCTTCTCCTGCTGCAAGTTCCACTTCACTAAGAATGAGACAGACCCGATGCCGAGGAATCCGGTGTCGAACTGGGGTTTCTTGGAGACAATGTTGTCGAGGGTCGAAGAGATCTTCGGTTGCAGATCGATAAAGGCAGCGGCCACCTTGTTGGACTCATCGCCGGTGAAGTTCTGGGAATCCTCGGTGGTCGAGATGGCATCTTTGAGGGCGTGGCTGAGTTGCACGGACTGGAACTCGATCTTCAGGGCTGTTCCGGTTCCGAGCACTCCGCCTTTGTAACCAGTCACAGTGGTATTCAGGGTCGTCATTTTGTCTGCGATCTCTGCCACTGCATCTACCACGCCTGCGGCATCGCGTTTGAAAAGTTCGGTGGGTGCCGATGTTGCCGTGGTCAGGAGCCCGGCGGCCAAGACAAGGAGACGGTGGAAGTGCATATTGACCAGTAATAGGATCGGTTTAGGTTAAAGTGGGAAGCGACAATGAGGCTAAGGTGAGAAAGGAGACCAGGAGAAGATACGCCAAGGTATGGTTCAACACAAGCTTCGAATCCTGATTCACTGGGGAAGACACAGGACCCCCGTGGAGAACTGTCACATTATATGCTCAAACAACTCAAATCCCGGGGGTTCTGCGAGCCTTTAGCCTGAAAGACCCACGTTCCTGTTTAATCTTAATCTCTCATCGAGGCTTGCTGGCTAGATCCTGGGGAGTTCCGGATGTAGTAATTGATGGTACCCCAATTAATTGTACCCCGCAAAATACATGATTAGCGCGGAATCGCGGCCAGGGTTCACCACGAATCAACGGAGTCCTTGTCGTATAAAAGCACATGTCACCACCGGCATCCCGAGGCATTCAGAGATTAATATGGGTGACCAGTTCAAGAAGCCGCATGTGTTGGGCTTCATCACTGATGTAACAGTAAGACATGCAGGACTCTCCAGCCAACCTGAGATTGAGTTCCAAACTCAATTTGAGGGCTAACAGGGCAGGATCACAGATATGTCCCACAATTTCATCACCCCGGACTATTGCGCAACGTAGTCACTACCCTGGTCGGACGCCGTCGGAACTTAAGAACACGAATCCTGGTGCTTCTGCTCGGAATGCCTTACACAGTGGCCCGAAATCATACAGTCCTTCATTCTGCGAGGCGTCGCGTACACCAAAGTATTTTGTCAGATGACACTAATCAGTACAGATTGCCTTAATACATGGGGGTTTTTCTAGATCCTTTTGCCCTTGCATTAGTCTCCTTGGGCGTTCGATATGCCGAGGCCATGTCAGCTGCTTGGAGAAATTCAGGTGCAATGGTCAAGACTCCCTTCGGTGAACAGCGGGATGCCACCCCTCTGGACGTATGATATAGTAAGCCCTAACTCCTAATTCTCGCCATTCAAACATTGACCACGCTGCCCGATTCCTACCATCCTTCTTCTATCGCTTACGCTTTGCGAACATTGGACTCAGATGGCAACCTTCTGACATATTGGTCACTCGATCTTGAGCTTGATCCAAGTAACTGAAATCTATCAGCCAGGAGATCTGTTTAATAATAGAATTGACTAGACAAGACTGATATTCCACTGAAACAAGCAACGAACATAGAACTCTCGCCGCTACATTAGAGCTGTAGCATGGTATGTGATTAGCTTAATAATCAACGCGAGCTGGATCGCTCCGATCAAGGCGGGTGACAAGGATCTTCTTCGATCGCATGTGGTTGTCTGGGCTTTCAAAAAGAAAAGAAAAGACTATATACAGTTCACATTATCATTCTATGTATGCCGAGTCGTTCACTTCTTACGCCACCACGGCCTGTACGGCTTGTCTATTCTGTGTACTGCCTCCCTCATATGTACATCGTACCTGTGTTTCTCGAAATTCCACCAGAGCGCCCAGCCTCCGAGAGTGATTGCAGTGAGCGGGACTGCCGTTGCCCAATAAATCCAAAATTGAGATGACACCGCCCGGCTGCCATCGGAAGGGGCACTTTTCCAGTCAAACATGTCCATGGAAAACAAAGTCTGTGTTTTGTACAGGAAATATTATTAATCAATCCTCTGCTGCACTACAAGAAATGAATACATACCGCAATAAATGTCCCCGGAAGAAATATAGTCGTGATAAATGCTAAGATCTTCATGGAGGTGCTATCTCTCCCAGTGGATGCGGCGAGGCGTGCATTGAGCCGATTGTCCGACTGGGCCACAAAGCTGTACAACTGGCAAAGAGTCAATGATAAGGACATCTTTGACTGTGAGAAGGGGTTCCATCCTACCACATCGAGCTGAAGCTCCATCCGCGCCTGAAGGCACAGCACATGTTCCTCGATAGATTTGGCCAGATATATATTGTGCTCAATTAGTTCATTGATTTGGTTATAGCGCGAATGCTGGCCGTGCCATTCCCCAGAAGCCTCATTCATGATGTTTAATAGAAACTGTGACGCCTCGTAGTTCCACTTCGGGGAGCGTCTTGTGAATAATATACTGGTTAGCTTCGAGTTAATGGAAACGGTGAGAAAGTGCGTCTGAGATCTATCAACCGGTATTCCCAGGTTCAGCATATCCGCATCTTTGGAGAGAGTTCTATTTGTCGGCACCCGAAAACGTGGTTGGTTCCTCCGGCCAACCATGGTCACCCCAAGATGTTCCTCGATCACCATGACCTGTTGGGTCAGAGACCCGGTACAGAATTGTTGTACTCGCTTGAGGTGATCGGTGATAAGGATACATGGCAATGTGAGAGGATTGTTCCACAACTCAGGAGACTCGGCAAGACTAGTCCGGATGGTTCTTCCGGGGACTTGGAATCTGAATGGCCGTTCGGAGCGATAGTCTTCCATTGATGGGAACAGATCGATGATATCCTCGCCCGCGAGGAGAGCTGTGGTCCATTGTGATGAAGTATCATGTGTGAGAGAAAGCATGTAATTAGCGATCTCATACTTCTGAGGCGCTTTGAGGATAATAGCTTCGTTCTATTAGCCATGCTCGTGGTACCCTTTCAAGACATACAGAGAAGGACAGCCCGACGTACATGTGCGATCTCCCTGTTGCCCAGTCCTAGAGTAACGCGAGAACATCCCACCATTTACCTCAAGCGCTGAAAGGGTGGCCGGATGAAGGGCAAGCATTGATTCCACTAAATTGTAGTCCTCCCGGGACATCCCGAGCGAGGTGCGCTCGAATAATGTGTAATTGCATATCAGTAATCTAATACCCCCAGTCGGCTGTTCAGAAAGGGGGTAGCTAGGGATTGAGAAGCTCCCCGTTTGTTGCAACCATTCTTTGAGTTGTAAGTTTTCCAGACATCCGTGGCGAAAGTTCCAGGATGTTACCTCATTTACCTAGTGAGTTCGATTAGTCGCGCAATCTACAACAGAGAACGGATGGTGTTTAGCAAACATTCGGGAAACTCCAGGCCTCGATAAATTGAAAACCTTTAGGGTCCCACTCGATGCTTCTCGCGATCTCATCTTTGTGGAACTGGAACATAGCTGTGAGCGATATCTATACGCTCGCCAGATGACATTTGCCAATTTTAAGGTGGCTATCAACCATTGGGTCAGTGCAACAAACTGTGAGGATAGCCAAATGAAACCGTCTAGAGGCAGTGCTCCTGAATTATTTGCATAAATCGGTGGCTGCTTTAGCGTCGCTGCTAACCAAACTTGTACTAGCTCGAAATATCATAAGCTTTGGTTTAGGGGCTACCTCACTTTCAACAGGTCTCATCAGTACTCCGTACAGAATTCCAGATTGTTCTTTCGACGTACATACAATAGCGGACAATAAAAGCCGTAGTTCACAGGTTTGGCGGAACGAGGGCTTACAGACATAGTATGGTTGTTGCTGACCCGCAGCGATGCTGAGGGGAATCAGAGGGGTCCAGGCAGGCAAACTCCGTTAATGCGTGCAGCCAGGGACGGCCATGAGACGGTTGTCAAGATTATAGTTGCTCAACAGGATGTGAGTGTAGACACAAAAGATGCCGAAGGACGAACGCCACTGTGGTGGGCAGTGCAGGCTGGGCATGAGACCATCGTCAAAGTGTTAGTTTTGAGAAGGGCGTTGCTATAGATGCCAAGAAAAGAAATGGACTGACGCCATTGATGATAACATCTAGTAAAGGACATGAAGGAATAGTAGGGGTGCTGCTTGACAAAGGTGCCGCCATGCAGGCGCAGGATCCGCAAGGTCGGACGCCATTACTACTTGCCGCCTGGAAAGGGCATGCTGAAGCAGTCAGGGTGCTGCTCGAGAGGGGTGCCGCCATTGAGATGCGGGATCAGGAAGGTTGGAAACCACTGCTGTGTGCTGCTTCTGGTGGTCATGAGGCTGTTGGCAAAGTGCTTCAACAGAACAGTGCGAATATCCAGGCGCGGAATCCAAGAGGCCTCAGTCCCCTTCTACATGGTGCTTCCTCAAAGCCACATGAAAGTTTTGTCAAGATGCTTCTCGCAAACGGAGCCAATATCGAAGCTCGGGATGGGCGATCTCAGACGGCACTGTTCTCGGCTGCTCGCGAGGGGCATATCGCCATTGTCCAGCTGCTTCTTCAACACCTTGCGGAGGCTGATGTTCGTAACTGGAATAGTCATACACCAATGGCAATGGCAAATGCAAATGGTCCAAAGGCGATCGTCAAGTTACTCCGCGAAAGGCGTGCTAGCCATATACTTAGTGTGAAAATCTGGCTTCCTTTTTGAGGCTTTTTCCTAGCCGCATAACGACAGTGATTTGGGGAACTCATAAAACCTATCTACAAAGCCCCATTATGTTATGTACCGTTTATGATAGTCTATGTAGGGATTTATAGCGAGCTCAGAACTAAAGATATTTATCGCTTTAGTAATTGTATCCTGAGCTAGATCTATCCAAATAACACGCATCGCACTATACCCCCAAATACCTGCCAGCAAAATAAAAGGCTAACTCATCCACTTTTCCAGTAGGTATTGAGCATCTCCTTAACCAAAAGAGGCTTGATATCGGGAAACCGTTCGTTCAAGCTACCAACCTTGGAAATGTGAGACTGGCCTTCGGCAGTAAACCGTTCAAAAATCGACGTAAAACACTGGAAGGCCTCCTTCGGGAAGCGATCGTACAAGGCCTTGTGAGCTGGCAGCTCAGTGATCTCGAACCTCTTCAGCTTCTCGATATCATCGTAATGGACCTCGAATTTAGACCCTACTTCTCAATTAGCAAGTTCTGCCTATAGATAGCAAGTTCGTGTATGGTATGGAGACTCACCACGAGCGTCCTCGGCTAGAGCAAGAAACTCATTCCAAGTGATTTCATCCCCGACGACACGGCTCTCCTCCTCCCAGTGCTCCAGGTCCAGCGATGCAATCACGAATCTGGCCATATCAAAAGAATAGGTCAAAGTGACGGGAACATTACCATCTCCCGGGATGGCGGCAACCTTGCTTTCAAGGTCGAATGCGGCCACATGCGGTTTCAGATACGACTTTAGGGCCGGTGTCGCGAAGTAGTCCATGAACATGCCGATATGGAAGACAGTCCATTCGAGTCCTGAGTTGCGAAGCGCTTCTAATCCGTCAAAATAGATCTTGAGCTGGGACAAAACCTCCAGGGCTCTAATACAAGTTAGTATTGTGATATGAGAGGAGAGGTCAGATAACTAACTCCTGGGGGTAAGGGATAGCATATCCATTTGCCACGAAGCGTTTCGTGGCCTGTGACCGTGCGGCTGCCTTGATCAGGTTCAGCTGAGCCGTTTCAAGTGAGCTCCCCTCAACAGATAGAGCGCATATGACTGTATGGATCTTGTTATCTTCAAGCAGGGAGACGAGTTGATCGATATCGTTGTAGTCAGCCACGAGAGTATTTGGGACTACGGTCGATGACTGTCTTGTGTCAGTTTCTTGGTTGATTGTCAGAACGGGGGACCTATACCTTTCGAGATAGGACGAATGCTTCATGTTTGGTAGAGGCTTGCAAGACCTCCAGAATAGTTCTTCCTACATCACCGGTACCACCAGCAATCGCAACGTTGACCATATTGTGGGTTGGTTTGTTGTCGAACGCGTAGAGCAAATAGGACATTCAGAGAAAGTGGGTTGCTAGAATGCATACTCAGCAGTGGAAATGTCAGTCTTTATATAGCTTTCTCTGTCTTACTCACCATGCATGTCCCCATACCCTTTTTCCAGGACATTGTTTGATGCAGCCAGGAGTATATGAGTGAGATGGTTGGCTCTCCAATAAGATTGAGCATTTCGGCTGTTGGATCCTCATCGCCCCACATCTTGATACGAAAATTTCCTATTTGGGACATGGTCTCTCGTCTGGCGTCTTCGACTTGGCCACGGATGCGCTCCTTCGAGGTTTCCATGATTCATTCTGGTTCTTCCATTAAAGTACCTCGGTGAAAGAAACGAGAAAATGTCTCATGGCCATCCGAGCAAAAGTTACGCATAGTGGTCCGCCTACTCATCACGAAAAGGTTAATTACATTGACAACGTAAACCGACAGGCTAAGACATACACAGCCAGCTACCCAGAAGGATTAGGTCGGACAAAAGTCGTCGGATCTCGAGCGACCTCTCTTATTCTGCCGTCTTCACTGCGGCCGAGCAGCCACGACACGCCTGCGTACTCATTCCGCGTGCGCGCGCTAATCCACCAACAAGTTTCTTCCTGGAATAACATCAACCACAGCATGAAAAGCAGCAGTGCCCTCTCATCTTTCTGGCGAAGCAGCACGCGATACGACTGCGGTACATGTGGGCCAAATGATAAATAGCTGTTGAGGTTGCCGAATCCCAAGCTCTTGATTCGGAAGGCTCGGGAAAGTAACACAAGCGGCATATAATACGGGTTATTGCCCGGGGTGCTATCTGCAGTGATGCAACAGATGTCGGCTAGTATTTGGGGTATCAGTTCCAAGTCTGAATAAGACGGAAGGTCATCGCTGATGACAAAGAGTGGATTGCACGATGTGTCGGCGTCGAGCTCTGTGTTCCAAACACTACCGTTAGGATTGCGACTCAGAATTTTGGACAAGTAGCCCATGCCTTGTTGTACCATGAACCAGTTGAGAGCATTGTCAATGGACGCGCTATCAGACATGAACAACCAGGACTTTGAAGGGTCAATCTCATTTGTTGCAAAAGATATCATATTGATTAGCAAGCATGTAGCAAATATAAAGTCCAGCTTTTGAGCTGCTATGCTAGCTTGTGCGAGCTCTTCATTTAGTAATCGTGTAGCGACCTGTGTGTGGAAAAGGTAGGCTCTTTCATGAAGGCGGCACGAAGGCTGAAGGTGCTGCAGCTGTCGAGCTGATAGTGCAAGGAGACTGTGCATGAGCGCCGGAGTAGCTGCACAGTTGGGCAAAACAAATCGATGGAATAATTGGCACCCTGGGTAAGATTGAAATGACGTGTCGATGCATCGGGCCAAGTGTTGTACTAGGTGTGTATTTGGTGTCAAGGCCGTGCCAGGGGTATCTACTTTTCTTGGTAATGGCTGTGGTGAACCATGATTCAGAATAATGTTGATAAGTGAGGACTTAAGGCCAGACTCAATGAGCCAGTCTGCACGTTCGAGTTCTGCTCGGTTGTCTAAAGACTGGTCACAAAGGACCATTCCTCGCAGACCATCATCGTCTCTAAGTCTACCAGAGGGCTTCTCATATATACAAACATCTTGGCGTTTGGAACATCTACCGCAGAACGGTCGAGCTTCATCGCACTTGACCCGGTCCCTTTTGCATGTCGAGCACCCATTGCGAGATTTGGTATGTGGCTTCCGTGGCTGTTTAGCGGGTGTGCCAGTCGTTGAAAGCTGCCGTTGAGCTCGTCGTTTAGGCGCAGAGTCCAATCGGAATCTTCCAAATATCTTTTGGCCCACAGTGCGCATCACGCTGGACGGTAGTTGGGAGTTTCTTAAAGTGTACTGGCACTGGCATAAAAGTGGATGTGGATGTTGGGAGTAGGGAGAGATGAGGATAGAGCGGGTGCGAGGCAGATGAGGTTTATATGTGGTTCACTAACTTATTCTCAACCGCAGAAATACCGGTATTACGTATACAGTCCGGTGCCTACTAGTACCCATGTTGATCCAGTCAGCCTACTCTCAGCGGTCACTTGGGGGCTGGATTAAATCTTATATCGCTCTTCGACACTCCGAATATTGTTTGCTTAACTTGAAACGTCTTGATGTTGCCATTCTTTCCAAGGGCCTGTGGCGAGCTACGCCGGAGAGCCACGCCAACATTAGATCTTGTAAATGACCATACTGTACAGCCCTCATGATCTGTATGGACACAAATATAACTTCTTGCATTACTAGTCCAATGGTTTCACCATACACCATATACCACCTGCACGGTAGGCGAGTGAACCTTAGCGCTGCTCCCGGCTCGCAACGTCTACTGAAGGCGAAGAGGTTGACGGTCGCAGGGGATTAATTCAGATGGATCCTTAGTGTTTCAAGGTGCTGGGAGAGGTGTGCCTGAGAACAGCGAGTTTCTGGCGGATGCAGAAGAATGCTACAACTTTACTAGAAAAAAATTGGAATCGGAGTAGTGAAACGGCTGTATACCGTCAATATATATATAGTGCTTGCTTCGATCTGTTGCAATAATAAAGTAGCCATTTATCCAGCTAGATAGTTACATAACCCCTAGTTAATACTTACGTTATATAGCCACTAGGTTATAAGATAAAAATGTGTTATTGTGCTAGATGGAACTTCTAGAAGTACACCTAAAGAAGGTGGTACGCAATATGGTAAATGATTATACATACCCACAAATGTCAACTTGAACAGCTGGGGCTTCTAACTAGTAAGCACTTTCGACATCGTTCCTTGAGTTCACCCAGGAGTATATTAAGTATTGAACCCAGAAATAGTATATTTAGGGTTAATTTAGACAGTATGTATTTTATTATTACAGATACTTCCACAGCAAAAATTAGTGGAGCGATTTTGGAAAAACAAAAAAAAAGTACTTCCGATGCGGGGAATCGAACCCCGAGCTGCTGTGTGAGAGACAGCGATGTTAGCCATTACACCACATCGGATGTTGTTGTAATGTGTCCAATACTTTACATATAACAGCGAGCAAACCCATTAAAATAAATTATGAAAGAGATTTTTGCCTGATATGGGATGGTTTGACAAAAATCTACACACCCCCACGTGACCCCACATTGGGCAACAATTGAATCGCACCACCAACCATCTTGTATACACTCTCTATTCTGGCGTCTTTCCTGCTCTGCACATGCAAGATGGTGGTAGTTCGACTTGGTCAGCTGTCTGACTTTACTCAGGCGCGATATGTCACCCATCTCTCCGACAAAAAGCGCTTGGTCTTGTTCCGCCTCCCCGTAATTGATCCGTCGAAGAAGGTAGATCGTGCGGCCAATGAAACCGATGATGGTTGGACTTATTACGCCATGGAGGCGGAATGCCCGCATGCAGGTGGCCCTATGCAGGACTCTCAGATCGATATCGAAGACTCGGCATACGTGGCCTCGTGCCCATGGCATGCGTATGATTTCAACGTAGAGACCGGCGAATCGAGTGTTGGCATTAAGGCTTGCACATTCCCGGTCAATGTCCGTGGCGAATACGTGACCTTGTTGTACAATACAGAGGACGGTTCCGAGGTCTCGCTGGTTAAACTCGAACCTGTCAGCGAAAAGTTCAAGTTGAAGGAAGGTCGAGGGTCTAAGAATAAGACCGCCCCGCAACCAGAAGTTTCGCCGGCTCAGCAGGTTGAGTCGGGTCCCGCTAAATATCTTGATGAAAATGCTACAGTGTGTGACTGGTGTGCTCATATTCTGAATACGGCCCACCCGGAACATAAGATTGAATTGACTCATCATTTGTTCTCTATGCTTACTGAGAAGGAAGCGTCGTCATCTCCCATGCCTCTCGGAAGAGGAACTGTTTCACCTCCCGCTCAACCTCCACGGGAAGGATTATCTGAGGTCCAACCCTGGGCAATACCAAGGGCCGGAAAAGGCGGTACATTGAAAAGCCGAATTGCCATGCTGCATGCGCTGGCCAATATTGAGCTGTGGGCCATCGATCTTGCCGTTGACATATGCATACGGTTTGCGACGTTCCAGACGGACTCAACATCACCCGGCGGCTCGCGGGAACTGCCTCGTGCGTTCTTTCATGACTGGCTTAAGGTGGCTAACGACGAAGCCAAACACTTCTCGCTACTGCGTGCGCGGATAGAAGAAATGGGTTCTTACTTTGGCGCACTCCCTGTTCATCACGGCCTCTGGGAATCGGCTACTATCACAGCTCATGATCTCAGGGCACGGATCAGTATTATTGCACTTGTACACGAAGCCCGAGGTCTTGATGTCAATCCAATGACTATTGACAAGTTCCGCAAGGCGGGTGATACTGAGAGTGTTCAGAGCTTAGAGATTATTCATAACGACGAAATCACTCACGTTACGACTGGCCACAGATGGTTGACCTGGATCTGTCAAGAGGAGGGTACTGATCCAGTCCACGTTTTCCGCAGTAACGTACGCAAGTACTTCCGGGGTTACATCAAGGAGCCTTTCAACGCGGAAGCTAGGGCACAAGCCGGCTTAGATGGACGTTATTATCAAAATCTGGAAGGAATACCCTTGGCTTAATTATCGTCAAGAACACGTGCCCTAGCTTTTCCGGCCCTGGGGAAATACCGCCCGGGAACTTCGGCTTCATCGGAGTTTTTCCTGCTTTTGCTGTGATTATTCGAGCAAATGGAGCAATGCGGCAATTGCGCATCCATGAGGAGTGCATTGCGAACTCTCCTGTCTAAAGCTGATTTATCGGGCCCAGAGAAGGATTCCAGACTGTTGGCATCCCTTGCATGACTGTCTCCCATTCCGGTAATTGCATGATCGCTTTTGCATATCTATGCAACTGGGGAGGGACCAAATCTTCAAGGTGGATGTCAATAAGTCTCGCTATAAATGCCACAATATGCGCGTCCAGCACCGTCGGGCCCGTTTTATCCCCAAATATCCACATCCCGCTGTGGTTGACTTTTTCGTATTCAACCACCACCTCACAGAACAGATGTCTCGCTTGGTCCGTCATGCCTTCTTCGTGTTCATTGTCTAAGTCAGGCTCTATTGGCTTTCTGTCGCTGAATAGCCAACCCTGTTACCATGGAATGTGAAAGTGCAGAACAATCGGGCCAAGCTTACCAGTCTCGTTTATGCTCTAGAGCGCGACGATGCTCAAGGGAGATATCAGTACGAGCCAGAATGTCATCTACTGCCGGATTTGGGTTATTGTCTGCTTGAATGCGGTGAAGCTGGGACAGTAGGCGTTGTATGGTTGTTCGATGGGTTTCCGGGATCAAGCTTGGATGTTGCTCGCAGACCCAATATGAGATGGATAAGCTATCTGTCAGAGGCGCCGGAATTGACTTGGCGGTTAAGGCTGGCACCTGCAGTGTAAATAAATCAGTACAATGCCCTCATAGCCAGGTCGACTCCTGTCTGTTCTATAAGGAGAACTGTATCTATTCCCTTCGACCTTACCTTCCCTCTTGGATTTACGTGCACAAGATAGTCCTCGCTTAAATTTTCATTCCGATGAAGGTTTACTAGGCGATATTTAATTCTACCTAATTCTCGAGATGATTGGGATTTGTTTCGCAGTGCCAATGCAATGGTAAACTGAACCATAATCGAATGGAGAGAAAAGGGAAAAATATAAAGACAGGGATCGGAGTCATCCCGACCTCGTAGTTTTTGGTAGAATCGCAGCAGCATGACGGAAATGGTGGAATCTGGGAGGTTGAACCGATTAGAATGAAGATCGTGGTTTTTTAACTTTCGCAATAGATTTAGTTCGTTAATTAAGGCTTGACTAATTCCGGTCAGCGCCGCAATGACGCCACATACCTTGGCCTATATACACTGTTTGGGATCACCAAATCAGGAGATTGCGCATCAGGTTCGATGGTGGGCTGAATCCGGAGTATATGTTCAGATAACTGGGAGCAGATTTGCAGGCATTCTTCGGTACTGGAGCGCTCTGCCTTGGTCAGATTTATTTCGGACGCATCCGTGGCAGACACGGATATACTCTGTCCCAGAATATACTCCAACTGTCCATCAATTTTCTCCAATAAAACCCTCAAAGCCATCTTTAGCACCTTTAATAAGCTCTTTGAAAGCATCAAGTTCTTCTGTTATCACGGCCGATCTCCAACTAAGTACACTGTCAGTGAAAAGGGAAATGGGGTACCAGGACAATAGAAGAGCAAATGTTGATTATAATAACATATCCACGTCTGTAAGAGCAATGTCGATAGTAGACTTATAACTTGACAAGAGCTGCCTAAAACCATCAATACCGTCGCCCATATAAGCCAGCTTCGCCCAACCACAAAAGCTAGTACGGTTAATTCCCGACTGCGAAGAGCATCGCAGAAGTATCTGCTTGAACTCCCTACAAGCACTACCGCATCGTTGCAAAGGTATCTCAAACACTAAAAGGTCAATCCTTACTTCTGTACGCACTGTATGAGTAAGTGAACCTAACTCAATATACAACGCCTCCAGCTCTTCTAGCAAGTTTTGGACGCGTTTTAAGAGGGACGTAAAGCTCTGCACTGTCTCATAAAGTGACTTGGAGCTTTGCGAGAGAAATGTAATCAATGTGAAGCGCTTACCTCTCAAGATGTGGACGTAGTGTGATACCAAGAACTGTTTAAGGCTTCTTCGACGTCGTAGAAAATGCCATCCTGTCCTCAATACATAATCTCTCTTCACTACCAATACAGCCCCACGAATCAAAAATGGCTGAAATAATTGGCCTCACACATCATTTCCCCTGAGGCCACTTCAATATCCCAAAAAATCCTTTCTTCGGTGACAGTAATTGGCGCTAGAAAAACCGATGCACAATATTATGTGAGTCGATTGGCTATCACGCTTTCTCGGTTATTAATAGCGGCATGGGTTGAGCATCGACATGAAAAGTAAGCCGAGTTTATTTTAAGATCACGATTAATAAACTTGTCCGGGCTGATTAGCTTTGAGGACGATAGATCTGGTCACTCGCTAAGTGCAGGTAATGCTGGTTTCGTTTTGACGATGTCGGCGCCTAGTCGATGCGTCGGAACGCCGATCAGTCCAGCGCCAGCGTTAAAAGCAACTCTGGCAATTAAGACGATAGATTAGTCGCGCAATCAACCGCCATGACTTACCACGGCTGATTGCCTTAAATTGGAGAAGGAAACGTTGAATTTCGCTCCTAGGCCATCATGGACTGAGCCCTTGTTTAAATTTCAGGGCCCTATCTTTATATGCTCCCGTCATTGGTTTCAAAAACGTAATTACTGGTCGGTGCTGAATTTCAAACGACCAACTACGCTAAATAAATTATTGACAAAAATTGTCCCATGATTCTGGCCGTCATTCTTGAGAGCGTATTGTGATTTAGATCGCACAATACGAAAGAAAAGCCATACTCTGCTTTCTGTTACCTCTAGCTAGTGCAGGCGAGACCAGATTCAAATGCTAAATCCTTGGCTGAAACATGGTGGTTAACTCTCACGTCTTGCATTGCTATATCCCCGCCTCCTGCTGGTGCATCCCTCGATAGATCACTCCAAGGAATGGAAGCGCCGCGGCAAATGGGATCCCATAGATTTGCGGTTTCTTTATGGCGTTCACCAACACTTAAAGAGGCCTACCTTGGCGCTCTCCTATATTTCTGAGCTAATGCTAGCCGATTTGTAGTTACGGGGCCGTTTATAATTGGCTACAAAGCTGCCATCAGATTTATTTGACCAGATGCTACACTTTCCCCTCTGAAAGTCTAAAGGCCCCAAAACACATGAATCGCTGGCATGAAGTGCAAAGGGGTCATCACGCTTCTTACTAAAATTACACATGACACATTTAGCACCAAACTTCAGGCCAGGAGGATGTTTTATAAGCTACTTTGGACCGCGGATTGAGCGCTGTACGTTGAGCGGTAAATAGACATATTTGTTAATCACAAGTGTTCCGAACACAACTATTCACAATGCACTGGACATTAAACAAAGTACGCTGCCATCAGCTATTGATTTAATACATGATAGATACCCACGGGGCAGAAGTGGGGGTGGCTGACGGAAGGCAGGAACGCTGGTTATGAGTCTCTGTTGGTAGCAAAAAGTATTCCATTCAAATGTACAAGGAAATTTCAGGGGGATGACTTTAACCGATTTCAAATTTCTCAGGAATATGAAAAAGAAAACCTAGAAGAACATGTTATACCCATGAAGAATCATAAAGCCCTTCTATTGTCGCAATCAACATTCTTGGACGGGCACCGAAGCCACCATTCATATAGTTCAACTCAATGAGTGCCGCTGGGAGGACTTGCTGATTTCTCGCGGTTGCCAAAGTGAAAATTATACTCAGAACCGGACCTATCATGGAAATAATCCGTTTGTCCCTCTTTAAACTCTTTCCCTGTACCTCGACGGGCTTGCGCCGGTGGCTGGAAAGCTTCTGAGTTGTCTTCTCCCTTGTGCTGTTCCGAGGTCTTTGGGCGGAGGAATACGGCTTGGATACTCTCGTTTGACATCTGACCAACTGCCTGATACGATTGATGGCCTGATTTAATGCGTTTGGCAGAGATGAGATCGTTGAGAGTGGTTACGATGACTTGTCGACTATGGTCGCCTGTAGTGATATCCTCAAAGTGATGGGTACGCGGCCCATTGGCAGCCTCTTCTGCTTGCTGACAGAATGCCAAAAGAGCTTCAGTATTCTTGTATTCTTCTTGAAAGCTCTGCTGCTTGGATGACTGTCCGTTATTTGGCTGTAAGAGACCAAGCGGCGCAGCCTGAACATTCTTGCTGAATCCATATAGATGCTGAAGCAACCGCAATCTCCAACTGGTAACTTCTTTGTATGTTGAATTAAGTCCTTCTGCGTTGATCAGCCAGGACAGATTGGGTGTCGCGGATGAGTAGGGTTGATGAGAATCATTCAAGGTAAGCTCCGACTCTCCTAAAAGATTCGCCCGAGTCTGAGTTATGAAAGCTAGGAACTGGTGACATATATCAAGGCTCTTTTGTGTGCTGTTCCTCTCCTCTTCCATCTGCTGAAGCTCGACTGCATCCATTACAGATGCCACGGAGGTCTCAGAGCTAGACAGTAGCATTGCCTGGATGTCTTGCAGATGATTCTCCAGGTCATATTTTGTATTCTCGATGAGTTCTTTGTACTCTTGAAGAACACCCTTTGTTGCCTCTGTCGTGCGCCTTCGTGGAGGAAAGTTAGAATATTCTGGAAGAAAAGCAGCTGAGTTGGACAGGAACTCACAAATTCGCGTGTGCAAGAGCAATTATAATTGTTGATTTGTAACCCGCCAACATGTCTTTGAACCCAGAGATATCTTGTCCCATATATTTCAATCTCAACCAATCTCTTCGACTGGCCCGATATTCGGTGGAATGTTGAATACATTCTTTAATGAGCACATCGAATTCCCCGCACGCATTGCTACATCTCGTAAGAGGTTCTTGCAGTGCTGTAAGATCCACGTCAAGATTGCCAATGGACTCTTTCAGCGTTTCAAGTACTTCCAGGAGATCTTGCAACTCCGTTCGAAGTTCACGAATCATCCTGTCTCGTGAATGAAGTCCTCGGACAGTTTGATAAAGGATGAAGGAGGATTGAAGAGCCAGGCCCACAAAGGTGGTGATTCCAGAGGCAGCACCGATTGCTTCCGCCATAGTGAATCTGCCCTGTGTATGGGATTTGAGAAGAAAAGATCGGAATCTGTGGGCTGCGTTAGTTCCATGAAAGCGAAGAGCTAATGGTGCTTTATGTAGACGGTAGAAAGGACAAGACATTCAACTTCGGAGGAGTGCGCGCGGCTAGTAAGGCACAGAGATTGGATACCTACTTTAGGCTTGGGCCGCTCAGAATTTAGCTTTAACACTGTTATTGGAAGGCGATAGCATCCTTTACGCGTGCGCGCTGCCGGCAAAATAAGGTTTCAGCGACTCAGACATCGAGTTAGGACCATCCTCGGTAATTGGTGAAGAGAGCGGCATGAAGCGTGCATTGCTGGTCAGGGCGCTCGGGGTCTGCCAATTCTCTCTTAGTCAGCCTACTCCGGGCCCCCATTCCTTCGTCCTTGGGGTGTCGGCTTTGACTGCCTCAGGATTTAGTGTGAAGAGGTGGGGGCGAGTCACGCAGCTCTGACTCTCTCAGGGCCTCAGGGCAACTTATATATTCTTTAAAATCCCGAATCAGTCAGATCTTATACACGTGATTTTTTAGAAAAATTTTAAACTTAGTAAAATATAGATATAAAAATTCTAAAAATATATAAAAAAAATACTATTTGAGTAGATTGACATTGTGATTTCTGACCCGGATCGCTGATAGTGCGAGGTGCTTCGTCGAATGTAATCGACGCACTATGCCGATCCACTCCGTAGTGGTATAGCGCTAGATAGACCGCGAGCGACGGGTATAAGAAGGCGTTCCGGCCCCGAGCCTGGGAAACCTTGGGAGATCTCGCTCGGAACCCTACGTTTGCAACAATCACAATATTTTAATTTTTTTTTAAAAAAAAATCTTTTAAAATATATATATAGTGTTGATGTAGAATAAAAAAAATTAAATTCAATGAAAAATATATAAATGTTTATTTAGTCGGAACTTCTGAAACAATTAGAGTTATTAGGAGCTCTGTACTGCGGGGTTATATGATAGTAGCACTGGGCCTCTGGCTGTCTCTCAAGATCCTGATCCCCTCGCACTAAATCCAGAGGCAGTCGGAGCTGGTACCCCAACTATTGCTCATCTAAACCAACGTAGTTGTCATAAAACGGATGAGAGTCTGAACCCTCAACTATCTGTGACCTGTAGCTACTCAATTATCCATATTTGAACCTTCTAAACACGCAATACTTCTTCATTTAGTTCAGTAGTTAAAACATGGTCGTCAGAATCAATGGCTGTGGCGCGGACTTTTATATTTCCGACATCCGGTCAGCTTGGTTAATATGTTCCCTTGCGGGCAGAAAAGAAACATACGCTATGTTCTTACATGATGATCTCAACCTGCGTGCTTTCAATGCCAAGTCGGACAGTTGGTTTCTCCGTAGGAGCAATTAAATAGTAATTGAACGTCATCAATGTTACCATCAACTGTATTGAAGTGCCTCAGCTTTGTCCGTAGGGCTTGGGTCTCTGTCTCCTCTCCACCTTGTAGAATCTTAATCACCACCAGGAGCACATATCGATAATCATCTGCAGCCTTGATGGCGCTCTTAAAGGCATCTTTTCGACGCTTGTCTGTAGATGGATCGAATGTGCACGTGGAACCCGACCGGGAGCACATATCGCAAGCTATTGAACCATTGCACTTTTGCCTATTAGCGCTCTGACAATGTAAAGGACGTGATCCTGTCGCAATACTTACACGTGTTCGTTTCTTCTGACATTCCACACAGCCTACGCTTTGCCTTTTGGTCTTTTGGCCCACATCGGCCTTAGTTATGAGCTCCTGATCTGTGTTAGGAGCGGGGAGCAGAGGTCGAAGAGGCATGGAGGGTATTTGATATTTCATAGCATTCATTCTCAGCCTAACCCAGCGGCGGCCTTTTTATGATGAGTATGGATGTTTGCTCTCAAAAACAAAGAATGTCCTCCACCAAGCCAACAGTCCCCGTTACCTGCTAAAACGCAAGGTTAGTCGCACCAAGCTACCCAAGATGAAGGATGAGCACTGTTGGTGGTTTCCGTATCCCAGTGTACCTCTAGAAATCTCATAACTGTTTTCAGATAACTGTGAACCGATTGTGATCCCGATAAATGTAGCATTCAAGCTTTCGAATCGAAGAAAAACGATCAGGAGGCAATTATGAGCATCGTGATGTGAGATACGACGCTCCATAAAGCATCGGCTTCATCCAGAAGCAGGACGGCATTGACATGGCGATTTTGGAGAGGGCTTCGAGTTAGTTCTCCAGCACATGTGGGTCGGCAGAATCAACAATCATTCCACCGGCAGATATCTTGATTTGGTCAATAAGTTTACTCCAGGATTGTGGAACACTTACTGGACTAGAGAGGAAGTTTGAGCCACTCCACTGTGGCCTCAAGCGTAAAGGTCTTCCCTCGAAGTTCCTCGCAGCATAATACGTTGATGTGTACCTTAGCTTCCATACAGTGAAAGAGGCAGGGTCTTCGCAGGCTGTAAATCAATTCGCGTAATCTAGGGACTGCGGTTGATACTTGTCAAGATCTGGAAGGCGTGAATAAATAAGCTGTCAAGTATCTATCTATCCGAATGAATAACAAGAATGAAGGACAAAATAAATACTTAAACAGGTACGCGCCGGTATAACAGTAACTGCGTAATTAGTATTAAAAACGACGTGGTATACCATTACTAAGTCTAGGATAATAAGCAGAGCCCAACGCCCTAGCATAAACAATCTGATCGTGAATTGTCACCTCCTTAGTCAGATTTGCGACAAAGACCTGACCACCACCCAGATCGAACCGAGCAGTCAGACCCTCGTTGGCGGCAATACCACTGGTGGGTGGGTATGTGGCATTAGGACCCCACTGGCGCACTTCGACAGCCTTCTCAGCGCAATTGATGTGCATGAATCGGCCATTCTTGGAGATATAAGCATACACATGCTCGGTATCATTGTAGTCGAGGAGGTCATACCACACCAGCGAGTAGGGGCCCAGCCGTGCATGCCCCCAATCCCAATATTTAGGACTGGTAATAACAGATACGTCGCCCCAGTTCTTATCGTAGTATCCAATACCGTCGGCCACTTTAAATTCGGTACCGTTGATAGTGAGATCGATATCAGCCTAGGCATCGGGAACAACATTTAACCAGAAGATATGGCAAAAGAAGGGTATTGAGACCACCAACGTTTGGATTGCAGGGATAATAGGGTGGTGCGCGCTGCAGGTGTAGATAAGTTAGTGATTAACCTAATAATGATTATCAGGGAGTTCCTCACGGATTTCAACTTCAACGTGCCTCTCACCCCGATGTTGGGTGAGTTGAGCTTAATCACGTACTCGACGTTAGACTTCTCCAGGCTAGTACTGTGGAAGCTGGCTCCCGAGCCGAGCCAGTTTCCAGTAACCCCAATCTCATCATTGGTAATAACAGCGCCGCCGGATACCAAGGCCTCTCCGGAGAATTGGGTACCATTGTCGAAGGTGCCAGAGATTTAAACCATCAAAGAATGCGGGTTCGCAGCAAAATCACCCGTGTTAAAAAACACAATGTTAATAGCCACGCTAGTAGTTCTAGAAAAAGCGTCAAAATACCAAAAGTCAAACAAACTTCTATTCGCTGGCGTTGTCATCTTAAACCCGTCCAAATTACCGGGAACAGAAAGGCCCTCAACCTCCACACTGCTGTTGTGATAGACCGGAAAAATATATAAACGATTAGCTAGTACTAAAGCCAGCAAAAGCCGGGAAACAATAGCTACTCTAAGAGTCCCCATAGCTTATAGAATTGGAAGCTGCAAAAGATTACTTTAGAAGGCTGATAGAGCTATCAACAAGAGAAAATATATATACACCAAGCGACACATCACGCCCTTTTATAAACTTTATACTCAGGGGCATAGTAATCTTGGGAAATGGGGTATGATCGGAAATTGGTTTGATCTGCAGGAAACTGTCGATGAATCGCCGTGTTCATCGTACTCGTACCCGTACTCGTTAGACAATGTTAGCGACGTTTCACTCTGTCTCGTACCCTACATGATGGATTTTAGATGGATAAACACCTGTAAATGCGACCCTGCCCTATACTCACCTCTGCCACTTTACAACATCAACTGGCCCCAGTGACCCCACAGAGTTGATTGTCCTTCCGTAGTAAACATTTCGTTCCATTCATCGGTTTGGACTTATTGATAAGGAGCTCCGGCGGTACCCTGATCATGCCAATCTGTTTCCTTCAAAGCCTCTTGCAAGTATCCATTGCCTCGGGGGATAGTCGAACTCATTGTCTCGTTTCTGATGCTCGTATCTAAATCGTTGGCATCTGTTGGTAGTATGCTCTGAGAGTACGATCCTAGAAACGATTGACTTATTCCCGGTACTTCGGGCCAGGGATATTCCTTTACATCATTGGAAATCTCTAGAGAGAAATTGGGAGCTGTCGATGGCAACGAATCTTCTTCGGTACGATCTAGATCACTTGGAACTGTTCTTGAAGAACAGGCAAGATGTGTGCCGGCAACTGGGTCTTGCAAAGCCCTACCCGCGGTGAGTGACTGGTTTTCAAGTTGCTGTAAGCGCCTCTGCTTGACACATCGAATAAGGTTGCGCAATGGTTTGAAGAGCGGTTCTTTTGTAATAAATCTCGGAAGTAGATTAATAGCCCTTGTCACCACGCTCCATGCATGCTCTGCCATCGTATCAAATTGGGCGAGAGATAGCCGGCTTAATACCAAAACCAGTGGCTGCCACTGTATGAAGCCCTAGAATTGCCACGCCCAGCTTGCAGTTAGCATCTCGTTCATATAGTCAAGTACTTCGACCGACAAGAGAAATGCTTTGTCTGTCTCTAAGCTGCCTTGCTTAGGGCGCAAAGATGGTTGACGGATATGATGTAAGATGAGCTCATATCGCTTCACTGAAAGCACCACCAACTTTCGCGTGAAGCGGTACGCCGGTTGGTGGGATGGTACTGGTATAATAAACTCCTCCAATTCATCTCGAATGAATTTTGAAAGTTGATCAAGCTTTTCAAGAGTTTCGGCATCGGGCTCTTGACGACAAGGGTACATGGACAATGTTGCATCCTTGATCCTCTTGCCAACTCTCCAGATCTGACGCCTCAAAAGGCAGATTGTCATGTCTGTGTGTCCGCTCCTAGCTTTGGGCAAGTGTGACATTGCCAGGTAGATGTCAGTGTCGTTCAGGTTCGATGGTGGCTGCGTGTTGAAGATGGAGCCAGATATCGGTGTCTCTGCTACCTGTGCGTCCCCGGAAGAGAAATTGAGTATATTTATATAGCACCACACACGTCGACGTATTTCTGCCTCGAAAGGCGTTATACCTGGGAAATGAGATCCATCGCGGTGGAGACCGATTGCCACGGCTATCCTAAAGATGAGTCCGGATAGAGCCACACATATCTTTGCGACTCCTCCAAGCGGACCACAAGCGTGTATAGTAGAATTGCTTGAACAACAGATAGCTGCCGTGTGTTAATGAAGTCGGCTCGTGAAAGAGCATTCTCTGTACCCGAGCGAAAACGAGACATAAGGTCGTTCTTGTCACAGCGGAAGTAGATTTGTACCTGAGTCCCGAATCGTTCATTAGACCATAAAATCATAATTTAAAGGACCATCGTCGGTTCAGCATTTACCTCTTCACCTGTCAAAGAAGCAATGGCGGCAAATGCAATGGAAAACATCAGGGGCTCCATAAAGGACGGTAGAAGGTCGAAATTTCCACCAGAGTGTTGAACCATTTTAGAAACAGTTGGAACATGGACAATCTTGAAAAATGGGTCCACATTCTCTACGTAGGTCTGCCAGATAAAGAGCACCTGGGAAGCCAAAGGGCGAAATGTCTCGACTCCTGGCCCATCCATGGGGCGGTTACAAAAGATAAAGCTGGACGAACTAGTTGCGATGTTTCTGTGTGAGGGTGGAAAGCCTTCAAGAGGAGCAACACCGGGGTCGTTATCTTCCTCCTCGTTGGTCTTATCAAAGTAATCCTTTATCGCATCAAGCTTCACTCCAAAGGGTTAGAATTCTTTCTGATACCATGGGCTCTCATTTAAAGTGAGTAAGAAATCGTCTAACCTCGTGTTGTAGGCTTGCCCAGAAGGGATCCCCTACGTAGAGCTTTCCTTGTTCTTCGCCAACCATAACGCCCAGGGCTGACAGGTTGGTGGAGGACTCATGGCCAGAGAGCCCGGGCTCAATAGGGAGGTCGGTAGTATAGGGACCGTCCTTGTCTTCGTTTAACTCGTCGGAGCGGGAGATATCCACAGGTCCTTGATGCTTTTGACTTTGGCTATTTCTGGCCCTGGTGTGTAGGAGGTTGACTATGCTCTCTAGTTGATGTACACGTTCCATTAAGTCACTTCGTGTTTCAGCAGGAGCTGGCCGATTCAGCCTCACTCGCGGGGATTGCCGTAATATTCTACCAGTGGTGGGAAAGATGCATTCCTGATTGACTTTGATGCATTGGCAGCACGGACGGCGACGGTCACAGTGAACCTTGCGTTCCTTACAGCTGATACAGTTCCGCAGTGCCTGTGACATAGACATACTTGAGTATATTTTCCTGGGATAAAACTGGAGTCATGTTATCCATGTGACTGTTTAAAAGTGAAAGGATGGGTCCTCTTCGTGTCGCTCTGCTACGATTATAAAACCAACAGTGGCTCGCCATATGCCATCGGAAATGTCGTTGGGCTTTGGTTCGCCAGCTTTCAGGCCTACTAGCTAGATCGAGACACCACCAGTATTCGTTGAGTACTATCGTTACTCACAAGATCAACCAGCTATTTATGTCCGCGGGAGCTTCTTTTCCGGGGCCAAGATCGGCGCGATCTCTCTCCTAGTCTCAACTGGGAAGCTATACCCGCCGACTGAAACAAGGCAGGCTTCTATCTGCGTACCCAAGAGGCGTCCTGAGCCATGGGTTGACATGGAAATAGGTTTGGCCCGATTACGTCAAGTCCATTGGGTTTCCATAACGTAAATCTACGTATGAGATGCGCGCACAGCCTTGTCTACATTGATGGCCTGCCCATAGAAGGCATTCTTTAAGAACCTAATTTGACGCAGCCCAGGTAGGTATCTAATCTTTGGTTTCATGGTATCCTTACTTGTGTTATAAATTATTATAGATCTATCGTCCTTTAATTATATGTGTTTTGAAGTTCTCTAAGGCATTCAGGATCGGCCTATGTTCTCAGCTACCACCTCCAAAAGCGCAGCTTGTGGATCCGAACATGAGTTAGTTCGAGACGACCTACCAGATCAAAACTGGCATTGGCGACAAGTGCCTGCATTGTGGCAGATCGCCTCTTTTCGATGAACTATATACCTTCTTCATCATATCCTGAATACAACTACAAGAGCCCTGGAGCCCAAGTTCGAAACACTGACGCCAGCGGAAAGAATTGCAGATGTTTCCATTGAAGGGCACGTGTCTAGCATAAAACCAATTTGTGTCTCGAAATGAAAATGAGAAAAGACTGTTGGTGATGCATCGAGAGCATCTATAAGGTTTCTATACATGGCAGAGATTATCCATAGAACTCTCGATATGACGGGAGGGAGGCTTTAAAGCATCGCTCCCTTAATGCTTTCTCTCACGTAGCCTGATCTGAACATTGGTTTGTTTTACAAACCAGACATTGCTCGTCTCCAGCTTCATGTGTGGATTTGCTAGTTCAAAGTCAAACCGGCGTATGATGCGCGGGATAAGTTTAGACATTTCAAGTAGGGAGATATTTTTGCCGATACATGTTCTGGAGCCGTGGCCAAACTATTCTCCCCGTCAGAGACAACATTCCGCGTCAAGTGCAGTGGTCTTACCGGTAGCCAATATCTGTCCATTGCTTGCCCTTCCTCGGCTGAAACTAACCACCTCTCGGGTCTGAACTCATCGGCATCCTCGCCGAAAACAGACTTGTTGTGATGAGCTACCCATGGGTTAATCCCAATGACGGTCTATATATAGCTGTGCATTAATATGACGACGGTCTGACTTTCGCTGGAAGACCAAGGGGGGGGGGGGGGGGGGGGACTCACTCCTTCGGGGAAGTATCTACCGGCAATGGTAGCACCACCTTTAGGAACCACCCGAGACAGGGGAAGCCCTGTAGCAGGATGCAATCGGATACCCTCTTTGATTACTGCCTGTAGATACGGCATCCGGCCAGCCTCCGCAAAGGATACGGGATCTGAAACGTTGCCACTTTCATATAGTTCGTCGACTTCAGCCCGGAGCTTGGCACAGATGGGAGCCTTAGCGGCATGACTTGAACTAGAGGACTCTTTAACACACCTTCGTCATGGCCGTTGGGTTTTTCATAAGAGCCCAAAGGATACCAGTGAGACTGATACTCGTGGTGTCGCTACCGGCGACAACGTTCATTGCGCAGGTTCGGATGATATCGCCTTCGGACACGACATCGGGTTTCTGATCATGCAGTCTTAGCAGCTGGGGTAGCATTGCGTCAGACTTCAGTAGGTCATCAGACGATGTGAGTTTTGTTTTGTATTCCTGAATTTGTCTTGCCGCAAAGGCTGTCGCCCGGCTCAATCCACTCGGGCCTGAGATACTCCTTAACTTTGAGAAGGTGTAATGGAGCTCTGGATAAACGCCAACGCGAGCGGCATAAGTGAGGACATCATCTATAGCATGGACAAGGTCTATTGGGTCTTTGCCGGCATCTAGAAAGCCGAAACGTCGCCCCAGCTTGAAAGAGGAACATACAGATTAGCGCGCGAAGAGTTTTGGAGGTTGAAGGGCCGTCGGTAAAATACCGTGATCTCGCCAATTACGTCGAACGCATAGCATTGCATCCACCACTGCAGATCAATGATGTCTGCGTTGCTAGAGAGCACTCAGTACGTTCCATGTCTTGACATGTTTTCAGACGGAAAGAGGTCCCATACCGCGAGATTTCTTGGAACTTCTCGGTCAGTAGCTCCAGGCACCCATTCACGGCGGCTTCCATCTTCACCACGGAAGACACTGAATACAATGATGCGATCTTGCGCTTCTCAGTGTGATGGGCCTTTGGGTCTCTCACCGCGAAGATGCCGACTTTTTCGTCACCGATATTATGGCTTCCATCATACCAGGGGCCTTTGATGAACGATGTACCGGGTCCATACAGCGTCTTGACTGCGGTTGGATCGTCAATGGAATATTCGTTCGGCGCGATACGAACGATAGCCCCTGACGCACTGGTAAGCATCTTGTCCACGGCAATTGCCAATGCAAGGGCAACTCCTGACCATATTTGCGATGTAATTCAATGTTGGACCAGGGAAATCGACCGCGGTACACCTGAATGAAGTACCATAAGCGAGAGAAACGGGCCAGGAAAGGTCCAGGCACGGAACGTAGGGTTGGGATCACTGCTCGGATGAGCACCGGCAGCAAGACACAGCCTAATACGATGTGTACAAAAACTACCGCGCTCGAGGGCTCGTGGAGGATTGACATAGTTATATGATTTTAATCAAAAAGAGGGTTATGCAAATTGGTCATACACAGAACCACTGCTTATCGTTCCAGAGAGGGCTTGTGGCCGTTATTGTCATCCCGTTATATATCCTATGTCCATTGATCGAGCAACTTAACTGCTCAACTGACGGACCTGGTCGACAAAACTCCGTGAATCACCTTCCTGCCAGGCTCAATACTCCCGGACATGCGTACACCCACCGTTTCGGAGCCCGGAATCTTGCCCGGCTTCCGCCAGCGTCCATAAATGCGGTAGGATGCGAGGCATTTCCAAATCCTGACGAGATAGCGGCCTTCTTCATGGCTCCGCACCCGCTGAGTCATGTTCAGAGGATTGTTAGATGAAGTTGAGCCGTGATAATGACGGTGGAGTCTGGTTTGTTGCGTCTCGAAGAGTAGTCTCGGCGCTGCGTCATCGGAGCCTCAAGACTCGCCCGGAGGAATCCTGGCTTTACTGTATATGGTCACGAGAACACGATACCAAGTTTTATACTGTTTACCGTTATTGAAGTTTCATTAAGCCTTCGGAGGTCAGCGAAACGCCAGGCGTTGAACGTTCGCCCGAATTTAGTCGGCGGCGCTAGGAATCCAACGCTAACCCACAGCGGAAACATAAACCGCCAAAGTTAAAGCTAAATTGGTGATTCGATTGATTGGCAACCCTTAATCGGTTAGGAGCAGGGTCCTCGGCATAATGAGAATGACGATGAAGAGTACTGCTGAGGGGACCTCTGATGGTATACAGGAAAAGAATAGATATGGAGTCAAGACACTAAACCTCAGGGGCCAGGGTTCGCAAGAACTTTCTAAACAAGTAAAACTGATACGATGTTCCAGTTTGAATATTCTGAAGGATATCTAGATTGTAAGGCCCAGGGTTCATTATACCTTGTACAGGATATCGAGAATTCGAGACTCGGCTAGGTAACAGGATAGAAAGCATACATCATTACTAAAGTAGAGAATATTCCGCAGCTGTAGCACTATCACAATGTCTTTTCAGTCTATCCGCCTGTCCCGACAGTTGGCTCAATTATAGGCCATCGCCCATAGATCTCGATAGATTCCAAGAGCAATAGGGATAGATATCCCACTCCCGCCAACCAGATTACATTTGGTGACTCTTATTACTAGTGTCTGATTGGCCTTCTCTTTAAGTTCGTTCTCCTATGATGCCTTCACAACGTAAAACAAGAGACTGGGGGTATTGGCGGGAGGTTGTAGACATAACCGAGTTCGTGGATAGAGTCTTACACCTCGCCGTCGCTGGTATAGCCCAAACCAAGAAGCGCCACTGACCCATAGATGAGCTGTAGCGCAAAGGTATGGAGTAGAGTATGAAATGAGGGAGCCAGAACAAACGCAACTGGGTCCCGTTATGGGTTATGTTCAGTCAAACTTGAAAAATGCGGTTGTATACCCCCATCGGCCCTCCTTTGCGCGCATGATGATATGTCCAGTGTCTTTCACATTGTGCGATGATTCGAGTCTTTTGGAAACCAGCAGCGACTCCCTTTCAGGCAGGAAGCCTTCTAACAGTGGAAGAGTACGCAAAAATAGAGAACAGCAATGGCGGCCTTGACCCTCTTCATTCCTGTTCTGGTTGTGTGTTGACTCAAATCCGACCATACTGGTCTGATAGGTGTGCTCCGTAGTGACGAAACAAGGTCGGCGCCCTAACCAGATGCACATTGCTAACCAGGTACTATAGACGGATTCCTTCCATAACACCCGTTCGTTAGTCGCAGCTATGATCAGCCACTTCGAGAACGAAGATATCCTGGAGTCCTAGACTTTCACTAATCTCTCCGGAACGCATTATGGACGGTTGTCAATCGGATCTTTTCAAGTGCCAACAACACGCAGTAGGAGATGCTTGCACAACGCAATGGTGAACCGTTGCCCTGCATTTGGAGGCGACACTATTCGATCGGAACGCACCAACTTTGCTTTTGGGGGGAGGGAGGTGCGGCGGTTAGAGGCGCACGGCCTGGAACAACCCCATTTCGACTCCTCAATAGCTTATCCTCCGGGGAGAACACGAATCATTGGTTGTGAATATACGTTTCATGACTGCTTCGCTCGTGGATGCAAGGCAAATCCTTTCTGAGATAGTAGAGAAATAGCATGTTCGCAGCCTTTGATATCATCATCGGAAGCTTCAGGACAATGCGAGAGCAGGGCCTCATATGCGATGTTCAACGGGAATACGGTGGACACAGGGCCATATAACCTCAAGTCGTCCTGCAGAAAATACCACAAGCTTTGATAGATTTTTCTACTGAGGCCCAAGACTGTCTCACGGTTCCATGCGCTCTGCATCTCACTCATCACAGAAGTTCTGAGTACGCCATCAATGGTGGATCCCAAGCGCTCGATACCGGTGAGGCATTCGATGCCATAGGCCCAGGCTTGCATGAGACACATGGCTTTGTACGTATCGCTAAAATGGATAGACGATGTGGGCGGTCCTCCGCCCGCATGGAGCGACCCTCGTGTTTCTCCTGGCCAAAACAAGGGGCCCGATGTGGACCCTCTCAGTGACAACTCCCACTGGTCGAGGGCAAAAAGTACACTGGAGAAGACAGACAGAAGCTGATGAGCAACAGACAGAGTGTGCTGCGGGGACTGGAATGGTAAGGCAGCTGTTTCTTGCAGTAAACCGGGAATGATGGCTGCCGTGCTCATCAGCGATAACATAGGGCTTGGGCTGCTTTGGCTGAACAGGACACGCCTCCAATCATCGGAATCTAAGAACGACTTCCGTTGCGAAAGGCACGCCTCGGAGAGCTGTTACGACGGTCACCTTCCTGGATTCTTGAGAGGGCCTTAGCCGAGTGACTCACTAGAATCGGGCAGAACCCAATAAGGAGCTTGAGGGGAACCGGTTCGGCGAATGCCCTCGGACCAGCAAGCTGAATTAATTCGGCCCCGGCTCGGACGTGGCCGAACCAACCGTGGTCAAATTTTGGTTTGAGAGCCTGGAAGTTTATGAATAAGTAATCCATGATCTCCGCCGAATATGCCGAGGTCGAAGATGAGCATACCTCTATAAGACTCAAGCATAGGGCCGCAGCTGCTAGCTCATGCCCAGGTTGTCGGGCTCCAGCTTGAAGCAATTGGCGCAGAGCCTGTGTCGTTGCACAATACGATTGCATATAGCGCAGTTCCCACTTTCTTTGGCCGGACGACTTGGAAAGGATCGATAGTCCTAGCGTTGAGATTGAAGAAGAAATCAGTGGCACCGTTGCTTTCCTCTCCATGATCGTGGGAAGGACGTGAAGCCAAGAGCTACAGACGAGCATTCCCGCCGTGGCGGGATCGGGAGGGAGTCGTGGGAGCTCCTCTGCCGGGATAAAATGTTGTAGGATCAACGGGTAAAATTCTTCCGTCGTCGACCATTTAAACGTCGCGAACTCTGATACCAGATCAGCATTGGGAGTGGTCCCTGGTGACAATTCCAGGCGAGTATCGCCACATGGAACTCGTTTCAGTCCCTCCTTCGATGCTGCAGAAAGTGGATGCTGGACAATCAAGATGGGATGTGCGTAACCCGAGCAGCGCCAACCACCCCGGAGGCAAGGCGTACATGCCGGCCGCTTTCCATCGCACTGTCTCTCGCACTTTCGTCAGCGCGGCGCCATTCGGCCTATCTGGGCAGCATCCCAGAGCTCTCACCTTTCTTTTCCGACCCCGGCAAGTGTCACAAATCGATAAATTTCTCACTTTCATTTTGTGTAGGGGGCACCAAACTGACGAGTAGGTTCCGATTTCCTAGGAGATCGAGGGAACCGGTAGGGGGTTCTTGTTGGGGGACGAACGTTGCCAAGCAAAGGATCAGCAAAACTGTTGCCACTCCCGGTGCTGTTCCCCTTTCCGCAGATCTCCGGGGGAATCAGAGCTGGAAATTCTAACAGCGGCAGAAAGGGAGGTAGAATGAATGGTGGTATCCTCGGGGATGTTGGTTGTTGGAGTGGTAGTCACGACTCCCGATGACATAGTCGTCGGCCGAGTCGGCATCGGTCAGTTACATAAGCTTTCGTGTTCGAGCCCCTCGTGTAGAACTTGACTAAGCTTTACAATATAACTACAGCTATAGAAAGGTGGCCGAGCTATCTTCACATTATATATATATATATATTTAATCTCCAGCATCATGAGGTAGGCGCTGGAATACTTGGGATCAAGTGGTGTCAAGGGCTCGCGAGTTCAATGGTCTGTCCGCTCTACCTGGGTATACATAATACAATTGCGATCATCAAACAGAAACGAGGCATCAGAAACAATGGGCACCAAATCAGCGGGTTGTCTTATGTAGTGAATGAGGCCTCACTCATCAGAGCAACGATGCGATCTTGGGATGGTCATAAATGCGGGGCGTGCTCTAGAGGGGATATACCCTAGTATAGTGTCCGGTTGCTACATAACCAATACTCGTGGCTCTGGAAGAAGTGCGGGCCAATGGGCATTGCTTCGTGCCCATATGTCCTCCAGAAAGTTCAAGGCTTTCAGCAAATTCAGGAAACCAGTACTGTGATATTGCCTCTCCAGAAAGCTCTTGAAGAAATGACGATGTTCTTGCTTCGAGCTCTCGGACGCAGCAATGAGTGTGGGCCACACCAGGGCATGCTCGCCGAATGATCCCACCGAAAATAAGTCCATCGACTGTTTGAATCTCTCGATCCTTTCGCAATCAAGTGCACCCCGAGGACCAAGGAGGGCGCGCTGGAGATAGATGTCATATGCTTGTTGTTGCAGATCGGCAATGGCCGAGAATGTCCGTGAGTCGTCGGGGTGGAAGCGGCTGTTGTAATGCAAGCAGTCGAAGCTGTCGAGGGCATAAGACACGATGCTCGATACCCCGAATTCCAGACTCAGCAGTGGGGCAGCGTAGACACGCAGTCTGATCTCATTAGCACGACGGGTCGATCCGTCCGGAACACATGGGGCACTGACCTGCGGATTTGCCGTCGTAAGAAATCGGCAATGTCGCCGTTTCCCAGGCCACGTTCACCCCCGACCGTGTCGAAAGCAGACTGGAGCATATGAAACAAGATGGGGAAATCTGAACTGCCATTGACCATCACCCCGACCAAGAGGATGATGATCACCACAAATACAGACTGCCGGGTGAGCGGATCATATTCATCCAGACAACTTCGTTTCTGTAGCCCTACAATGGCCTGCATATACAGTTTGTCCGGTCCCACCATTGGTCCGCTCCCCCCTTGGTGGGAGAGGTGAAAGGCCGACACGGCCAAAACAGCGTCCAAGACGGTTTGATCGGAGAGTGCAAGAGGCAGAATGAGCGACCGCCATTCATTATACTTGTTGTCCATGACGACCATGTGAGGGGCAACGTGGTGAGAGACTGGATGAGTTACTATCGTCGGTCTTCCGGCAGGCGGGCATGAAGCTTACAATAAGTCAACAGGAACTCATTGCCGGAATCTATTATATGAAGGCTTCGAGGACGCATGGTAGTCATTGCCTCCTCATCGTCTGTTGACGTTTCCGATAAAGAAGAGCCACCGGCCACGAGTGGATTCACCTTCCGCAGTGGGAGAGTACGCCCTTGTCTGCTGTCACCGCTATCAATATAGTTCAATAAAACGGTCGGGGCAAAGGCAAAGCACACCTTCGAAGGAGCCTTTTGTGGCCCCATTCTATCTTACTTTTGGTTTCGCCATCATTGAATCGATAGCGAATTCCAAGCCCGCTGCAGAGTATGCCTCGGGACACACACTTGCCGCAGATCGGCTCTGCCCGGTCGCAATGAATCCGACGCTGAGAGCATTCGTAGCACCCTGATTGGCCTTTGGGTTAGAATCACCGAGCCTGACGCGGTTCCTGTTCTATACGCACCTTTCACCTTGGGTACATATCGACGCTTCTGACGGGGCATTTTGCCAACGTGATATGCGATCAAACTTTCGATTCATCAATATCGACGGTGACCGTCACCGCCGAGTTGGACAGGGGAATTTAAGGCTCCAGATCATGGTAATGTCTCCAACTCACTGAAGCAACCCTTTCATTCCTCCGTCTTTGTATATCCACTCGGCGCCAAGATTCGGGGGCAATTTAGCCGTGCCAAGCTTTTGGCGTCCAGGGTTGGGGACCCACATTGATTTGACTGCCCAATCAGAACCTTGGTCCACTACCAGCGGCGGGCCCTTTAGTCTCGATTAGGGAGCAATACCCATGCCCGCCAATCACAGGTGCAGCACCGTCGATCGAGCAATTTTTGGGGTTTCAAGCTCGGTCGCATGCAGGTGAAATCGGGGATTAAGGAGCAGGTCATGTGGCATTGGGCCCAGTGTCCCAGGGCACTAAAATGGGTGGCGTTTTCTGCCAATGCGTCGGGAGAACTTTCTCGCAACAAGTGGCGCATCTCTACCGTGGGCATTCTTCGCCACCATGGAAGGGACGTTAGTTTATGGCAGCTCACAATGCTTAGTATTCCCCCCGACAGCATCACAGATGCCAAGAGATAACCTGGATAGATGATAATGCTGCACGCGCCCGATGCGGTATCAAAATGCGCATGGTCGGCCACTTTTACATCGATTTGTCATCTCGAAGGATGCCGGACAAGGAATGCCATATTGGCTCGAAAGGTCCGTTTAATCAGCAAAGTATCCATACGTACACAGCAAGGAATCCGTGGGATTTAAAAGAGAGGCCCAGGGTATAACCCACAAGGATATCGCCTCAATCCGATATACTCTTTGTTCCGTTGACTATCAGTCCTGTCTGCACTCGCCGCCGCATCATGCAACCCATCAAGAACGTCGCAGTGATCGGAGCCTCAGGGACCCTTGGCTCGGTGGCCCTGCGGAAACTCCTTGAAACTGGTACCTTGAACGTCACAGTCGTCAGGCGTTCCGGTTCAGCATCAACCTTCCCACCCAATACCAAGGTTATCGACGTCGACTACTCGTCGTACGAGTCCCTCAAGTTAGCTTTCACAGGCCAAGATGCAGTTCTATCGTTTGTACCTACTTTTGCAGCCGAGTCACAGTTCGCGTTTATCGACGCAGCGGTTGAGGCCGGTGTCCGTCGGTTCATCCCATCGGAGTTCAGTGCCAACCTCGACAACCCCAAGGCCCGCACGCTCCCAATCTTCGTCCCCAAGGTCAAGGTTCAGGAATATTTGTTCCAAAAGGCCAAGGAATCGGGTCTCACCTATACCATCATCTATGGCGGCGGTTGGCTGGATGCCGGCTCGCATCGAAGTTTCCTCCTGAACATCAGCGGAGAGACAACGAATACCTATGATGGCGGCAACGTACCTTTTAGCGCGTCTACTCTCGACACGGTTGCGAACTCGGTCGTCTCGGCGTTGAGTCATTGGGACGAAACAAAGAACCGCTCCCTCTTTGTCCACAGCCTAGTGACTACCCAGAACCATCTACTCTCCCTGGCGAAGGAAGTGATGCCGGGAAAGCCGTGGGCTACCCGGGACTTCAAACTCGACGAGGTGATTGCAAGGTCAGATGAAAGATTGGCTCAGGGCCTATTGGACTTCGAGACGTTCAGTCCTTACATCTTCCGTGCCATATTTGATCCGGCGTTTGGGGGTCGATATGATCAAACAGACAACCAGTTATTGGGAATTAAAGAGGCTTCGGAGGCGGATGTTAAGGACATCCTGAAGAAGCTGTTACAGGCTTGAACCAAAAGCACAGGTCACAAGAGATAATCGAAGAATGTCTGATATTATTCCCACTCTCTTTTCCAAGTTGCCTTCTGCCGGGTACAACGTATGAACGTATCGAAATGACCATCAGAGTTGGCTTCCATGGTTGGGGTTTACCACTTATAGAAGAGGTCGCTATCCTAGGCACTCCAAACTTTGTACATCTTCTGTGAATGACTACATTTCTTATAATGGGATCCGTTTTGGCTTTCCCTTTTCTAGAGCTGTCCTCTGAATATCGCGTACATCATTGTTTATAGGATGGACCAGGTGTAGGTAGCTTTTAACCCTTGGTACTCTATACAGCCATACCTGAAGTGCTGCTTGGGATTTTAAAGAGTGTTATAGAGATTTCTGACATGCTTGCCGAGACGAGCCAGGTTGACTGTCTGTATTGGTCAACTATAGCACAACAATCGTTTGTCTTACTGACCAAGTGATCTAAGTTTGGTAAAATTTACTGTCACATAGCATGGGCTATGGTGTACACGTAGCGCATTATCGGCCTTCTTTGGACGGCTATGTAGGGGCATAGCTACTCCAACGCTGATGGGGAATTCATCCGGATACGAAGACATTTACTTGGATACATCGAGCCCCACTTCAGAACATGCGAAAGTCCGCTACACGAACTGTTGATCGCCAGACATTGGGCGGGAGCCATGTATATGGTAATCCGTGGATGAATTCGAATCCTCATTACCTCGACTGAGATCCCAGTGCGATTGCAACCAGGCCCGAAAACCGAAAGCCGACGACCGACGACCATGGGTCCATAAGGGTACCTTACACGGACCCGGAGGACTGCAGGACCGAAATATACTCATAATTGCCTACTTCATAACCAACAGTAGCGGGATTCTCGGGGTGAATCGTTGTGTATCATCCCTGCTAATGTGGATCGATAGCACCAGATACATAACGCGTCTGCATTCCTTTCCAGTGTTCCCTAGCACTAATCTTTATTGCGGTCAACACCAAGTAAGAAAGAGTACCAGTTAGGAATCATGAATGCAGGGAAAGAGAGTCTCAACGCCGAGCCAACTGTACCAGTGGCTGAACCCTGCCAGCTCCCTCAAGATACTCCGCAACCCAACTTATATCTGACCAACGAAGTGAGAAGACAGCGAGAAGCTGAAAAGGATGATCCAGATGTTCTAGACTGGGACGGACCAGATGACCCAGACAATCCTATGAACTGGAGCCAACTCAAGAAAATGGCACATATAGTTCTAGTCGCATTTCTCCAATTGGTTGCGTAAGTTTTCTTCTAGCTTCCTGCTATGGTATGCTTCTGCAGCCATTTCTGGATTCATATAATAGCTTATTGGACTAGGAACCTAGCTTCAACGATGTTTGCCCCAGCGTCCGAGCTCGTGATGGAGGAATTTAACTTCTCCAGCAGAGCGCTGGCTTCACTCTCTGTCTCAATCTATGTCCTTGGCTTCGCCTTTGGCCCATTGATCTGGGCTCCATTATCAGAAGTATATGGTCGCCTTCCCGTCTACATTTCGTCAACCGTAATCTTCCTCGCCTTTGTCCTGGGGAGTGCATTTTCCACCAACCTTGGCATGTTCATGGCCTTCCGGTTTCTCAGTGGCTGCGGCGGTGCTGCACCTCTTACATGCAGTGGAGGAACCCTGGCCGACCTCATTCCCCAAAACCAACGAGGCAGATGGATGGCCCTCATTTCGATCGGACCTCTCATGGGTCCGACAGTTGGCCCGATCCTCGGTGGCTTCGTTGGCCAGTATATAGGATGGCGTTGGGTATTCCGGCTCCTAGCGATAATGGCAAGCCATGAAATTCCCTGCATCCTCGAATGGACACACAGCAGCTAATATTGCATCAGAGTGGGGTTCTTCTGCTTGCAGCAGTGTTCATCTTACGCGAATCCTACGCCCCTATTATACTCCTACGCAGAGAGAATCAATATCGCAAGGCCCAAGGACGTCCACCTCTACGTGCTGACAGGACAGTATTGGTGACAAAGCTCAAGCGGAATATGCTAAGGCCGTTCAAACTCCTGCTCCTCTCGCCTATCGTTCTTTCCTTAGCTCTATACGCTGCCTTCAGTTTCGGTCTCCTATTTCTTCTCTTTACGACGTTTTCACGTGTGTTCAAGGGGCAGTATGGCTTCTCGATGAGTCTCAATGGTCTAGCCTATATCGGATTAGGCATCGGCACTCTCGGAGGCCTCATCATCCAAGGACAATTTAGTGACAAAATGATGTATGTACGAGCGGCCAAAAGGGGAACCGACGTCAAGCCGGAAGATCGATTACCACCGATGGCTTACTTATGCTGGACCATACCGGTTGGCATGTTCTGGTACGGCTGGGGTGCGAGTGCTAAAACGCATTGGGTCGTGCCTATTATTGGAACTTCTTTTGTTGGCATTGGCTTTATTTTTATTATGGTAAGTTGACTGCATTCTCCACACAGTAATCCATAACATAGAAGGCTGATGGTGGGCATCAAGAATCCCTCAATGACCTACTTGATAGACTGCTTCGGTCCAGAAGCCGCTGCCTCTGCCCTCGCGGCCCATACCATTCTACGATCGATCGCCGGCGCCTTTCTTCCACTTGCAGGACCCTCAATGTATGACTCTCTTGGCCTTGGCTGGGGAAATAGTCTTTTAGGTTTCCTTGGAATAGCTATGATTCCCATTCCGTGGTACCTTGCGATGTACGGCGAAAAGCTTCGGCTGAAGCGAAATTTGATGTTATAATATTCGCCTAGGGCAGGTCTAATACCAAAGAGCACCCTCTTCGGACAAAGACTTACGGGATCTCTTATTCATGGCTTTACAGGAAACCTGCACTGCTTGGCTATGCTGTCAATGCCCCGTTGTGTAGCTAGCTCTTGCTTGAACATAAGCAAATGTACCTACATGGCAGCTTTTTCGCTACCTCTTCCCTGTGCTCTTTATTTTGTCCGTAGTCTAACCTACGATAGTGTGCGAGTGGGCACTTCATTCTCGACAACTATGTACAATGAGGCTCCTTCTGTCTAAACCGGGAGATTGATATCGACAGGGAGCATAAAAAGCACTTCAGCTAAGGGTATATCGAGTACAGTGACAAGAAAGATACCCTTGGAAAGAAAGTGATATTATTTGCCGGTAGAGTAAGTCTATTGTATAGAGCAAGAGTACAGTGCAGAATAATTATCCGAATGTCTACGTATGTGTGGAGAGTGCCCTACAAGCGATGATATCTTGAATCATCCTACCTTCCGACGTTCTAGTCAGAATGAAAGTGTCTTCTTAAATAATTGATGTCCTCCACACCCTCTCTGGATATCTTGAAGTTAATTCTGAAACTCTTGAGGTTTCTTCATAAAGCAGATCTCATAAAGATATAGCCTCTGACGTGTCGTATACAATTGTTCCCTATATCCCACCATCTGAGTGGGCTAGTATGGAATCCAGCAATTCGAGATATATGAATGAAACTCACTAGATTATATTACAAGCGACCTGCTCGTCAACACTTTCATACACCCATACACGTCATATTGTTATATCGAAACACATTTGACCAGATGACAACTATCAGCCAGCTTCATACATACATGGTGGACAAGTTCTGCTTTCAGAAGCAGAACCTTGCGTCAATCACAACTAGTGCACTGGTATGTATCGCACCACTGCCATCTCCAGTAGCGAATAGCTTACTCCTCATACTTCGAGCATTCATCCCAGGCAGCAAACAGAGGCCCCATTAGGCGACTATGTTCCTCATGCACTTTTGCATACTCCTCTTTGCCCTCGCCCTTCCCATCATACCCAAAGAGCAACCCAAAGTCACCGACAAGATTATCGTACGTCGTCTCGGGTTTATCCCTGCAAAAGCCACACATAACCTTCTTCCCTCTTTCCATAAAATCACCACGGGGAAAGGCCTTAACGATGGCCTTGTATTCATTGACTGTAATATAGTCGCCTGGTAAGAGTGGCCCCACAAAGTCCGTGAAGCTACCCAAGTTCATGAGATGCACCTCTGACTGTTTGTGAATCGCAATAGACTGGGTGGTGTGCAGCGCAATTGAATCCCAGACCAGCTGAATTCGGTGCTTATCCCACCTGGGTGCTTCGGCGTGGTTCTGGAGGAAGTGCCGGGCGGCGTTTGCGCCGTCGACTTCAAACCGTTTATCCTTCGAGTACAAGCCGGGTGTCTGGGTCCATCCGGCCTCGTGAAGGATACAACCCAGCAGAACACTTTCCATGTCGAGCGTCAACCCGGCGAATGTGGGGTGCTTTTTGCCGATGATCACAGCGAAATAGGCGCAGCGGACACAGTGGTTCACCGCACCATCGAACGTTTCCTTCCGGAGGAACTCGACTGCATCTTCCAGTACCAGAGTACTGGGGAAGACGAGATCAATCTCGGGTAGGTCACGGAGCAATCTTTGCGACATATTGATAAAAAGGTGAAGAGAATGTTGTTCCTTGTAGGCCTGGTATCTCAGTGTGAATGTGAAGATGAAAATATATTTTCGATGCTATCTTTGGTGTTTATATAGATCTGGATCCGAAGCAATTCCAGCCCGTTTTTCTTTCCTCTGCATTGATTCTCTGAATCAATGAATTGTGACACTTGGCTACTTTGGGTAGATATCAAGATTGGTGATATCTTGGACAGATCATTCCTGTTTGTGGTATGAAAACCCGCTAGGGAGTTTGTGAATCGATCACTATACAACACGCTTCCCCACCTGTTGGTCTCCAGTATTGCTGGTATCTGTGTCTAGCTACAAGGGCCGTATTCGATATCCATGTCTTCCGCAGTGTAACTATCGCACGAATGGCAGTCTGGGACTCGGTTCTCGGGTTCGGTTCTCGGGCATCATGAAACGATTGCCACCGACGTGGACCCTTACGATTCTCTGACTGAGCCACATAGGGCACCAAGACAGGCGAAGATATCGGTGCTGACAATATGCCTTCAATTCTTTCCTTGTGCATTATCTGGTAATATCTGGACGTCAGAACTTACCACTGTTCCCAACGTCACATGTGTGGTGGTCCTTCTTTTTGTTTTTTTTTTTTTTTTTTCAATTTGCGGGATTTGCGGCTGGACAGGGAAATTGAGGCGGTGCACGGAAGGAAATCCTCCGGTTAAATAATCGGCATCTGCTTACGAAGTAGAAACTCACTTCGTCATAGGGCCCAGCAGGACTTCCTGACGAGACATGTTTTGACTGAACAAACTAACCTCTTCACCTTGGAATTAGAAATCAATCCGTGCGTGGCTGATTAATGGAAGCAGAAAAATTATGAATCGGTTGAAAATATACGTAAACCGGTATCTGCTTGACAGAGGCACTAGAATACTGGTCTCGGTCAAAGGAGAGATTCATGCCTAGATCCAGGACAGATTCAGGAAGCACAAGAAATAGTTCAATATCGTAACAGTCTAACTTGGTTTTCTTTCATCCGTTACCCATCTTGAATCTAGCTCTTCTTCGCTTCTCACGGACTTCCAATCACAAACGATGGCGCCATTGATCGAGAAGGTTGCTCTAGATGGTACATGATGAAGCTCTGGCCCCATAATTTCTTTTGTCCCAATTGATTGCTTTGGTAGTGACTGCCACTGGAGAATGACTCTTCCTTTTTGCATTCCAGGCGACGGGAAATATCGGTTCCAAGGTGTTGCCTGCCCTAGTCGACGCGGGCAAATTTGAGATCACTGTTCTGCATCGAAGGTAGTCTTGACTGCCCCAGTACGCCGGTGTGACAGTCCGAATAGTCAATTTCAAATCCGTCGACTCTCTGAGTGCTGCTCTGCATTCGGGATGGTCGTCGCAACTTCGCCCAAACAAAAAAGTCGACACAGGAACCTTTAGACCGTCGGTGTGCAGAGAGGAGACAGAGTGCCTATAGGTTGTTCTGGCTCAACTTGAGCGCTGTTGTCTCCTTTGCGTGGCGCGCTGGGCAAAATGGCTGTACCTGTCGCCAAGGCATTCCTTTGGCACTTGGTCGGCTTCAAATTCTCAGCCGTTACACCTGATATCCACTCTCCTACTGGCCCAAGGCAAGGATATCTCAGGCTTGCTGCATTTTTCTGTCATTATAGAGGTTGAGTTTGACTAGACTGGCATTTGGCCAGGTTAGGTTAGGTTAATGGGGTCAGTTATACCTAACCGCTAGGTTATGGCTAGGTTATATATATATTTTACAAGTAGTAAGGGCCGCGCCTTGCGCGGCCTGTATATAGTTAATTATAGATAACTAAATTCTTGACAGGTGAATAGAAAGATCTGTTCGCCAGTTGTTATTATAATTTCAAAGAAAAATAGAAATTTAAATATAGGACCTTTTTTACTAACTGTGTAATATATAAAGTAGTCTTCTAAGTATTATTATAGAATATAAAATAAATAATATAATATATAATATTTTAAATAATCTTTTTCTATCTGTAGACTTTAGGCCCTGTAATCTTTATATAATATACTAGATATTGTTACAGACCCTTGTCTAGCGCACCTTATCAAAGGCGGACACACAAGGCAGAATAACGATAGGACAACGATGGCCGATTCCTGAGCGGAAGGTGCCTAACGAATCGTTTATCTAGTAGTTATTCGGGAAGGGTTACGGACGCTGATAACAGCTCTATCACGTGATACCTACTTCAGTGCCTACTTCGGAGGGAGTATATCGGGAGTATACAGTACTACGCACTACGATTGGATATACTCTATCTCTTACCCCCAGGGGAGTCACGATAGAAGTAGATATTTAAGGATATATAAGGACACTCATTTATATACTTAGTTTAGTTCTTCGTGATTAATTTATGTTGTTACTACAGAGTTATCTTTAAAGTAGTAAAACTAGTCTCAACTCGTTCGTACTCATTCAACTATTGAGTATACGTACTCAATAGGCCTGGCCCTTTGGACTCGAGTCTAGTATTGACGGTAGTCTTGTGTCGACCGTATCCCTACGACGACGGTAGTCTTGTGTCGACCGCATTTCTACGACGACGGCAGTCTTGTGTCGACTGCATCCCTGTGACGACGGCAGTCTTGTACCGACAGTAGTCCCTTGGCGACTCCCGTCCTACCAAGACCGCAACCCAATAACGACGGAAGTCAACGGACGACTTCAGGTTAGTAACCCTAGTAACGTGGTCCGCTAACTGGTCTCAGACTTGACGACAAAGCCCCGGGCGTAACAGATATCCTATAGTTAGTAATTAAATATTATTATTATCTAGGAGTTAGGAAAGCCAGTTAAGTAAAAATAGATAATTATTTTTAAAAATAAAAATAGTAAAGGACCTTTTCTTCTTCTTTTTATATTTACTATTACTTAGGGAATTTTTAATAAATTATTTATTTAATATTATAGATAGCTTTACAAAGGATATAATAGAAGATATAATAATAATAGGAACTGAGTTTATTAATACTAAAGATAAAGGTAAAGTATCTAGATCTATATTAATATAATATATTAAAATAGGGTTAAATAATATATTAATAATAGATATATTTACTATATTATTTACTTGCAAAGATACGGGGATAGAAAGATTAAATTAAATATAGTAAAATAGCGAGTTCTATAAACTATTATCTTTTATAATATAAAGACGTCGGTGGCTACTTAGGATAAATAGTATTATAATAGTTAAAATAGTATCCCGGGATAATAAAAAATAGGAAATATTAAAAAAAACTCTATAAATAATATAGCAATTTTTCTAAAAATAGAAGTTTATAAAATAGTAAAATGTCTAGATAAATTATTTAATAGTAGGGAATTAAGTATAAATCTAGTATATAAATCTAGAAATAGTACAGATAATATAGAAAATATTATATATAGATATTCTATTTTCCCAGTTTATATAAAATATTATTTTTAATATAAATATATAATAGCTACTAAAGTTAATATAATAGTTTATAATATTATCTATTACTAATAGATATAGATTGTAGATAGGAAAAATACTATTAAAATAAAAGTTATTCTTAATATTATCTAGAAATTTAATAAAAATTAATAAAAAATTTTAAGTAATAAATATAATACTTATAGTATTATTATATCCGCGCAAACTTATAAAGTAGAATACTTTATAAAAACTTTTTATATATTAAGTTAACTGTTAATTATAATAATTTATTAAAATATATAAAATATACTAAACTTATTATAATAAATTATAAAATATAATACTTTCTCTAGGACTATTAATTTCTTAAGAAAACTATACTTTAAGTTATTAAAAAATATAATAAATTATAGAAGAAAAATAGTTTAAATTACTATTAAAATAATATTAATAGATATAATTATATTAAAATTATAGTAAATAGTATTGTTATTAAATATAGTAATATAAAAAAAATAAATTAAAAAGAAATAAAAACGCGAGATTAAATTTATTTATATTATAAATTCTAAATTAATAAAGTAAAATATATAAATTCTATAAGAAAGATAAATAAAATAAAATATATAATAAAATTAAAGTAAAGCCTAAAATAATATAATTAATATTTTAAAAGAGAAAATTTTAAAAGAACTGGAATTTATAAAATTTTATAAAGAATTTATAAAAATAGCGATAAAAAAGACTATTATATTAATTATATAATTTATAAATTTTGTAAATTCTACAAATATTATATATATTATAAATATTATAAATTAAAAGGATTTTAAGCTATTAAGATCTATAGTAGCTAAGATAAAGAAAATTTAGATAATAATTTAGTTAAATATTAAATAGTATAATTTTTTATAATTAAAAAAAAAATAGCTGGGAAAGAAGTTTTATAATATCTTAAAATAGATAATATTATTAATCTTTTTATTAATATTATTCAAGAATAGTAATAATAAAATATTTTTAGTATTAATAATCTATAATAAAGTTATATAGAATTAATTATAGCTAAATAATTATATGCGTAGTGTTACGCCCGGGTATTTGTCCAAGGACTCTGCGACCAGTTAGCTATCTTGGTTAGATGCGATTTACCTGATGACTAGAATCCACTAGTAATCAGTAATAAGAGGTGACCTAATGTGGTTCGATAATTCGCTAGAGTGACGACGATATTGCGATTTTAGTCTAAGGTAGAAAGGTCAGGCTAATTGAGTATATATATTTAATTGTTAGATAGTGCGAATAAATTGAGCTAGTATTAGATATAAAGGTATATCTATAGTAATAATTTAAATTAATTATAAAGAACTAAACTAAGTACATGAATAAGTGTTCTTATATATCTTTGATTTATATACTATTCTATATACCTTTCCTGGTATTTTATCTAGTATCTTAAGATACTATGCTATATACTATTTGTAGTACCCTAGCTGGTACTCTATTACGTGATATTCGTGGGCGTCTATTATAGACTTTCTAGTTATACTGTGAAAAGAGTATATTTATATTTACTAGAATTAATTTTAATTGGAGTTACTATATTAATACCGTGGTCTCCTCGTTATAACGTTGAAACAGTTACCAGGCGGCCGAAAACGGCTACATTTGCTGCCGTTTTACGAGTCTCACTAACCAGCAACCCTCTTGGCACGAGAACTGCCTAATGTCACGGCCAAGTGTCTGTACCGCCACATCCCACCCTAGTTAGTGCTTGGCTGTGCTTTGGTCACCCCTGACAAATGTTGCTGTAGGGCTTCTTTACAGTGAAACACACTGTCTTTGACTAAACCTAGAAGCGCCTTCCCAGTGACCAGCCTCTTTGGTGTGAATCTATAAATGCTGCGACTACCATAGCTTTCTTTTGTATTATGCCTCCTCGCCCAGCAGCAGTGACTAGCACTTTATTTATAATTATTATCTATTTTCTGCTCCAAGTTCCCAGGGAGCCTCCACTGTACCCTTCGTGTCTTTGTGAATGTTTTTATAATTGAATCTTTTTTTTTTTTTTAATTCTATACTTCTTTGTTGCCATGCGGTATTCCAATCAACAGGTCGGGTCCGACGATGACAGCGGCTCTGATACTGAACTGTCGGAAGTCTTCTCGGACGATGGGAATAACGATTCTTTAGACAGTGTATCCGAGCCGGACAGCGGCGACGACGCTTCAGATGATTCGAATGACGATTCTACCCTCGACGATGTAGAGGCCGTGGAACTTTCTGCGGAACACTACCTCCAAGAGGCTGATTGCCTCGATGTCTCGCGGCTTCGACAGAAACGATATAGTCCCCGCACCCAGGAAAAGTTGGACAAGACCCGAGATTATTGGGAATGGTATGAAGTATTTGCTTAGATTTGTCCCTTTGGTGCTAACTGACAGCGCGCCTCGGTAGTTTCTGTCGTGATAGCAAGTATGATCCAGTGGAACGCTTTCGCTGGCTATCAGACTCGGAGGAGACGGTGCGCTTTCTAAAGGCATTCTTCTCCTGGCGATGCGATCGGCGACGGGGCAAGAAAGGCCGCAAATCCCCTGGAATCAAATATAAGAGCTCATTAGAGACCTTTTGGAAGTGGTGGCATTTGGTTTATAAGGCAGAGATTGGTCAAGGGCTCAGCAAGGACACCACTGTGAAGATTTTAGACGTAAGCAACTGGAATATGATCGGCTTGCTAGCGAAGGCAAGGCTGACTAGTCATAGGTGCTGGCAATTATTGCGGAAGAGAAAAAGCTTCGGCTCGGACGCCGCCCGAAAGCTACGATGTATATCGAGGACGTGGCCGAGTTCGCTCGCGTACTCCTATCCACCACTGAGATGACTTTTGAATGTGGCTGGCTTCGCGTACAAGTGCTCCTCTACTGCCAGCTGGCAGCTATCACGGGGAGCCGCCCTGGGGCTCTATTAAACCTTCGCTATCGAGACCTTTTGTTAACCTTGATCCGGGATCCGGAGGGAGGAAGCCCTCGATTATTCATATATCTGACCCCGGAATTTACTAAGACCTTCTTAGGCGAGAAAGAGCCGTGAGTTCGCGCTGCGTGGTTTGGGTCGATGTACTGGGGCGACCGTATGGCGGACCATTGCTAACCCTGTCAAATAGGAATACGTTCCCCGTACCAGAAATCATCTTTGACCCGTCTTTAGTCCTTAGTCCGCACGTATTTCTTCTTGGCATGCTGTTTCGCATCAAAGCATTCAAGAGTTTCTCGACCGATGGGCCCGTGGTGGACTGTCCAGAAAATCTGTATACTGTCGGCATTCTAGGGGGTCTCGGACAGCAAGAGCTAAAACTAAAGGATGAGATTCTTGATCAGTTCGTGTTTTGCCAAGTAGTGCGTGAGGCAGATGGCTTTCGAATTGCCTTGGAAAAACAACTCACGGGCGGGTTTCTACGGTACCGAATGAGGCGTGGGGGTGAAATTACGGGTTTCGAACAGGTCACCAAGCCATATGGTCTCCGTTATGGAGCTGCTAAAGCTTTCAACGACAGCCGTGAGTGATTCTTCATACTAAGTTATACTTGGGTCTAGAGTAATACCGCTAACCTTTCTTATGGGATAGCGGACGTAACCAATGAGCTGCAGAATGTGATGTTGCAGCATGCTAGCATCAATACGTTCATAAAGCACTATAGTGTGGGCATCCACGTCGATGCTCAGGCGATTGTTCGGGGACTGCCAGCTGCGAAACAACTACTGCGATTCGCCGCTTCCATGAGCCGGTCAATTGACCCCCGACGACCATATAAGCTGAATGATACAAGCTGTGTCAACGAAGTTCCATGCGTGCTTGTTTTGAAGAAACGTTCCCAAGCAAGAAAGAACAAACTACACCAGATGACGCTGACTTTTGAGACGGCGAAACAGGCATTTGAGCAAACTTTTGGGGCTTACAAACAAGGAAAGAAAATAGTCAAGGAGTTGCCACAGCCGGCTCGTCTGGCACTCAGAGACGTACGCCGACATGAAAGACAATACATTCGGGCCACAAGGAAATACAATCGGGCTCAACGCACGTATCGGAATGAATGGCAACGACAACGTAACCGTCTGGTACGAGAGAATCTCGAGCGATACAAGAATGAGCAACCAGTCATCGACGTTGAACGGCAGCTTGCAGGAAAGTTTGTGGCTGAAGATGTGATGGGGGCGCTGCAGCGCACTGGATATATGACCCCGCAACATATGACTCTGATTGACGCTGTTCTGACCATGCCGGGCGCCACTGTTAAAGAGGAATATCAGCGTCGGATCTCCGCGATCAATGCAGTCATCACCTTTTGTGATGTGCAAGAAGGATGTCCCACTAGACAACCAAATGTCACCAAGAAACGTCACGCTACCGACGCCTTGCCATCTGCTCCTGTGAAAAGGCAGGGATCCCCGAGGGTGGACGGTGTCGAAACTGGTTTCCGTCAGGCAATGGCGTCGGTTTGCATAAAATCCCCAGACGAGAGGTCAACGATTTGCTTTCTGTGTGTTGCAAATCCTAAGCTTCCTGCTACGGAGCGATTGAGGGTGCATAGTACTCCCGGATCTCTCACCCGGCACTTCATTGGTAAGCACGTTAAACATTTCCCGAAGGATGTGCACGTCCGATGCAATGTTTGTAGTGAGGATCTGCCGCATAAGTCAGCTTTAATGAATCACGCGGAGCGAGTGCATGGAATTGTTTCACGTCGGCCGCTGTCTGCTCTGGGTCCAATTTGAGTTTGATCACTGAAATGTACTATAATCATATTTAAATAAAGGCGCAATACGTGATGCTTTTAGGACAGCTCTAAACCCGATATTAAGTAAAATACTAGCTCTCTGGGGCAAGGCTTCTATACAATGGAACTCTGCTACTCTTGTTCTCACTCTGCCGGATTGCGGAGTCTAGCACACTGTTCACTGGACTCGATGGCATTGCAATTTTACTATACGCCACTGCTGAGGTCGTTTAGGCTAGCTAGTATAGATATCATCTACCTAGTCCTATTAGAGGTGTTCTGCAAGAAAAACCGTCAATATCTTCGTTCATTGTACCTGAGGACTTGTTACTTCGAATATCAAGGATATAACACCAGAGATACTCCTCTACCTTCGCTTCAATGCTTCCATAAAATCAAGAAGCTGTGTATAATTGGCCGTTATTATATTTAATTTATTCTATCCAGTAAATAAGAGCGTATAATATCCGGGGCGCCGATTATAAATTTCACAACAGTCTCAAAATACAGTACTACCCGTAAATGACTTCCATGTCCTATACTTCGGAACTGTTTTCAAACCCTAAATACAAAGACACTAATGAATGTGCTAAATCTATATATAGCTAGCTAACTGGGTTATTGATTTTCCCTACTGGAGCAATACATACGAAAACTGTATGCATAATAAAACAGGTTGTAAAATACCCGTATGAGAGATATGGGCGTAAGAGTCAAGAATTCGAGAAATCTCGAATATTCGATGCAAACAGGCCAAACCATGGCTGGTGCCTGGCTGAGTTGTCTGGCATGTCTGGGGATCTATCAAACACCTAGACCGGGCCGTTTATCTTACCACAAGTCAAACAACCGGCATTCTGGGGTAGCTAGTCCCAGTCAGGCAAGACCTGTAGCTCAGCAGTACTGGGAATACGATACTTGTCTCCCTGTCTATCATCTTACTCTGCCTGTCAGCTACAACCCCTCATCAAATGCCTCTCTGGGCAATATGCTCTTAAAGGTTAACTAACGCAGAATGTGGTCACGCTAGGTTTCTCAGCAGCATTTAATGCTCTGGAGACATGAGTTTCAGTCCTTTCAATGTCGATGATGCCCCTTAAACTCAACCGCTGGACCCATGGTACATGGGGGGTCAAAAGTCTGACTACACTAGCGCGTTTCCGCCGACGCGTCAAAAAATTGTACTTTCTTCAACTATCTACCTCACCACCATTATGAGGTCTTTTGGAACCGAAATTAGTGGAAATAGAAGGCTAAATCAAGAGCTTTCTACTGAGACGCGCGCGGCAATTATATCTGGTCTAGAGAATAATATATCGCCTACTCAACTTGCAAAGCAATTTAACGTCTGTCGCTCTACTATTTACTCAACTAAAAAACGCTTTCAGCACCACCATACCTTGGAAAGCAAGCCTAGAAAGGGCAGA